GACAGACAGTATTCAGAAAGAGACGGAGAGAGAGAGAAGAGGGGAGGAGTTGATCTTGCGAGAACTTTCGGGCGGGTGAGAATAGCCACTTTCATAGGTAAAAGAGAGATGGGGATGGGATGCTACCCACTATTGAAGTTACTGATCGAGAAGGATCAAGAGGTAGAATTATATTGATAATTGTTGCTGCCAGCCTGCCAAATGAACAAGAACACACTCATTTACATTCCTTTGCCTTTGCCCATAGGTCTATCACTTTTGTGTTTTTACTTGGTAAAATGCCTACTGAGGCTAGATCTAGATTTCTAGATCTAGAATCGAGTCCTGTGTGTGGTATTGATAAAATGATGACTTAAAGACTACATTTATGTGTTTTGTTTCCTTTTTGTGTCGTTTACCAGGGCCAACGTCAGTCTGGTGGATCAGGTGGTGGAGGCAATGAGAAAGGTGATGATAAGGTAAGTTTTGGTTAGAATTTGTTGATTGAAATAATAGTCTGGAAATGATTGAGAAAAAAAGCTATAATTTTTAACTTTCTGTATGACCTGACACAAGATGTTGTCAATTGTGTCAGCCATGACCCTCGCTTTCGAGTCTCCTGGGAAATATGAGTCCACAGGAAAAAAAGGGAATAGTCACAAACTGAAAATCGTGAGGGTATCAGTTTTGAACGCTTGTTGACTCATTACTGTATTTCTGTTAAACTGTTGGTTGATTTTTATTGTTGTTAGATTTCCCTTTCAACAAACATAACAATAAACCACCAATCAAACAAATTTAAAGTTATGAGTCCGCAAGCTTTTAATATTGACACCATCACAATTTCCAGTTTGTGACTATGCCCGTTTTTCCACTTACTTTCCCCCCCCCCCCCCCCATCTGACATATTTTATTTTTTGGTTGTAAGTACTTTGATTCTCGAGACTGACATGCTTTTGATTATATATTGATCTTAAGCTATATGGTTTTAATTAGGTTATGATTTTCCTTGAAAGGACCAAATTGTCATTGTTTTGTTTTTTAAAGTTTTGTAACTGCTTTGATGAACAATCTTTTTCCGATTTTATTTTTTACAGTAACTAATTATGATAATGTTTATCATTATTTTCTTGTAATCTTACTATGAGAATGTATATCAGCGTAATATACTGCAAATTCTTAATTATAATTGATTGATTTAATTGACTCCTTATGAGGGTAATTCTGAAAAGAGAGCGTCTCCTTCTGAATATGGCGGCTTACTTGAGACACTTCAATAGAATAAGTTTGGTCCTAAGTTCTAGGCTTCAACCAAAACTTAACATTTTATTTAGCAATGCCAACCGAGTGCGTTTTGTTCTGCTGATTTTTGGCTCCGGCCACGGGGGTGTTTCGTGGAACGAACTAACGCAAAGGTTGTTGTCTTCAACTCGCTCTCACGCCGCTTCTCGTGAATGGATATGAATTAAACTTGGCAGCCAATCAGAAAAGAGGTCAATCTTGTAGTATGCAGTTTGACAACTTTGTACTCATCCAAGGAGCAGTTGAAAACGTTTGCGAAAGTGGTTGATGTGGTGCACTTTGAAGATTTTTTGGAGCTGTGATTTGTCAAACTGACTGATACGTTGTACACAATTTTTCTTTATTCGCTTAAAATTTCATGCTTCTGTGTTTAGCGGTTTTGACGTAATCTTGAAAAATGTGGGAGTAACTAAGGGAAAAGCGGCATTGGCATTTGCGCGTGCTGGGTGAACGACCGGCAGCTGGGAAATTTCCACTGAGTGACGTCATCAGCCATCGATCGCGTCGGGCGCTATGAACGAGGCCCCGCTTATGTGAACCGGAAAGGGGGGGGAGGATACTTGAAAACTAAACGGGGGCCTTGATAACTTGCATTTGTGTTGCATTTTAGTCACAATACGATAGATTTAGAGGTAGGTTTGGTCATTTTTATTTGCTTAATTTCATGAGAGAAGAATAGAAACAGAAAAGCAAACGTCTAAGAAGTGGTATGACATTGTGTTTGCGTTATGAAAGCCTATTCCCCCTCTTGGGAAAGCACACACTTGGACTCGTCGTGCTTGCTCTGTTTGGAAAAGTGAGGCATTGAGATTATTTTTTAAGAATATATGGTACTTATTTAGTCCAGTCTGGGAAGATAGTCCCGTTTATTCATTGTTATCGTTCGCGCGTACATGCACGTGCATGTGTGTGTGTGTGAGAGAGAGAGAGAAAAGGGAGGGTGAGTGTGCGCGCACGTGCATGTGTGTGTGTGTGAGAGAGAGAGAGAGAAGGGAGGGGGGGGGGGGTAAATATCTGTTACATTTATAGTATGAGTTGTAGCCACACATGCGAAATATTCCCAGGACTTGTAAACTATAATAATATTATCTAAACGCATCTTAATCTACCACACAATAGGACACTGTCCAACAATGGATATATACAGAGACGATCTTATTTTCTATTACAAGTGTGCATGCTTTTACTAGTAGAGAACTGGATTTATTAGACTAATAAATCCAGCTCTCTACTTAAATTTTTGTGACAAATTGATCCAGTGCATTGCTTAGCAAGGAGGAATCTTTTACGTTGCCAAGTTTCATTCAAATATCATGACTTTGGGAGAAGATATAATGACTGATAATCTTTGTAAATCTGTAAAGAACGCCACTTTTTTAAACCTATAAATGTCTTTTCAACTCAAAAAGTATGATAGATATTAAAAATCTGACAGCATGACTAGATTCTGCATTAAAAACTGTACTAGACTGCCAAGTTTCATTTGCATACTCCAAGAAATAGGCAAGCTATGACAAATATTGTCTCAAAACACACCGAAAATGCCACATTTTCTCCTATAAACGTCTTCATAACTCAAAAGTAGGATAGCTATGAGAAATCTGAAAGCAGGACTAGATTCTGCACTAGCAAATGTACTGGGCTGCCAAGTTTCATTTAAATACTCCGAGAAATGAGTGAGGTATGACGAATATTGTCTCAAAACTCACCAAAGAACGTCCCATATTTTGGGTTTCTTTCATTATATAAAAGTCTATAAAAAATTAATGGATTAAAATTTTTTTACCTTTTTTGTTTATTGATGGATTAAAAAAATTTAAAAAGTTCCATTCTCGGTGGAGATACAGCTACAAAATGCACCTATTTGCAAACACTTTCTGACAAAAAAAAGGGTTTTCGTGGTCATTGCTATTTTTATTTTATTTCATCCTCTCTAAGGAGAAGAAACGGAAGTATGAACCTCCTGTGCCAACAAGAGTGGGGAAGAGGAAGAAGAGAACAAAGGGACCAGATGCTGCAACGAAGCTGCCTCAAGGTTTGTACCATTTTGTATTCTTAATCACTTCTCACCTCTCAGTTATCATGCAGCTAGTGTGGATATTGATTTCAGTGTTAAACAAAATATGGACTTCTTGCAAGGCAGCGATAAATATTCTGCTATATATGTAGATGACGAGTTATCTTTCTGTGGGGATATTATAGTGGAGTGCAGCCTTGCTTTCTGAATTTTTGTATGATAATAGCTGTTGAGTGTCATTTGTCGAATGTAATCGATTAAAAAGATTTAATTAAATATTTCTTTGCTTCAGCCAAGTGCTTTGTCTACTAAATTCGTGTTTGGTTGAACTTGACGAATGAGGCTCTTTGTATTAAAAGTAGAATTCTTTCTTCTTTAAGTATGTTATCTATCTGCTTGTTTGCTTTCCATTTTTCAAGACTTAATTGTTACATTGCATTTGTCATTGATTGAGTGATGATCAGGTACACTGATTTCATGGGAATTGAAATAATGCTTCTTGTCATTTCTAGTGAAAATGACGGGGTCAGCATTAGTCTGTCTGTCTTTCACTGAAAGTACTATCAGAGAAGCGAGAGAGATGTGAGGGGTGTGGAAAGATTTTCATATACGCTGCTTACGTGGCAAGTGATGTCAACTTGCAGCTGGTGTCTTTACACTTGCCTCTGTTTCCTTCCTCTTTCCTATCTCAGATCCTCTTTTTCCCTGGTCATTGCTGCCTTTCACCAGCTTTCTTCTTCCATGTGACTGCTACCAGTTATTGCACACTGTAGTTTAGTCAATGCCAAACAGTACAACAGACTCCAAGGTATTGTCACTTGGTGGTGGATGAATTACTTTTTAAAAATGCTATCGGGACATAATCGTTGACAGTGTCAGTTTGGTAACAGTTTTGTGGAGCTCGCAATTGCAAAAGGTCATGGGAAAGCGTCTTAAGGTTTTGTCAATTGTTTGTATCTGTGCCTCTCAGTTGAGGGACTTCTATCTGAAATGACATTTTGTTGTCAATTTGTTCCAGTGACTCCATACACAAGGTGTCGACTGAAGATGCTGAAGCTTGACAGGATCAAAGACTACTTATTAATGGAGGAAGAATTCATCAAGAACCAAGAGAGGCTGAAGCCCCAGGAAGAAAAACATGAGGTATAAAGCAATGTTTCTGCCCTTGATATAGATATTTCGTACCCCCCACTTTTCTTTTGGCCTTAAATAAGGAGTTTGAATTTGTTGAAACCAAAAAAAGTTGAGTGAGTGTAAAAATTTGAGCTGGACAATGTTATATAGATGATCTTTTTAAACTTTCACGTAACCATTTAGTGCAACCAAGATTTTCTTTATTAAAAGAACTAGTAAATGGTTTTTTAAATATTTTTTTATTTTGTTTTGTTTTTTGGTAAAAGAATCTAAAACTTGTGTATTTTACAGGAGGAGCGCAGCAAGGTAGATGAACTGCGGGGGTCTCCGATGTCTGTTGGAAATTTGGAGGAAATCATTGATGATAATCATGCGATTGTGTCTACATCTGTTGGAAGTGAGCACTATGTCAGTATTCTGTCTTTCGTCGACAAAGACCAACTTGAACCAGGTTGCTCTGTTCTTCTGAATCATAAGGTAATGTTCTGTCACTTATATCAACTCTTTGTTTAAGTATAAGTTATTATCTCTTGAATCTATGAAATGTCATCACCATCTTATCAAGTACATAATGAGCCTATCTATCACTGAATAGAAATGAAAGTTACAGGACTTTAAGTAATTCTATGATGCTATATGATAAAGCTGTTTTTTTCTTAAAGAAAGCTTTTGGTTACACTTGATCTCTGTGGCTGTTAGATTGGTATGTTGTTCTGCACATTTTTAATGTGCATTTTTCTAAGTTTTTTGGTGGGTTTTCAAAGTATTATTTTTTTTTTATTGATTAATAGTTTTCTAATGTTTGTGGATCAACATTCTTGTCCACAGGTGCATGCCGTTGTTGGTGTTCTAGGAGATGACACAGATCCCATGGTGACAGTGATGAAGCTGGAGAAAGCTCCTCAAGAAACATATGCAGATATTGGTGGTTTGGACACCCAGATCCAGGAAATCAAGGTTTGTTTCTATGTTTGAATGGGGCAAAGTTTGTCTGATTTATCAGTTTATTTTTTTGTTCAATGTTTTAATCACTGGCCTCTGATGGTCAAATTGGGGAACAAAGAGCAGTGCCTTTTTTTTCTGTTGTTGTGTTTTTGTATGCATGTAGAGATTACATTGAGGGTCCCGATTGTAAAATGATATGTGATTGATTGATTGTATAAAAGGTGTGCATATTTTGTTCTTAGTGCTGCTCTACTTCAGGACCTTTTTGCTGCTACCACTAGGTACCGCAAACTGGCGGCACATGGTCACGGAGACCAAAACCCATATTTTTACCCTCCTAAAACACTGTGTGATCATGCATACACACAGACACTTGATATATCAGAAGAAAGAGGAGCTTTTTCTCTTTTTAGTGGTACAGTAGTCCCCGCCTAAGATCCCGGTGCTCGGGAGCAAGGAAATGCGGGATCTTGGGCGAACCAGGATCTTAACTGACGAACCCAGGGAAGAATCTATGGTGACCCATGCTAAGGCTCACAATATAAATGGTCTCCCTCCACTCTAAAATGAACTGACGTGACCCCTTGGTGGGTTTATGACGTATGGCGAGCAAAGAGTGGTTAACTTTGATGACCTATCACAGTGCATAGTGGCATGAGGCATGCTATTTTCACTTATTATCCTGTCATGAGTCTCAAGATCTACGCTTATCCAGTTGCCCCTCTCCCTTCCCTGTCGAAAATTTATAGCTTTAAATCTCTGACCGAGTCCCCCGCCCCCCAAACCGCCTTTGTCGTTACACACCATTACGTTGTGAACGCACCAATCAAAATGCAGTCTGTTTTGCAAATTCGGGAGTAGAGACAACTTCTGCAATGGTCAGGGAAAAGTTCACAGTTCAATGTGATCCCGCCTGGAGCGAACGTGTAGGCCCTACCCACCCAGCGAGTGATGTAAGTTTAGGTGGAGAGCATAGGTGTGAGTGCGATGTTTGGGGAAAACAGACATGTCGGTCAGTTCACACCCCGGTGTGGTCAGTCTGGGGCAAACATTGTATCGCTTCATCTAGTTTTACAACGTGTATGTGATCACCTCCACGATAGTGGCTGATCTTTGACGCGACGCACAGTGTATTGATCTCAACTTTTCACTCTTGGTTGATCGGCTGTCCCGCCCGGGTTTTTGTTCCGCAAATTATGATCTTAAATGCAGGATCTGAGCCGAATGTAGACCTTCAGAGTGAATCAGAGCGGGATCTTAGGGGTGACTTTTGTATAGTAAAAATTCTGTTTTCTTAAAACAGCGGGATCTTAAGCGAACCGGGATCGTAAGCGGTGGGATCTTAGGCGGAGACTACTGTATTATTTATTTGAATCAACGATTCTTTTGAGAGCAAAATCTTGTGGGATAAAAGAAAACACTATCGAGGTTTTCACTGCAGTGACCGTGCGTTTCGTGCATCAATTTTTGGCGTGACCTCGGTTGAAAAGAAATGGGGAGCGTATGGTATTGAATACTGCAATTTGATTCGTCGATATTTCAAGATGAGAAAACGCTCTTTCCGGTGATATATTTCTAGAGACTGTCCTTAAAGAATTAATAGGAGAGATTTGCGTATCAAAACTTTCGATGCTGTTTTTTTATGGAACCAGTGATCGTACTGACTATGGAAATATATCGGCAGAAAGCCCGTTCATTCCTCTTCAAGAATAACACCGCCATTATAAGCAAATAAATACCGGACGCTCCCCATTAGCTCGCAAGCAGGGCCACCATCGCCCCAGTTTCGTATAAATTCTTTCTCCTTCCCGGAACGCAGCTGATGAGCCGTTGGTCGGGAATGGTGATTTTCTACCTTCCCTTGTGGGTGGTTGGTGGGTGCTCTTGTGTGGTTTGCTTCTTCTTTCCTATCAAACATCTATCGTCCTTATCTCCCCTCCTTTTTTATGTTTGTTACTCTCTTGTAACTCCTCTAATCTTCTGGCGCTCATATTACCTTATGCAGTTGCGAGTGTCGTAAAACCTCTACTAAAACAAACAACCTCCCCTTGTATTTCTAGCCATTTTGGTCAAAAAGCCATATATTTACGTCAATAAATTTCCATCTTCTGGCTATGTGATACCCCTGAAAAAAAATTGAACTTGTTCTCTATGTGCATGGAATTGTGTTTACAAGTTTTTGTGAATGTCCATTCAAATTTAAGAATGTTATGACATCTCAAAGTGAAGACATTTCGCAATTTAAAAAAATATAGCATTTTTCTGCAACTTCAGATGTTCATAACTTTGTTAAAAATGAAGCTATACGTATAAATTTGGTATCAAAATGCTCAGAATAATAAATTCTATAAGGTGGTGCAGTTATCTATGAAATCAGAGGACTTTGAAATTTCAATCTGTGGTACCTACTACCACCTATTTTGAACTTGCAATATAGAAATAAGGAAGGTATTGCTTACTTTCTCTGCTCTACGCACTTTCAAAAACGGTAAAGGCTTGAAATTGTTCGAAACACGATTCTTTTAAAGATTAAAAATCTCTGCTGTGTAAGATATTTCATTGACATTTCCAGTGCAAATATAAACACGGGAAAACTCATAATTGCTTAAATTAAGTTATACATTAGTTTGGTGTACACCTTGGTGTTATGATTTCAGAGCAGAACGGCCCCCAACACTTTTTTTTTCTTTTTTCAAGTCATTGATTTATTTGGTCCCTTTTCCTATTTTTTTTCTCAGGAATCCGTAGAGCTACCACTCACTCACCCTGAGTACTATGAGGAAATGGGCATCAAACCCCCCAAGGGTGTCATTCTGTATGGTCCTCCTGGAACAGGTATAATTTTGCAATGCCAATCGCCCGCTGCGACTTGGACCGGAAATCGGCCTCCGCGCGAGGGGTAATTTTTGGGCCGCTCAGAATCAGAAGTGACTCTCTTCTAAGTATAGTTACGGGAAAACTCCTGGACGAAAATAAATGAAACTCGGCAACCAATCAGAGGAAAGGTTAAACTAACGACCTGCCAGCGTACAATCCCAAACGATTACTAGAACCGGAGATATTGCCGTGTTTGTGCGAATTTCCTCTGCGGTTCGAAAACTAAGTGGAGCTGCGGGTTGATCGCTGCAAGTGCCCCACATGTCTTCTTTATTGCTGTAAAATTTCAAATCTCTGCGTTGAGTAGATTTTACGTACCAACTTAAAATTACCACCCATCCATTGATAAAACACTAGAGCTGGAAACTAGGTCACGCATTCCAAACGCGAGGTGCCGGCATGCAAGAGGCGCGTGATCGCTAGGCGGCATGTGATTGGCTGCCTATAACTAAATAGGTCACCGATGACTACATCGCGGGTTTTCCCGATAGCGCTTTACTGAGTTTTAGAAGGGGTGATCGCGTCACGGTAAAAACGATGTCACGCAATTCAACAAATTTCACGCAAATATCAGTCTTTAAGATCCAAAGTAATAAAGACATCGAAAAAGTGATAACAGAACTAGATTCTGCACTAAAAATCACATGAAGATGCCAAGTTTCATTCATATGCTCCCATTCATTACTGACTTATGAACAGTTTTTTCTCAAAATACATCAAAACATGTCCCACATTTTGGCGATTTTTTCCATTATGAAGGTCCTCCAACATTTTGCAAACAAAAATCCCAATAACTTTTTAATTTATCAATGGATTTTTAAAATTTAAAAACCATAGTTCTTACAATTTACTGTATTTTCATTTAAGCCCATTTTTAAGCAATTAGGACGAAAATTAAATTTTTCATTGTCATTGCTATATAATTAACTTGTGGTGCCCTGAGCTTACTAGGGCTCCTTTGCTCTTTTTCTGTCATTCTGAAGTAAGTTCAAGGAGAAATTTCTTTAAAGTGCAAGTGACACAAAATCGGTAAATTTTTAACTGAATAGTATTTTTTATTGTCCTAGCCTGTACTAGTAGTATTGACGATGAACTTTGCCTGATGGCAGCCACTTTTATGCACCAAGTATGGTCTCAGACTTGCAGATTGAAGGCATTTTCATTAGACGTTGGCCTTGGAAATTTGAGGGTTTGGGTACACTGAAAGATGTATTGTGGTATATTATCATGAAATGTCAGTATTCCTATTTGCATGGAACTGGCCAAATTAAGCAAGAGACACAAGTCAATAAAGAAAAGTTGTCTGGAGCAAGAATTAAGCTCTATGTGGCCAGTAATTAGTATCTCTTTATAATGAAATCTGTTGGCTTCGGCCAACTGTAATGTGGAGAAATTTCTTTAGTTCCAGATTTCCTCTTTGGTAGGACAAGAGGTGTTAATTAAACTCTACTTCATATATCGAGGATCCATTCTTTGAACCCTTTCTGTTGGGCTTTTTGTTCTTTGGATCAAAGGAGGAACTTTGGAGTAGAACATATTTTTGCCTTTCTATACTGACAAATAGTTTTCCTTTTTCTTTTTTTTGCATTTTTAGTTTACCTGATTCATGCTGTTTTGCTGTTTCTGCAGGAAAAACTCTGTTGGCTAAAGCTGTTGCCAATCAAACATCTGCCACCTTCCTGAGAGTTGTTGGCTCAGAGCTCATTCAGAAGTACTTGGTAAGGTTTATCAATTTATTAATGTCGATAGGTTATTTTTCTTTAATTATTTAATAAAATGTTATGCAAAATTCAATATAACTTTTTTATAGAAGAAGGAACAATTTGCTGATATCAATAGTTTTTGCCTTTTTTCCCCCTCCGCCCACTATCTTCCAGTTTTAGTTTTCCGTTTCTTTTTATAAATTTTGTAATTATGATCATGGGGTCAAAGTATCCTACTTCTTAAAGTTTAATAGTTCCATACTGTAAATTTCACGTTTTCCCAATTTCAGGGTGATGGTCCGAAGTTGGTTCGGGAACTGTTTCGTGTGGCAGAGGAGCACGCACCTTCCATTGTCTTCATCGACGAAATCGATGCAGTTGGAACAAAAAGGTTAGTGTGACCATATAAACGGCTTATAAATATTTTTTTATTGTGTTAATTGTATTATTTTACCATGAATTCTACAATGCATGCACTCGTAATATGAAGTTTCTTTGTGTTAACGAAAAATGGTTAATAAGTCATACTAGCTAAAATGGTGAGGAATATTTTAATGTATACAATGGAAAAGAAGAATAGAAAAATCCGTAGCTGACTCAAGAAAAGAATTGCTAATGACGCTTTCCTGTCTTTATTTTCTTTTCACTTCTTGTTCTGCTTTGCTTCAGGTATGAGTCGAACTCAGGTGGAGAGAGAGAGATCCAGAGAACTATGTTGGAACTTTTGAATCAGCTGGATGGATTTGACTCAAGAGGTGATGTGAAGGTGAGGTTTATTTGTAATGTGTCAACGTGTCTTGACTTTTTCTTCTTTTTTAAAAATCTCTGCTTTTCTTTCTTACTTACTAGAAACTCGTTTGTGGCTGTATTTTATTCTGAAGTTGATGTGTCTTCATTAAGTTTTCTGAATTGAAATCTTTACTGGACATGCATGTGAAGATGAAGCACCTCTGGCTGCCATGCTCTCTTTTATGACTTCAGTGTAACGGGAGTTTTGGACAAAGAAAGGTGAACAGTTTTAAGTGAATAGGATTTCAAACCTCAGCCAAACAGAGGACAATTATTTTAAGTAATTGTGAGGCATTAGTGATTTGAATCTTTGCAATTTTTTATATTTGAGGGAGAAAGGTCATTGTCCAGCTCTCTTTCTTCCTCAGTATTCAGAATGTTTTACTCTTACAAGTGTCAAAATTTTACATCATCTTGCTAATCTATTCATTATGTGTTGCTCAGAATGCATTCTGCCGTTCCTTTTACTTGTAATAGTTTTTCTGTCGAAAATTTATATGGTGCAGATGACTCCACTTGTCTTTAAGTTACCTGAGTTTATCTTCAGTTAAGTTGATCTTTTACTCATGTAACGGCACTTCTTCTGTACATTTGTTTAAGTCAAACCAAAGGTGAAGCTGAGTTCAACTCGGACGTACAAATGTAGATTGTGAATAAACAACATGTCAAAAAGTGATAGTTTTACGGTGCTCAGGAATACCAATGTAACCAGCTGTAGGGAGAGGATGAGTTTTTTTTGGGGTGGTACAAGTTAGTACACACACATTGTTAGTTTTGCCATCAGTGGAGGCTTGCAACCAACCATCCCCCCCCCCCCCCCCCCCCACCCGTCTGTCTGTCTGTTTCTCTCTCTCTCTCCCTCTCTCTCTCTCTCTTTCACGCACCCGCACACACACACACACACACACACATACAGAGTTATGCAAACACATATATATGTGTGAGCACACAGTGATTAATGAAATAAATTAATATTGCTTGCTAGAAAAACCTTTCCGGTAGCAGACCTTTTTACCACTGTAATAATTAAAACATGAGAGGGGGATATTTAGTCATGTCCTTTGATTTTTTCTATCTCAAGTTGAACTTCAGATCAGCCGCTACTTTTTTCACTCCCACAATTAACTCATCCGTAGTTGACTTTAATTGGTTGCACACTTTCTAGGGTAAAAACTTTTTAAAAACTTTTCTAAAAAGAAACTAAAACGGTTCACTTTCTTGTTGTGTGCAGGTTGTCATGGCCACAAACAGAATTGAAACCTTGGATCCTGCATTGATTCGCCCTGGAAGAATTGACAGGAAAATCGAGTTCCCCCTTCCAGATGAAAAAACAAAGCGTCGCATCTTCACCATTCACACTAGCCGAATGACACTGGCTCATGATGTCAGCATTGAGGATTATGTCATGTCCAAGGATGATTTGTCAGGAGCTGATATCAAGGTAAGCAAAAAAAAATTAAAAAATAGGGAAATGTTGTTGTGTCTTCTTATCCAATTCAACATGTGGCTGGTTTACAGATGAATGGGAAGGAAGAGTTTGTTCCTAGTGCAGCTATGTTTGTATTTTTTGATGTTTGGGATTAAAATTTACCCTGTGATAATCAAGCTATTACATTAATTGTATTGGGAAGTACTTGGTGGTTGTGGGGCAATTTGTATGTGTGCGGTAACTTTCACCTGCTTTCTTTGCTGGTAAACATAATATCCGATTTCTGACTCTCCATGGAACACACATCTGATGTCATAGTGACTCTTTTTAAACCTCACACATGCATGATTCTTGTCAGTCTCAAGGGTGTTCCATTTTTAGTTGTAAAGCTGATGACCTTTGTACAAGTGCAAAAAGTCTTACAGTATTCATTAAGGATTTTCTTCACACTGTTCACATTATCAGCAGAAACAAGCTATGATTGTGGACATTCGGATCAACTCGACCATTTCTTTTTTATTGAATGATATTGGGGAATTGAATTGAGAGTCTCCACTGGTATTGTAATCAACTTAAGCAGTTCTGATAGGTGGCTAAAGTGCCTCAAGAATAATTTAGAGGAAATACGGAGGAAGATCAAGAGTTACCCCTGTTTTAGATCTGGGACAGGGTGGTATAAATTGCCTGATTTTTTCCCCATAAAAGGTATGATTTATGGGATAGAACATTGTGTAGGGATTCTTCTTATGGCATGGTTTTCAAGGTACTTAACTCGTCTTTTGAACCAACCCCTTCAACTCATGTTTCCTTCTTATTAATTTAGGGGCTTCTTTTTATTCTGTTATTTGTATATGGGGAATTGAATTACATGGCAGGATGAATTTAATGTTGTCAATTTTTTCCTTTCAAAGACTAGTGACCACCGGCTCACTTTAACTTTTGATTGAATGTTGCTTTTCAGTCAATTTGTTACTTCTGTCTGTACTTTCAGGCTATCTGTACTGAAGCTGGGCTGTTGGCTCTGCGTGAAAGACGCATGAAAGTAATGAATGAGGACTTCAAGAAAGCGAAGGAGAATGTTCTGTATCGCAAGAATGAAGGCACTCCTGAAGGACTGTATTTATAATTTCTCATTTTGTTCATATATATGTACTGTTTTTCATATTCTCTTTGTCCATCTGGGTCCCAGTTATAAATCTTATTCTGGCTGGGGGGGGGGGGGGGGGGGGGAGAACAAAGCATGGTCCTGCAAAAAAATCTGTTGAGATAATGCTCAGAGTGAAATGATGTCAATTTAAATCATATTTCATGGATTTTTTTTGATTTTTTTTCCAAGGTACTGAACCAGTTTTAAGACTTTTATCTTCTCCATATTAGTTACCTGAGAATTAAAAGTCTGCACACATAGTTTATTCAGGTTTTTTTGTTTACCTCTTTTTTTTAAAAAGGAAAAAATCTTAATAGTATAAAGCTCACTATAATGGAATTCCTCTTATGTACCGTATGTAGGGTTCTTTTGTGAATGTGCTTTAAGATTATGTGGATAGAAGCATTTTGTATGTTTAATTTGAAGAAAAAATGAGATGATTGGTACCGGTATTGAAATAAAGAATTTTTTGGGGAGACGAATTCGAAGAGATGTTTTTCAAGTTTAATAGTGTGCTTCAGGTGTGTGACCTCTTATGAATGTGCTTCAAGGTAAATTTGGAAGGATTTTGTCTTTGTTGTACTGGGAAGAATTGTCAAATTGGCTGGTTTCAGGAATACTGTAATAGGGGGGTGAGACCAACTGGTAGTATTGTTTAAAGTTAAAAAATGGCTTGAGATCATGTGTATTGGAAGAAAATGTCAATAAAAAGAAAATATTGACTGACTGCACATTTTTTTTTTTCATGTTGTGTTGTCAGTGTGAAATGTAAAATTGTTAAATCTGTTACTTTTACTACTTCCATTTGTTTTTTTGCAGGCATTTTGGTGTAGTCTGCTCCTCCTTCTTTTAGATGTTACTATTTTAATTTCTTCACAAGGAAGTTATGTCTGCTGACTTATTTTTTAACTACATCTTGACTCTTTTTATGCTTCGGAGTTTTCACTATGGGTCATATAATTCCTGAACACATAAATTCAATCCTAAATGTCAGGAAACTGTAAGATATCTGAAAGATTGATGGTTTGCTTAAAGCATGGATATATTTTTTAAAATGGTTTTGGCCTTCTGCTGTCTATGGATTTGTTGGCCATTCACTCTTTCTGGGAATGGGAAACCCTTCAAAGAGCTGTAACAAGCAAAACCATTGTGTTTTTGTTATGTAAATCAGTGAGGAAGTGGACTCATTTTCTTTTACAAAATGTACAGGTTTAGAAAATTCACTAGCAAAATCCCAGTCTGATGAAAAGGACGATATCCAACTAGCATTGAAGAGATTGCAGACTGTATAAAAATGTGTTCCTTTTTATTGTATTAAATTTCAGTCCGTCTCTGTGTGTCTACTTTCATCTCTCTGTTTCAGTCTTCTCTCTACATCAAGACATAAACAAGCCTTTCTGGTGAGGAATCAAACCACTATATAAGTACCAATGACACAGACTCTTTATCGCAAAATTGTAGATAATAGATTTAAAGTGATGAAATGGTCAAAGCATGAATCTCAGCATGTGCATGCCACGAACACATTTACTAGTAGCAGTAAAGCAAGGTGTGGAGAAAATGAATTGTTGCCATCATTAGCCAATTAGCGTGTATCCTGGGCCAGAGTTCTACATTATACCATTGGATAAAAAGGCACAAATTACCAGAAATAAATACCCATTACTGTAGGCTTCATGACTACAGTTAGTCTATTTTGGACTCTGTTTTTAGTCTTGTCAGAATTTTGTAATATTCGGTTTCCGAGACTTTTGGTTTAAAAAATTTGGAGTTTGCTTTTAAATACATGTGATGTATATATATGATTAAGCAAGGGAGTCTTCTTCTTCACTTCAGTTCTCACTATCAATAGGATAAGCACAGTTCCTTCAATGGAAATTCTAAAAAAAATACCCAACCAATTTGAGGCCTTCTATTTATTCAAAATTGACTGACGGAAGTTGAGAAAGAGAAAATTATATTTCAGCGTCTTATCGCTCCAACAAAAATACTGTTGAACAACTTACTTCTGTTTATGTGGAAGTAGAACTCTCTGTCTTGAAATAGAGTTTTAGTATTTATATATAAAATTGGAGGAAAAGATCATAAATAAGAGCTTAATTATCGCTGATCAAACGAGTGACAGCAGCAAACTTTTGAATAAATTTATGGGCTCAGTGCTCTTGAAGTTTCCTATGGACAAACTGCCTTTATTCTTGCGGGCCATGAATATACTCCTGTATCTTGGGAGGACAATCTAGAAGTTGACCCATTGGAGCTCCAATGCACCAGACCTCTGGGCTCAGGCCTCATACTCATAAGTTAGTACTTGTTCTGCAGGAATTTTTGTAGGGAATACATTTTAAGTGGGCTGGTAAAACATATTAGAGTATAATCCGCTTATATCAACATGCTTTGGGAAGTGGATTGGATGACCATATATAAAATTTAAAATGTCAATAAATGAATTATGAAGCCAAAGAGGAAAAAACAAGGGCAGGTCAGCGGTAAAAAGACAACGCTGCTTCTGCAACATGCAGCGAGAGAATGAACGTGAGTGAAGATGTGAAGAAAAGAATAGATCTCAAGGTCCACTAAGAAGATGATGTAGGCTTACACAACTACACAGTGAAACTAACAAGAGAGGGGGGGGGGGTAGAGTTGCGGTACCAAAGACCAAGCAGCGAGAGGTGAGTGAGCAATCGGGAATGGGGATAGGGAGGTGATCCCAAGCGCGAGACACGCTCATGTCTGTGAGGCACTGTACTGTGTTGGGGACTACACTGTGTAGGCCGGGAGGCCCTACATGACCTACTAAAGCCTGGAGTGTCGATATTAGGTGACTTGGCGGGTATGCGGACTTGTTGAAGAACTAATGCGTTGACTGCGGTTGACAGCGTGGCTTTTCCCCCCCATTTATGTTCGTGGGCGTCGCCATGTACCCATGAAGCATGACGATAAAGCAGAGTGGACCAAAAAAAATGTCGATAAAAGAGAATTTGTTTAGTGAAGATATTCAAGGAAAAATTTCGTATGGAAAATATGTTGATACATCGGGTGTCAATATAAGTGGATTATACTATATATATATATATATATATACAATCAAACCTCTTTGTTTGGCGCTCATATGACCTTAGGCATTTGCGAGCGCCGAAAACCTCTACTAAAACTTTAAAAAACCCCAGTGTACTGCCAGCCCCACAACACGTTTTGCTAAAATACGAAAAGGAGCATGTGTATAAATGTAAATATAGTACAGTGGAGTCCACTTATAACGAGTCCTGAAACAACGAGAAGTCTGTTATAAAGACATCATTCTAAAACCCCATTTTTTCCCCTTCTTTATCTTTGTAAATAAAATATTGCTATAGCGCAATCACATAAACGTGCGAGTCGGTTATAGCGGTATATTGCTGCTCCTTGCACAGCGCATAGGCCATTGAAACAAGAAAACCTCGCCAGTTGAGAAACTTGTTGGTTATCAAGCGAAACAAAGAATGAGAGAGCCCATGTGTACCAACGATGATGGCCGGAGCGAATGAGTGGGGAGTGTGTAGCACGCGCAGACACACCGTTGTGAAGCAGAACGCACTGCCTGATAGTGATAGGCCAGCCTAGTCTAGATTATATCTAGGCCCAGATATCTATCATGCCTCTCACTTCTCCGATGCGGGGATGGAGAGGTCACAGTGCTGTGATTGATCATGGAGCGAATATGAGGCGTGCGCAAGCAGACGCGGGAACGCACCACAGGGTGTGGTGGGGTGGGGGGAAAACACAGCGAGCGAGTTAGCCTGGAGAACTTTCGTTCTGATAGCCAACGCCGAGCTGTCAACATCGCTAATGTTAGAGAAAGAAACCTGAATCAATTTTTGATCAAGAAAGACCTAGCGGTCATGTTGAACAAAGCCAGCATCGGAGGAGATAATAAAAAGAAATAAACAGAACACCAAGCTCATAGATTAGGCCTACTTTATTATTTCCTTTGAATTTATTACTGGATCCCTTACAACGAAAATCCTGCTATAACGGACATTTCGTACCGGTCCCCTCCCTCTCGTTATAACAGGATTCCACTGTATTTATTCCTTCGTAGGGCCATCTGCCAACTAAGTTGTACAGCCCTTATTTAACTAATATTTATATAAATCAGCTCCGCCATACTGCCAGAGGTACACACTGCACACAGCGCACAACAACCACTGGTTGGCTACTTGATTGCTGATATTTTAAGACAATATGGCATGAATTACCATCTTTATGCTGATGACACTCAAATTTATAAGTCTATTGATTTCGATCAAATACCACTTTTAGTCGACTCTACTGAACAATGTACTAGAGATTTAAAAATATGGATGACCAGCAATAAATTGAAACTAAATGATGACAAGACGGAAATAATGTTGAGTGGAAATACAAAAGCCATTAAAAATCTCCCAGAGCTACAAATTGATATTAATAACCATACCATTCGTTCAAAAAGAAGTCTTAAAAATCTAGGGGTTCAGTTGGATTATGATATGTCCATGTCCTCCCAAATAAGCCAGCTCAGCAAAAGTATTTACTTTCAGCTTAAGAAAATTGGCAGTGTAAGAAATTATTTAACTAAAGCAGCAGCCAAGACACTTGTAACAACACTCATTTTATCAAAGTTAGATTACTGTAATGTATTTTTTCCGGTTTGACATCCGAAAAACTATCAAAGTTACAAGTACTCCAAAATCAAGCAGCAAAATTGATAATGAAACAAAAGAAATCAGCCCACGTAACATCAATTCTGAAAGAACTACACTGGCTGCCAATAAAAGAAAGGATTAAATACAAAACTGCCGTTCTCTGTTTTAAATGTATAAATGATAGTGCACCTTTTTATCTTAAAACATTCCTGGAATTATATAATCCACCTAGAGCCCTTAGATCAGCCTCTGACAATCTAATTCTTAAAACTACAAAACAAAACTACAAAACATACGGCGAGCGTTCCTTTTTGTTCTTTGGTCCCCAGGTACGGAACGAAATCCCATATAAAATAAGATCTGCCCCAACAATTTCCATTTCCAAAAATCAGCTGAAGCATTTTTTATTCACAAAAGCATACCTGTCATAATGATGTACTGTGATATATATGCATGTGTATGCCAGACTGTGAGACTGGAGAAATAGCGAGTGAGAATGAGAGAGAGAAAAAGAGAGAGAAAAGAGAGAAAAAAGAGAGAAAAAAGAGAGAGATAGCGAGAGAGGGAGAGAGATAGAGGGAGAGAGAGAGAGGGAGAGAGAGAGAGACAGACAGAGAGAGAGAGAGAGAGAGAGAGAGAGAGAGATAGAACGGAAATGTTTTTCTATCTGTATAGAATTAATGTTTTAATGAATGTTTCTAGTTACTCACGTTTCAACTGTATTTTGACTGTTCGTGAATTTATATTGCATTGTATATTTTTAGTGAACACATTTTCAACCTCACTGCGAGACTGTTTTTCTGGTATAAAATTTTACACATATGCATTTATATTATATGAATAATACTTTGTTTTACGTACACATTTGTGTCGATTAATTTTTAAGATGTGATGTCTTTTCAATGTAATGCGCATTGAGCATCTTTTAGGAAATGGAAATGCGCAGTATAAATGCTATTTATTATTATTATTATTGATAATCTTTCTCCCACAAGAAAGACAGAGAGAAAGAAGACTCTCGGTTCTGAACACATGTGCATGTACGAGACGCTACATATTTTATATCACCAACAAGAAGACACTTTTCAAACGCAGATCACACAGCAGAATCATGTTCCTTGGTGTTGTGCAGTCGGGACTATACGACAGAGGAACCCCGTTGAACTACTGTTCCGCTTAATTCATGGTCATCCCAAGTCCCAAGGTTGGCTGTATAACGACGATTGACAGGATAAAGACTTCATTGTTCCAAAAGATGACAGATTTGACATATGCAGGTACAGTGTTGAAAAGAGATATCTAAGAGTACCATCTGAAGAATATAATAATAATAACTCTCACACTGCTTGAGGTGCACTTCAGCCGAAGCACATTCTTCCCCTCTCCCCTCTCAACTTTTGAATCAACATGTACACAGTATTTTAAGATAATGCTTTCCATGTCTACACAAAACCATACAATATAAAAACTTTGCTTGTTACTTTTTAAAACCATTTATTAACAATAAAATACTGCACACAAAACATGAAACAGATTACAATCATCATGAGCCTTTCCCTCTGAACAGGTTCAACAAATTTTCTGCATCATCTTTCGCATCATCAAAGACTCTAGTCACAGCATCTCTTTTGTCAATAGATCTGTCAAAGATGCCCCAGTCCATGAGACGGTAGACTGCTCCAACTTGACATACTGTAAAGAAAAGAGAAATGAGAGATGACCAATAGCATCTCATAATTATGAAACAATATAATAATAATAGATAGCATTTGTATATTTATCGCAAATCCCCGCTCAACAGCAAGATCTATGCGCTTCACAATCTATGCTATTACCCCAGCAGACCTGAGAGCATTCTGAAACAACCTCAACTTCCTGGGAAGCATACAGTGCAAGCGGTCATTATTAGGCGCTGAAACACTAACATATTGACAAGATCTTTCGCTGTCTATGGCCGGGTAGCCATTCCCACCTGGGTGAAGTGAAGAAAATTCGTGTAAAGTGCCTTTCCCAAGGACACAACGTCGGTCCCGCGGCCCGAACCACTGAACCCGCAACCTTATGATTACGAGTTGGGTAGCCTAACCACTAGGCCACCGATGCCACAATAAACAGTATGTGTTTTCAGACTCTCATCAATTTTTGAGGACGTGGAGTTTTTTGGTATCATCTTAAAGAATGTTAAGTTGTCTTGTTTTTCGTGATAAAATACCATGTCTTGAACTTGAATGGAAGTTGAGATATTTGTGATTGAAGGAGTTGGGAGTTGTTGCCTTGTGTCAGATGTACAATAAGCAAGAAATGGCCGCCTCAGTTTGGTGACTTCCAAAGCTTGGGATTCCTTAGAAAACAGCAAATTTATATTTTTTGTGCTTTGATCAATGTTTTTCAATAGAATCCACACAGAAACTTTAAAAAATCGATTATAAAAATTGCCTATCGGTTGGAAAAATGTTGGGTTTCTTCAATTTGACAATTTCGATGAGAGCATGATTTCACCACAATGACAAATAAATATTATCACTTTGTACCAATTTATTTCAGCCACTAAATCAAATGCTCATTAGAAGTTTAAAAAAGGGAAGCAAAAGCACATATTCAATACATGAAAACCCCTTAAATTATAAGTAAAGAAATATAGCGTGAGAGAATATTAGATCCTTCCCTGCATGTGCAAACACTTTTTCTTTTTGCATTCACTACAACTAGATTTTACTTGCCCACATAGGGGCTTTATGAGCCATCAACCGAGTATTCATTGAAGGACTAATCATTGAATGTGATCTACCCGCCAATTTAAAAAAAAGTGGTAAACCTTAATATTCCAGCACAGTTTTCATGTTAATTACAGTCCATGCCGGCTATAAGCACGGTCGTCGGGAGAAAGCTTAAGCGAGCTTAAAGCCGAAGCATGCTTGAGTGCGAAGTAGACATAATCCAGAGATTTTCAAGTAGAAAATTTCCCCTGCTATTTCTCTTTGTTTGTAAGTAGGCCTATAGCGGTCCCGCAAAAGTGTGCACTGTTATTTAGACACCCGCCATGGTAGTTTTTGTTCGCTTGTTTGTTTTTGTTTTGTGGTCGAATGGGAAATGAAAACTTAATTTAGACGGCCAGTCACGATACAGCACACTAGGCCTACACACTGCCTGTGCGTACCACTGCCCGCTGTGCCACTCATACCACCGCCTTCATCCCACCTCGCGCGTGATACACAATCAGGATTAATGGATAGCGAGGGTCAACAAAGGTGAAATCGCAGCCAGCCTCCCTTTCTAGTCTCCCGACTTTCTTTGTATTTTTTTTGGTCCTGAGTAGCTTTGCCCTAGGCCTAGGCTAGATCCTATGTCTGCGCGTACGGCTGTGTGCATCTGCCTTCCTCTCCGCCCGTGTGAGTGTGTGTGTCCATCACTTGTGTTCTTTGTGTTTCTCTTGACACACTCTACTGCTGCGGTGTAGACTGTGTTCGAACTTCGATGGGTCATCATGAAAATATTGACTGTCTTGTAAATGAAGCGTGCTTGAAGCCGAAGTTACAGTGCTTAAAGGTGTGTAATTTATATAGCAAAAATTTGGTAAGAGCCGTTTAGCGTGCTTGAGTCCGAAACGTGCTTAAAGCCGGCACAGACTGTACTCATTACTGCCCAGATGCCAAAACGCAATAAATTGTGACTGTGAATCTTTTTTTTTTCTCAACCAAGTTACCATTGAAACAGGAAAAAGATAAATGATGTCACAACATGAACAATTAAAAAAAGATTTAGGTGTTATTTAGTGACTGAAGGAACTAAAATTTGGGGTAACATTTATTATTTCATAAAGAGGATGTACTGACTGCCAATTCAGTCCATAGCCTTTAATTTTGCTTACAACTTACCTACTGGTGGAAATCACTGACAAAATTATTTAAAAAAAACAACATTTAATGAACTCAACAGTGAAAGCATATAGCTTGCATCAAAAGGCTGATGTTTTATTCTAAGGAAGGACTGCTGATTTTCATGTTTTCTTATGCTATGCACAACAGGAAGCAATACGAATAAAAGTACAGATATGATAGGCCCATTATATAACAATTAGACTTACAACAGCATAGGCCAGCAGAGCCAGACAGCTGCATGTAGATTCGCCATCTCTCCAAATGGGGATTGCTGCATAAGACAAAGAACAAAACAATATGTGTCACGACGTGGTGAAATCAGGCGCTCGTCAAATTTTGGGCATATAGGGTTATTGGTATCATCTTAAAGCCTGTTCATTTGCCTGCCTTTGGGTGAAAAAAAATATCCAGATATATGTTACATAATAGTCGAAATATTTGCGATTGAAGGAGGTCAGGTCGCCTAGTTTCAGAGATAAAATTAGCGAGAAAATGGCCGCCAAAGTTTGGTAACTTCCACAGCCTGAGAGTCCTTGGGAACTGAAAATTTACATGTTTTGAGGCTTTACTCATTGTTCTTCAGTATAATCCACACAAACATGTGTTTTTAAATGGACATAACAGGTGTTAGCCAAAAAAAGGAAATTTAAAAAAAATTGCCAATCGGCCAAAAAAAAAGCTGATTTCTTTGATTTCACAATTATGACGAGTGCCTAATTTAACTACGCTGCCTCACATATAAGGTTCCTACAAACGTGCAACCATTGAAGCAGGTGTGATAATTATTTGTATAATATAAACTGCAAGCAGAGGTACTATTGGGGCTGGGAAGTGAAGTAAAACATTCTGCAGTTTGTTCACAAAATTCAGAAACTAGGATGCCCATGAAAAGCTGAAATCTATATATATATATATATATAGATCTGATCAGTATTTGAATTTAAAACTCATCCTAGACAAAAGGTTCAAGGTTCAATTCTCAGGAAAATAAAACAAAGATCAGCATAACCCTAAACTAAGAATTAATATCTTCTTTTGCAGAGTTTCTTTAAAAAAACAACAACAACACAATAATAAAGTAAGTAAAAGGCAAAATAACAAGCACAAACACTACGTATTGACACTTCGAGAAGACAAGACGGGAGAAATATGTGTCACGAAGCGGTGGAATCAGGCGCTCGTCAATTTATGGGCATGTAGAGTTATTGGTATCATTGGAAAGCTTATTCCTTGCCTTGCTGTCAATAAAAAAAAATTACCATCTTTCTTGAATAGAAATCAAGATGCTTGCCATTGAAGGAGGTGGGGGTCGCCTGGTTTCAGTGGTAAAATTAGCGAGAAAATGGTTGCCAAAGTTTTGTAATTTCAATAGCTTCAGAGTCCTTGAAAACTGAAAAATGTCGTATTTTGTGGCTTTAATCAACGTTTTTCAGTAAAACATCACATGAAAATATGTTTTTATATGGACTTACAAGGTGTTGAGTCAAAAAAAAAAATTTGATTAAAATGGCCAAACTGGCAGAAAAATGCCTGTTTTATCGATTTAATTATTTTGACGAGCATCTGATTTCACTACAATGCCTCACATATCAGCGTCTATAATTTCAACATCCCCATTCCCCCAAGCTCAAGTTATACATCTTTATTGGTAGGATGAGTAACAGCTTACATAATTGGTAGGCCTGCTTAATTTTAAAATGTCCACCACAGCATACATGTCAACTCCGACCTGCAATGATAGAAACTGTAGGCTTACATTTTCAATGAGCGGAAGTGGAGTTCACTCCAAACATAAATAGGCTACACTTCATGTGGCACAAATAGCGACCACAATTAAACCTATTTCCTTAATAAAGATACTCATAGAGAGCTCACTTGAACTATGCTTACCTTCTTCGAAATTTGAACCCTTGCCACATGAGTGCGGCACCAAGAAGTGAGAAATTAACAACTGTAATAAGCTTCCATCCCATCGTCTCATCATCTTGTAAAGGGACATACTGAAGAACAAATTTTTCCCAAGCTGGTATATCTTTTTCGTCTCGCACCTGACTTGCTTCCATGGTAAGTTTTTCTACATGCTTCTGTTCCAGTTCCTCTCTCTGCTGCAACCATTCTCGACGGTCCTCCAAGAAAACACCACGCCTGGCAGATTCCATTTCTCTTTCCATTGCCGCTCTCTGTGGGCATGAAACAGATATATTGTAAATGAAAGAAGAAAGAACAAAGGGTTAATAATCATTCAGTTACTGACAGTACGACAGGTAACAATTGACATAATAAGTTCCAGTGTGTGGAACTTTGATGTGGTTGAAAATGTGAGACAATCCAAGACACTTGATCTTGCCCTTTTGCTGTACCAGTACAGTAAACACTCAACATTGTCTCAATGAATGCATTCAACTTCTAGTTTAATGAAAATACAGAGGTCAAACACCTCATCTTTTCAGTATGACAAAACATAAAACTGTAAGTTATAAGCACTTTTTTCTTTGTTGTAAATACATGTACCAATGCAATAATAGCCTTCTCTTTTTCTGTTGTACTCTGTTTCTGTCTAATAGTCTTGCAAATTTTCTACAGCGCAAAATCAGACAGACATTCATTTATCTAAAAAAACATGTATTTTCAGAAAACATAAAGAATGTTTACACTTCTTCAAACTGGTCACTCACCCTGAATATTTCCCATCTGAAAAGTCCTTCTCGCTTGCTCTGGAAACATTTGATAGTAACACATAGTTAAGGGAAAATATTTGAATCACAAAGAATCAGCATTGTAATACAGTGGAAACCTGATGTAACAGGGATGGTGGGACCAGAGAAAAAATCCTGTTAATGTTATATCAGATCCCTGTTAAATCAGAAATGCAAGGGAAGTTGGTATTGTGGACTAATCAAGCTGTATTTATTCATGGGAAGTATCCCATGGCCTGCGCATGACACATTCCGCATGCGTTTAGCTAAGCTTAGGACTAGATCGAAGTCTGCAGCACATCGCAGCCCTCTCTCGCTTCACCGGCTGTGTGTGCTTGCAGTGGCGTGGTTTGCGTGGGCTTGCTCCATCACTACGTTTCTCTCTCTCTCTCTCTCTCTCTCTCTCTGTCTCTCTTACTTTTTACACATTGTTAACCAGCCTTTGTCCCTGCTATAACCGATTGGGCTCCGATGAGGCCCTGTTATTGCCCATAACTTTTAAAAGAGACAAAGAGTAGGTCTATGAAAAAAACGGGGATTTAAAAAGCCCCTGTTATTATCAGATCCCTGTTATTACAGGGCCCGTTATATATGGTTTCAACTGCAGTAGCTCCCAAATTCAGTTGCAGAATGGAAGCAATAAGTACAGACCACTGGTCAAAGATCCAATCAATGAGTTGAGGAGGGGAGATCAATCCATAATCTTCCAACTTAGAACACAACATGTAGGCTACCCCTCAACCAACATCTCAACCGAATAGGAGTAAAGCAGTCTGCTGCCTGCCCACTATGTGACTACCCCTCAGAGACAGTGGAACATCATCTATTTTTCTGTAGAAAACTAACTGATTTAAGGGGATGTTTTCTTGCCAAGCTACCCCACACATCTAATTGCCTCTACTCCTCAAGACAACAGTTAGAACAAACATGCAACTATTACCGAATGGCATCATGCAGAAGAGTTAACGCTCAGATGCTACTGGATCGCTAACAACAACAACAAGTACAGTTTCAAATACAGTCAAACCTGCTCTAATGGTCACCTGTCCCAGACAAACACATGTACAAAAGACCACTTCCCACCTTTGTTTTTTTTAATACTATATAATGACACGGTCCAAAACGCCCCCTGTCTCGGACAATCACTTTTTTCCTCAACAATGAGAGACCATCTTAAAAAATTTTGACTGTTGTCAGTTAATATCTCCCAGCTTATCAAAAAGCAAAATTCTCAAATACACGCAAATAAATAACACAAGTGATGGTGTTCACATGAAATCTTTGACACATCAGACAAACAGAAAATCCCCAAAAGAGCCAAGTATTTTTTTGCAAGAGTTGTCTTAAAGTAAGTGATTTTTGTCATATTGTAATCTTTTTGTGTCCATGTCGTGGAAACTATTTCAGCAGTCAAACCTAAAAATCAAAAGGAAGAAAAAATGTCTTTATTTATAGTGGACAGTTCTACAGTGAAAAATGGCTTTGGAAAATAACCTTCCTACAAAGATGAAGTGCTTGAATGATAATTTGTATTTGTTCACAAAAAAATATAGACAATTATCCCCCAACGCTTAATTCAGTTCAATATCAAATCAAAGGAATGGATACAAATCCATTGTGCTTTTAAGTCATTCCCCAGAAAACCCTTTTCAATACTTTCATGTCATAGTGAATATATTTCTTTATCCATACAGAGGGTGGAGTGACACGTCCATTTTTTTTTTACAAGAGAATTTCACACATGTGTGAGAGAATATTTTTTGGTGAACTGGTGACGAAGGGAAGATAGTGCTTTATACAGTGGAGTCCACTTATAACGAGTCCGGAAACAGCGAGAAGTCTGTTATAAAGACACTATTCAAAAACCTTGTTTTCTTCTCTTCTTTACCTTTGTAAATAAAACACTGCTTATAAAAATACTGCTATAGTGCAATCAAACAAACATGCGAGTCGGTTATAGCGGAATATTGCTGCTGCTGGGCACAGTGCATAGGCCAGTTATACATTATGTAAAACCTCGCAAGTTGAGAAACTTGGTGGTGATCTAGCGAAACAAAGAATGGGAGAGCCCACGAGTGTCAACAATGAAGGCCAGAGCGACTGAGTAGGGAGGGTGTGGCATGCGCAGACAGGCAGAGCGTATCACGTGATAGGCCAGCGTAAGCCTAGTTTAGATAATCAAGGCCTGCCATGCCTCTCACTTCTCCGATGCGGAGATTTAGAGGTCACAGCAATGTGATGGATGGAGCGAATATGTGACGTGCGCAAGCAGACAGAGTGCACCACAGGGTGGGGTGGGGTGGGGGAAAACACAGTGGGCGAGTTAGCCTAGAGCCCTTTCTTTCTGATCGCCAACCCCGAGCTGTCAGTCAATACCGCTAGCGCTAGAGAAAGGAACCTGATTAGATTTTTGATCAAGTAAGACCTTGAGGTAATGTTGAAACAAAATCATCATCCGGGGAGATAGCAAAAAGAAATAAACAGAACACCAAACTCATAGACTAGGCCTACTTTACAGTTTCCCTTGAATTTAATATTACTGGATTTTTTATAGCGAGAATCCTACTATAACGGACATTTTGCACCGGTCCCCTCCCTCTCGTTATAACAGGATTCCACTGTATACATTAGTACATGATAGGTCTAAAAGTACAAAGAGCCTTTAGCATGCTAGCACAGCAAACTGAATTTTTTTTATCTGTTTGTTATTTTAAGTGCACATTCCCGATGGAAAACTGCATGCAATAGCATAAACATTTGTGCACTGTATCAGCAACAGATCAGCAATAAAATAACTCATTTTGCTTATATACAGTCGAACCTGTGTAAGATGGCCACCCATAGTCAAGGAGAAAAGTGGCCGTATAAGACAGGTGGCCGTCTTAGGCAGGATTGATCAAGATGAAGAAAACAAACTATTCCTTTCTGAGAAAGCAAACCCTTCCTTTCTGAGGTCCCAACCGAAGGTAGTTGCATTGTTGTTGTTGTTATTTTCGCTGGGTTTTTTTTTTCTTTTGCTGCTGCTTTTATCCCCGGGTGACAATAAAACGAAATGTGTCAGACAAGGGGGATCAAGTGCTATGGTAAAACAAACACATGGGTCGCCACCACACGAAGAGCGACGCTTCTGTCACAAGTTCATGCTGACGTCCATTGTTACTTTGTTACAGACTGGGTAAACACTAGTAAACAGTGATCACTCATCTCACTTACGATTTGTGCATGGGTTCTGGACGGGGCATATGGGTTATATTATAAGGGATCACACGCTTCCCTCCCCAGCAGCTGAAAATTCATTTTGTTACCTATCGGTCAACAGTGGGAGGAGCCTACGCAACATGATCAGTTGGAGGGACTACCTAACAACGACAGGTTTTTAGATTAAGACGGCTCGCCCACAACACCAGGGGCCAATGCTTGATTTATGACAAAGCGTAATGGAGTCACTAGGGTGACCATCTAAGACAGGTGTTATTGCTTAGTGTGATAGGGGTTGTCTGTTGAAGTTGAAATATGGTGGCCGTGGCCGCGTGGCACAGGTGCCCGTTTCACACAGTTAAATTATATAGAAAAAACGCAAGGGGGTAAAAATGGAAAGTGTCCGTTTGTACAGGTGACCGTCTTATAGGGGTGGCCGTCAGGGCAGGTTCGATTGTATATATATATGACTGTCGATGTCTGTGATCACTCAGCGTAGGAAAACCTCACACATCTGGTGGTTCACACCAACTGAAGAAATTTGACATAATACTAACTCTACATTTCTCCCCTTCGAAATTCATGTAAAGCACATTTAGACCAGAGCACACTTTTTTCATCACATGAGGTGTGTGCTGTAGGCCGGAAACCAAATTATTTACAAAAATGAGAAAATAAAGTGTCACAAGAGAAAGAGTATGACTGAACAGTACTCACAAATCGTTGGATTGCCTTCTCTCTGTAAGGCTCTGGGAAATCTTTGAAGTATTCTGCAACATGTGAATCAACAACAAGATCTACTCCCACTCTATCTTGCAGGGAATCTGTTGATGTTGGTGCTTGCACTTGCTCTGTTTTTCCTTTATGTGACACATTATCAGTGTCAGATTCACTCTTTGGATTTTCTGTTTCACCAACACCTTTGTTTTCTTTTCGAAACCAAGAGAGAATTCCACTCATTATCACTAAATATTCTGGAAAGGAAAAAAGCAGTGAAACACATGAATTATAATAATTATGAATTGTAATCATAAAAAATTAACTGATTCACTTAGTAAATACAAGTTTCATGATATACAATTACTGTTCCCTACATTTCTAAGTCGTGATAATATACTAGTCAATGATGGGGAACAATTGTTTAAAGACAAGAGCAAGTCCTCGATGACAGTTGTACATGCTTCTCAGTTTAATTTTAATGTGTTGTTGTCTTAGTTTACAAAACAATCCCACATAACAAGCAGTTGCAGAGCATGTGTACCTCTGAGACTCCCCCCCCCCCACCTCAAACCACCCCAAGGGACTTGCTTACTGGATGTAATGACTCAAGGGTGTAAGGCAGGGCAGGGGTTACCAAATTATTTTCAAAGTGAACCCCATACCTCAAAGAATGCCAAGAACAGGCCGGATAACATGTTTTGTTCTTATAAAATACACAGAACGACTGAGAAATGCAGGCTACGTGAACGGCGGCCTAAATGCAGTTTGCAGGCGCTGTTGAGGCTACGTTCACGACACTATAGTGCGGTAAAAAAATTCAGGGCGCAACCTATTGCCAAATCTCTCCTTAACTATCGAAGATAAACTCTGCAGCTTTTGCACTGTGATTTTTATCAATTTGTTTTAACAGATAAATATTTTTGTAAACACCTGTTCGCTCTGTTCTAGAAAATTCCTTAATAAATACTAATAAAAAAATCCCAGTGGGTGGTGTCTTCTTCTTCTTCTATCTCGTGGTTGGGGTGAAACCCAGCACTCGCCATTTTTTAAAATGTCCTCTGCGTTCCTCAGATTGTCACCCATCGTCTTCCCTGTCCTCTCTGCGATGTTGTCCTCCCATCTCCTTCTCTGCCTTCTTCTCTTTCTCTTTCCTAGTACGGTTCCTTGTAGGATTGTTTCGGCAAGTCCTGTGGATCTTGTGACATGCCCATAATATTTTAATTTTTGTCTCTTCACTGTGATCAGTTGATCTTCACGCTGCCCCACTGCGTTGGTGATTCTGTTCCGTACCTCAGCATTTGAAATGTGGTCTTTGTATGAGATGTCAAGGAGTTTGCGGTAACATCCCATTTCTGTTGTCTGAATCCTTTTCTCCAATTCTGCTGTCAGTGTCCATGACTCGCAGGCGTATAAAAATAATAGAGATGACCAGTGAGCACATTAGAGCTAGTGTGATCTTCGAGTTGAGCGTGATGTTTCTATCCTTCCAAATAGGCTTCAGTTTTGACAGCGCAGCTGTTGTTTGCGCGATGCTAGTTGAGAATTTCTACTGGTGGTGTCTACTGATTTTAAAAGGTTAACAGCTGGGACAATATCGCTTTTAAAAGGAAGTCCGTCATTGTTTTTCTAATCGCGAGATTATCTTTATTGAACGCATGTTTTGAGAACTTTTAGTGCAAAAAAGTGTTCACTATAAATAAATTTTTTAACTAGTTTTGCCACTAAAAATGTCATTGTTGAGCTGTGACGTAAGCCATATATGCGTACACAAAATATGTGTGAGAAGTGGGAAGTGCTGTGAACAATTCCTTTTTCCGCGTGAAGGAGATTTGTAGTATTTTATTTAAAAAGAAGAAAAGTTTTTTAATCTTGCCTCAATTGTTGTGGACAAATATGATTTAGTTAAGACAAATTGATACAAACTGCTGTGCAAAATATGAGTGATATTGATTCACCCATTAAAAAGATATTAGAGAATAAGTTGCGCTTCGAATTTTTGACCGCTCCACAAAGGTTTATTTAGGGGGAGCGTCCACTACCGGTTTAAGTCAGCCGGTTTTAGCCAGTGACGACAGTGAAGTATATTTAATATTTTCGCCCGCTTCAAGTGTTCCATCCCATGAGATGAAGGAAAACAAAGCGCCCTTACAGAATTAATGTCAGGATATTGGATATGTAAAATTGGATACGGTACACGAGAAACGAGAGGTGAGAGATGGGAAACAGAAGGTGGGATTCGGAAGATGGGACTGGTCATAAAATATGACTGTATTGCACCGGGTCAGCCTGGGAACTGACGCAGAGAGAAAATGACGGGAATCAATTATTTTTATTATAATAACAAACATCCCCCCCTCTCTCTTTCTGTCTCTTTCCTTCTCTCTTTCTCTCTCTCTCTCTCTCTCTCTCTCTCTCTCTCTCTCACACACATACTGCCCGCAGACAAAATTGCACGCTTTCAACTCGAGAGCGCTAGAACATTTGTTTACACTCGTATAATATCACAGGCCGACACGAGATAGGGCAATTGAAACATTTTAGGTAGGTGTATACATTTTTGACATAATGTATATCATATATATCTCCTAATGCATTATTGCGTAATTGAGAGTTCATCGTTTTCCCCTACACTGGCAAGTTCTGGGCCAGAGCTCAGTGTAAGGGAAAACGACGAATGACAAAAGATCGATCGGTCAAGGATCACTTCGTTTTCCTTCATCTCATGGGATGGAACGTTTGAAGCAGGACAAAATATTTAAAATACATCACTGTCGTCAGATTAAAACCGGCCTACTTTTATAAAACCCTATCCGTACCGTATGTCGTGTTTTACTATCGTATCCACATGACGTGGGGAACTCTGCGCTATCACTTTCCAAAGAGGAAATTTACTCGTTAATCCAATCCGTGCGCTTTGCATAGTAATCTGTCAAAATCATTTTTTGAAAAATACTAAAAGTTTCAAAGAGATCTTCGTACTACAAGTATTTTAAAATGTGAAGAATACAACCCCGGGGGTACAAAATGACCCCAGAGCATAGCAGAGATAGGGTTAAACCGGCAGTGGACGCTCCGTCTAAACGAAGCTTGAGTGCCGTGAACGTAGTCTCAACAGCGCCTGCAAACAGCATTCAGGGCGCCGTGAACGTAGCCTGCCAAATACGTTCACGCCTACAGACAAATTGAATATAATTATAATATAAGTATACAAAATGGGAGGAATTCCACAGAGGGTTGGCAATATGGTTTACCTTGAGTCCCTTTCATCGACCACAATGTGCAATTATCTAAGCGGTCTACTGTCTACCATAAGTCCTGCTTGATTGACCATGGTAACAATTAAGGGTCTGGGGCATTTATGTTTTTTTGTTTTTGTAAAGTGTTTTACGGCGCTCGCAACTGCATAGGTCATATGAGCGCGCGGGACAGTCCTATATTTTCAGTTGGTAGGAAATTTTGAATTTTGCCCGGGTGGCGGCCGAAGCCTACTCTTATCGATTTTAGACCACCAAGGGATCTTTAACGTGCGCAACTTGCACACGGGCCCTCCGAGATTTTTCGCCCTTGTCCGAGAAGGCTAGGTGTAAATCTTTCCTACCAGAAGATCAGGGGTGTGGCAGAAAGACAGCAGTAAGGAGGAGCCAAGGAGTAGCAGTAGAAAGGCTGCAGAAAGAGTCAGGAGCCCAGAGGAGGGGGCAAAGGAGGTGAGGGGGTGGGGGCAGAAAGTGGAAATGAAAGCAGACAACAGAACATTGCTAGAGAGCAGGAAAGGAGGTGAAAGGAGACAATTTTAGAGAAGAAAATTTTTCGGTCGCTACCCGGATTCGAACCCGGGACCTTTGAATGAGAGGCCAACACCTTAACCTCTAGGCCACGAGAGCCCCCTGGGGCATTTAGATCGAAGGCAGACGTTACAATTGCAATATGTGTGGGTGGGTGGGCTGCTTAGCTTTACAATATATTTAGATCTAGATAAAACGATTTTTGGGCGGTAGAGACTAAGGAGAATAAGGAAACTAAGATTGACAAGTAGTTAAGTAGATCTAAGTCAGTGAGTAACACGGTGGGGGGGGATGCCGATCACCATCAGCCATGTCATCATGGCAGTCGCTAAATTTGATGGACAAATGTTTAGTAGATCTCTAGATCTAGATTTTAGATTAGATCTAGATCTTGATCTCTAGATCTAGATATAGGGCCTAGGGCCTAGATGAGGATGTTGTAGTCATTTTAGATTAAATTAAAATAGAGATCATGAGAGAATTTAGTGGAAGTGTACGACAACAACACTTACTTCGGCGGGCTACCTTACTTGTATCGCATTAGATTCTAGACGAGGAAATTAGATCTTGATTTCTAAGTCTAGATCTAAGATCCAGATCTAGATCTAGATTCTAGATGTAGAATCTAGATCTAGATCTAGGCACTACAGGTGATCGGGTTTTCATTTTAGTAGGATGTGTTTACCTTCTTATAAAATCATAGGCTTCCAAAATCATAAGTGTACCTACTTTGAAACCGAAAGTAGAAGGTCACTGTTCTTCTGAAGTGAAGTTTGTTTTTGCTCGTCAATATTATAGATCTATAAACTGTAGGCCTATACTTCGTGACTCTGTTCCCGGTTACGGCACTTACGGGTCTGTAAACACTTCGAAAATATAATAATACTAGCACTATCTCTGCTAGCCTAGGCTATCTTACAGAGGACTAGATTCTAGATCTAGATTTAACGGAACAAATTAATTACTAATCTAGATCTACGTAGAACAAGGTCTGTTGAGTGTTGAAATTTGAAAGGAAAGGCGAGATCGACGTCCGATGTTTACCTGGAAGAAGTAGCCTAGACTGTGCCTGGATGTCAAGTCAGTCAAAACTTTGATAGAGTAATTTAATTAGTTTATAGATCTAGACTCTCTAGATCTAAATCTAGAATCTAGAATCTAGATCTAGATCTAGACGGAGGCTAGGGTGGGTGCATAATTTTGTATGTCCATGGTGCAGAGACAGAAGCTGCTGGTTAGGCGACATCGGTAGCACACGCACGCACACACACACACACACACACACACACACTCTCACACACACACACACACACACACACACACACACACTGAGGATACGACCCAGTCCCCAGTGTCCAGCTCTCTCTGCATCACCGTAGCTGTGAATGTGGATGATATGTAAGCATTATTCATTATTTATTACGAAGTGGCTAGCCGTGCTTAGATCTAGGTTTGGCCCTATCGACTCAAGCCTGTTAAGTACACAGGTCTCATTAGATCTAGATCTAATCTAGTAATTGTTCAGGTTCAAATACATGCAAGTCAGTAAGGCACCTTTTGGTTTTGTCTGAAATACAAATACTTTAGGCATTGCAAACTAAAAATTTCATTTACAATTTCAGCCATCAATATTAAGTACGGCTAGCCTGACAGTCTAGCCGTCCTTAAGTCTTGTACGGCTAGCCTGGCTGTCTACCCGTACTTAAGTACGTTTGAAAGATTACATCGGACAAGATCGATGTTGTCCAAATTCACATATTCTTCGTTCCTAAGCCTAAGTTCTCGTTTTCTTTGCACTTGCACTAAAAGCCAACTGTAAGTTGCAGTGTATTTAAACATTCTATGCATCTTTAAAGTTTCTTAACTTGACGAAATCATAATAAAAAGAGAAAAAACGTTAACCTTGTCTTAGCAATATTACATTACGTTGGGAAAATTACAAGAGAAAATCTTTTTATAAGCCTGTCGTATCTATGTAATTGTTTCAAAACGGCAAAACAAACCAGAGATGAGTTGAGCAATATGCAACAACACCAGCCCCAGACACTTCCTCAACTTGAGAGAGTAAGAGTGGAATTTATTTTTATTAAATTAATAACATCCCTCAACAGGCAGTGCAATGATTTATTGATTCCAAGCTGCGACGATGTCAGGCTGTCATCAATGCAAGAGGACATCATACGCGCTACTGATTGTGTTACTTTTGTAGACCACCCCCACACTCTTGTAAGTCGGGAATAGACCTGTTATGTTAACTTTCCGTATTGTTGTGTTGTTTTTCATTTTAAAAAGTGATTGAATTAGTATTCTTTAAATTTTAAAGAATCGGCTCATTGTGAAACTAGCTATTTTCATTTTAACAGTGTATACTGTAGTTTAACTATACATGCATACGGTTTTACTACACACACCCACCTCATGTAGCGATCCAACTTGCACTGACTCGTCGCAACTCTCTGCGCTGCGCCTCGACCGCTACTCACGCAGTCTTCAAAAGTCCGTGGCTCACGCCTCGGCCTGTCCTTGGTTTCTTCAATGTCAACCGTACTCGACTACTTTCCCGAGAATCACACAGCTAACCACACGCCCCCGTGATCTCAAGATCAAACAAAACAAAATTTAGTTCTTCAACGTGCGAACAGGACATGGTTCAACGCTATCTACACTTTGTACACTTGATTACTTCATTTACTGAGTTTCATAGTCCACCAACCAACCGGGGGTTTTCCTGACTCGATCAGGATACCGCCTGGGAGGGGGTTCACCTGCACCTTCGTTTCTCGTCAGGGTTTGCAAGGTTTGCTGTTCACCGCCACCTCCCTCATCATCCTCTTCCTCTGAAGTTACATCTCGTACCACTCTTCTAACATCGAGAACGTGACGAGCCATACCATCGACAGCAACATTGTTGATCGAGTTTACTCCTGTAACCGTACCTCTATTCCACTTAGTCGTACATTTGCTCTGGGGTGGTTTAACCCAAACATCATCTCCAACTTCAAATCTTCCAGGCCCGTCTTCTTCTTCATTAACAACGATATGGTTTCTCCAATCATAACGGTAGACAGCTCTCTGTGGCACTGATGCTGGGTCCAAACCTGCCCTTGGTGTTGAGTTGTACCAAAACACAGCTTCTTGGGGGGGAATGTTTCCTCTTTCTGCAATGGACTTCACTGTACGATGGTGTCTCTCAACAATCCCGTTCCCCGTAGGCCTATATGCAGCTCTGAACAATGGTTTGATATTCCATTTCTGAAGCATCTGCCAAAAACAATCTGAACGAAACACTGTGCCATTATCCATTAAGATCTCGCGCACTGGTCCTCTCTCTAACATGAGTTCTTCAACTACTTCTGTCACAAACCCTGCTGTCTCTCTCCTCAGTTTCTTCCAAATTGCGAATCGCCCTGGGCCACAATCAACAATTGACAGGTATGGCACTTGATGATGGTGAGTTATGTCTATTGCCAATCTTGTCCAGTCTGTAGCGACATCTAGGTTGCCCGCCTCATGGACAACTGGTGCAGGATCGATAGACTGACATTGCTCACAAGCTTGTACGACTTTTTTAACATCAGTACGGCTCGTTTCTGGTAGCACCTTCCGAGCCAAATACAAAGTACGGTCTACCCCCATATGGTGCATATCGTGCAAGTCTTTCAAGTCAAGATGGCCAGTAGCACAAACGCATGGTTCTGGTTCTCCTTCCTCCATTCCATACCCGCCAGTGCTTAACCACTCCTTTTTCACTCTTGTCAGAATGTCTGCTTTGTTCTTTCTGGTCGGAACCAAGGTGACCGACAAAACCAGACCAAACTCATTAATAAGGCTTTTCAATATCCCTAATCGTCTCTTCACAATCAACTCCGCTGCCCCTTTGGTGTGCACTCTCCTCTCTTCCGATAGAACAGTTTTGATCCAACCAGCCACCGTTGCTGAGTCAGTGATAACTTCGATTTCAGAGATGTTCCACTTGATGGCCATGTTTACACCTTTCATCACAGCCTCCAGCTCTGCTACGTTGATATGATCAAAATCTGAAGGTTTCCGAAGCCATGCAGCATCCTCTACCGCGTTGCCATTGACCTCAAGTAACACACCATATCCGATACTGCTAGCATCACACCATACGGTTCCTTTGGTTGCTTTAGGCACGTACCATTTGCCTTTGACGGGATCCTCATTAGTCAAACGGCTCAACATTTCCTTCAACATTTTCTCCACTTCATCGTTTACAATCTCCTCCCAATTGGTACCATTTGCCCTTCTCTTTATGTAGCTGCATGCTATCCTTAACCATCCAGCAACCGGATAATGACCTGTAAGTTTTCCGCAGATCGAGAACAACTCCCGTTTGGTGACTTTAGACACTGCATGGGGAATCCTGTTGGCTCTGGAAAATATGAGATCTCCTGTGGAATCAGATTTCAACTTCAAACCTAATGCGGCGCCACCATCCAATGGCTCTGGTTCTTTCGTTGTCAACCCATAGTTGGCCAGGTGCTTCACCAGTGCAGCAGATGTTACCTTGCTCTCATCCAGTAGAATGTCATCAATGTAGGACTGCGTGGCAGAGTCTATCTTCTCATCCTTATTCAATACCGTTTTCAAGATCTTCGTCATGATGCGGGGTGCCGATGTAAGACCGAATCCAAGTCTTGTCAGGCAATATGTTTTACCTTTGAAATTCACTAGTTGATATTTCCATAGATCTTGTGACACCCGAATTTGAAGGTAAGCACCTTTCAGGTCGACAATCGTTGCTGCATCTGTCGTCTGTCTCCACTCTCGCAATGTCTCGCCGCATACATCCGTGAAGTCACCCCCCGTGTGACTACTTATATATTTATTGAGCTCTCTGTAGTCAAGGACAGGTCTTACCTTGTTCTTGGTAGGTTGAACAACAGCCATCAGCGGAATTATGCCTATTTCTACTTTCTCATTCCATGGTAAAAGTATTCCTTCCTCTATCCAACTTTGTATCTCTTTCTCAAACCCTTCTGTAGTCTTCATATCCATCTGTTTACCATAACATCCAATCTTATTCTTCAGGTGGGGAGGATCCCTTTTCCATTTCCACTCTACTGTCCATGTATTGCCATCAAAAACTGCCTTAAAATCACTGTCGTCAATAACCTCAACCTCCCTGTGTTCGTAAACAGCGCTCTCTGCTCGCTTCACGTTCCCCTTTGCCTTGTCTGGGGGATCAGATTCAGTTTCCATTTCCGCTGCCCCACACCATTTGACACCAAACAAATAATATGACAATATACTATCATTTTACTACTCTTTGAAATTATCAATTGAGTCATTATTATATTGACCACTGTTGGACAGTCTTCCAGATCTGCATTATATATATATATATTATATCTATATATATATTATAATATGTGTATTTTTATTCGTTTTGCTGAATTTAGTAATTATTAAGGTGAGGGCAAGGGTACGCCGGAGTGTGCAAAAGGTTATAGATTCGAGTAATCCTGACTCTACTCTTATTTTGTCTAGTAGCCTTATACCATATTATTATACCTCTGAATCCAGCATGTGAATAAAACATGCTATGCCGATCTGGAAGATTGCTCACTAAAAACCTACTTTTGTTGACTGGTTTTACTTTCCCTTTCAGATTTTCCTTACTTCTCTTCCCAAGTTACGTCACATTACAAGTATATGATCGAGCATCTTCATCTACATTGAAAGCAGTTTTTTGTCCCATCACTCATGAACCAGCTGAGATCTTGGCTATATGGCCGAGACTTTGAAGAGACCACCAAGGTATAATGTTTTGAACCTGAAAGGAGTTTGCCGTTGAACTAATGCAATGCGTAGTAACCTCCCCAAGCCCGTTTATTTATACTTACCCATACCTATTCTGCTACTGTATCAACCTGTGTACATTTAGTAAATAGTCCTCTCTACTTTCAAATATCTTGTTGCCTCATCCTGATCTCTTGAAGTTGAAATCAGAAATGCCGATTCAAAATTTTCCAAAATATCAATCAAAATTAGGTAGTGAATAATGTACAGAGTTGGGGACTCTCATAGTCTAGAGGAACAATGTTCACCTCTCATTCAATATAGGTCCCGAGTTCGAAACCTGACAGCGACCCAAAAAAAAGTATTTCTTAAAATTTTTTGCTTCGGTCTCCCTTCCTTTCTCTAGTCATGTTTTGTCGTCTGCTTTCATTCCACTTTTTTGCCCCTCCCCTTACTTCGGACTCTTTCTACTCCTACTCCTGACTCCGTAATAATTTTTACTGCTGTCTTTCAGCCACGCCCCTGGTCTTAGGGTTGGTAAGATTGAACTCCTAGCCTACTCGGACAAGGGTGGAAATCTCGGAAGTCCTGTGTGCAAGTTGCGCATATTTAAGATCCCTTGTTGGTCCTAAAACCGATAAGAATAGTCATCACCTGGGCAAAATTCAAAATATAGTCCTTCCACTCAAAACTGAAAATACTCTTGTTTTAATCAGTATAATAATATGTAGAGTACCTAGGAAATTGGAATGTGGCTGCTGGAAGGCAAGGGGCCCAACTTAGTTGGAAAATAATCAATCACATACATAAAAGACGGTTGCAATGCAGGTTGAAGAACCAGTAGTCGACTACCTCTGAGATCTGAGATCTAGTAGGGGAACACAAAGAAGAAGAAGAAGATAATGTACAGTGAAATTGTTGAATCATTGGTAGAAGTATATTACATGTGTGAGAGCGAATGTGTACTACTTGTAAGAAAGAAGTGGTGCACTTCTTTTGCTTTCCTAAATGTCCTTGCAAGAAAACCCATAAAACCCAATTAATCAATTTTGGAAAACATGATATAGATTAGATTGTTTAATTGTCAGATTTATTGATGACAAATTCAGTAAAAAATATGTCACGACTCGGTGGAATCAGGCACTCGTCAATGTTTGGGCGTATGGAGTTTTTAGTATGGGCGATAACATAGAGAATGCTGAATCCTAAACGGCTGAAGATCGACGCAGACAGGCACCAGTAGGTGTCTGCTTGACTCCACATAGAGGGTGCCTAAGGCCTAGATCTAAATATAAGAGAAAAAAAATACACCACAACACAGCTGGTATTTATGAAGCATTTATTTGGGAAACAACAAACAAACTTCCTCAAATATTGCTTACAATGTAATTCTGCTCGGTTGGCACCCTAAATTTGACGACGCTGATTTAAAAAGTATAATTAGTTTTTGTCTACAGTGAAGCACCAGCTTCTGAAATGACTATTTAAAATTGTACCCAGTCCAGTCGGGTGACATCACGCAAACCGCTAAACCCAAGTTCGCACGGCGAGACGGCATTGAGAGTTTGCGACTTCAGTGCTTTCTTGTCATATATCTCCATTTTAAATAACAGTGAAGACAGTTCATAACAAAGAGTGAGCTTAAGAAGAAGTCACATTTTCACTGTTAAAAAATGGAGATACGACAAGAAAGCACTGAGATCATGAGTTGACAACGAGGCGCCCTTCCCAGTTTTTTAGCGTAATAAGATTGTAGATTGGATTCCGATAAAGCCGACAACACCAATCGGTGCTTAAAGTAAGTTAAAGCCGCCTGCAGTCTGCCAGCTCTATGTGGGGTTAGTTGAAAATCATAAGCGAATTTTTATACCTCTCGGATCTTTCTGAGTCCGTCTCCGAAATAGGCGCTCTATATGTTTTCTCCCTATCATCTTAAAGCTAACTTACTTGTCTTGCATTTGGCGAAAAAAATGCCCCTTTATCTTGAGTAGAAGTCGAGATATTTGCGATTGAAGGAGATGTGGGTTGGCTGGTGTCAGAGGTAAGATTAGCGAGAAAATGAACACCAAAGTTTGTTAACTTCCAAAGCTTGAGTGTCCTTGGAAACTAGAAATTTACATTTTTTGTGCCTTTGAACAGCATTTTTCAGTAAAATCCACGCAGAAATGTGTTTTTAAATGAACATAAAAGGTGTTGAGCCAATAAAAAAAATAAAATAACAACTGCCCAACGGTCAGAAAATTGCTGTTTTCTTTGATTTCACTATTTTGACGAACGCCTGATTTCCTCACGCTGTCTCACATATTTCAGTATCCTGCCTGCTTTTTAACTCACTTGAGTCTTTTCCCGCACCTGTTGTGGGAAGCCTGGCGGAGTGCATATGACATAATAATATATGCAAGGAGATTAAAAGTAATGGAGGATGCTCTGTGGGCGGCACCGCACGCCTGATAGAAGCCCTCTCTCGCAGCGGAACTGTGGTCTACCTGCACTGCACGAATGCCCAACTCACGCACTGAAATCCTGATAAAGAAAGAAGGTTTTATTCCCAGGTCCTTGAGATTGGGCAAGTCAATTAGTAAAAATGCCTTCCACCTGTGTTGTGTTTAAAAGAACTGATGTGATGCTGCAGTGGACAGAAGTTTTCACAGGTAAGTTGTTTTCCTTTTTTAAAAAATTGAATGAAAGTGTTTTTATGCCCCCGACAACACTATTTAGATCATTAACATTTATAAGAGGCTGGCTCCGGCGCTACCTGCCATGGCCAACTCAGGCTGAAATGGATACATCACCCCAGCAGAAAGACCGAGATACTCGATTTTTTAAAAGTATTCTTATTCTCTCTCTCTCTCTCTCTCTCTCTCTCTCTCTCTCTCTCTCTCTCTCTATATATATATATATATATATATATATATACATATATATATATATATATATATATATATATATATATATATATATATATATATATATATATATATATAATTATGTGTGTGTGTATGTATAAATAAATATATATTTAACATTTTAATTAAAGATATTGCTTTCCATTGCAAATTAGATGCTATGCGCAGCAGACATTTATTTTGACGGGACAAAATCTAGAGTCTAGGTTTCTGCATGTATATCTTGTTTTCACATATATTTAGGCCTACTAATCATACACACCTAAGCGTATTGAGTTCAATCAGTCAGCCAGACTTCTTTTATGTTTTTAAGCCCATTCATCTCCTAATTACTATAAGACTACTGTTGTCTAAATGTAGATATCTAGAGGCTCCATTAGAATATGAATACAATACTCAACAACAATAATGATGAATATATCTTCTATGTTAAAGAAACACCAAACCATATCAGATGAGGGGAGAGGGTAGGGTGGGGTTGATAAAAATTTGAGTCTTGTTTGATAGAACTATACTCGGTTTAATTGTATTGTTGTAGTCTTCACCTAAGATCCCACAATCTATAATTTCGGTTCAATTAAGATTCTGCTGTTAAAAAATAAACCAAACAAAGCAACAACAAATTTTACTACACAAGAGTCATCACTAAGATAAATTATCCCCCTCTGAAGTGTAATAAGGGACTAAAAACGCTGCTCTCCATATCATAGTTTACTGAACAAAAAAAAAAAACCCTTTGAAGGTCATCCACGCTCATGCATGCGATCACACCTCCGCTCAAAACCTCGGTGCGAGGTACAAGTTTGCTCCAGGCGCGAGGATTTTACAACAAAGGGATCACGCCCAGGTGTGAACTCCTCGACACCTTTGATTTTGCTGAAGATCGAACTCGCAATAAGAGCCTACCGTCTGAGCTTACAGCCAAGGTATGATTCGTTAGGTAGGGCCAACAAGACTGCCTCATATGGAGTCACACCGAACTTGGATTTCGTCTTTGCTTTTGATTCCCCGACCGTCTCACTATTAGGTCTGCCCCTGAATTTGGTAGACAGACTGGCGCCCGTACTGGGGACTACCCCATCACCTTTGGCAGTGAGCCTTCCTTTCATTCTTCGAATTTTAATTGCTGTGTCCACAACACAATCGATGAGTTACGACATGACTATGAGCGGTGATCTTGGTCAGAGATGAAGGACAGCATTAAATACCGAGCAATGGGATCGACCTTTATTTTAAAACGCACAACTGGATCAGGGAAAATGCTGTGTCTCATCATATTAAACAGAGATCATTGTGACTGGTCAAGAAGGTTAACCTTTCCCGTCTTTGTTCGTCGTGTGTTATAAGGGGTCAAGTTAGTTCATTTCAAAGTAGGGGAAGATAATTAATTTTAAAGCTTACATATCGTTGGCTTAACCATAAGTCACTGTGGATTTTCCAACTGATGAATCCACTTACATCCCGCCTTTTCCTTGCTCCCGAACACCGGGCTCTTCGGAGACTACTGTAGTCCCATCTACCCTTTTCCAACCCATTGCAAGAATGTATGAATTCACCCAACCGGTGCATGTGTGTGTTTGTGGGAGGGGGGGGGGGTTGTGCATCCTTAGACCTCACCCAGTCACCTTAATGACAAAAAGGGTGTTCCTATCCGAGACATCCCCTCGAACTGGGACATGTAATATGATACTGCAGGATAGAAATACATTACCAGATGAAATAATATGTACATTTCCGTTCCCCCCCCATCCCAATACCTACTCATCCCCAGTTTTCCCTTATCCGATCCAGAGCGCTGTCAGCGATGGATCAGAAATAATTCACGTATACAAAGTGATGGAAAACCTTGGACTCCATCAAAGCACTCGCGAGTATGCAGTGTTCACTTTGCACCCAGTGACTTCAAAACAGGCACTAAAATCAAAGAATTGAAAAAGACCGATGTACCAACGGTATTTCCCTCACATCCATCTCACAAGCAGATCAAAAACACTCTCTGTCGACCGTCTCCAAAGAAACATCGCCCTGAAACTCTGGAAAATGTGCAAACTACATCTGTGCCATCAGTCAAGTTCATTACGCACCCAAACACAGACCATTCGTATGCTGTGCCGGACATAGAAACTGACTTGGAAAACACAAAGAGACAGCTCCGAAACGTAGCAGAAACGCTTGCACAAAAGAGCAAGGCAGTTAAATTGTTGCACAAAAAGCTTAAACGTCGAGACAGTAAAATTTAAAAGCTGCTCAGCAGCATGGAGCAACAGAAAATACTTTCTCATGAGCAACATGACTTGTTAACATCTACCTTTGATGCAAAAACACTTTGGCTAATTGATAACGAGATTTCATCAACACAAACTGCATCTGCACAAGGCATGAGATACTCTGAAGAGCTCAAGAAATTTGCTGTAACTTTACATTTTTACAGCCGCCAGGCCTACGATTATGTGCGTCAGTACCTTTCTCTTCCCCACCCTTGCACAATCCGAAAATGGGCATCATCGCGACATTGTAATCCTGGCTTCATAACAGAAGTTTTTGAAACGCTGAAGCAAAACAAAACTGAGGATACAAAAGATGTGGTAGTACTGTTTGACGGAATGCATTTGAAAAAAGCGTACACGTATGACAATGGCAGTAAATCGTACTTCGGGGCAGTGGACATGGGACATTTGACTGTTGGTGAGGATGGTACTTAAACTGGTCAAAGCTTAACTGTATGGTGGTGGGCCTGAAAAAGGTTTTTAAGCAGCCTATAGAGGCTATTTTCTTATTGACAAGATTACTGCAGAAACCCAAGCACAAATTGTGAGAGATGCACTTATTTTGCTGGATGAAGCAGGCTACGCAGTCCACGGTATTGTGTGGGATGGAAATTACACGAACCAAGCAACAGCATCGGCACTAGGGTGTGTATTAGATCCCCACAACATGAAGAACTGGTTTGAGCACCTAACGACAAAAGAACAAGTTTTTTTTGTATTTGACGCATGTCACCTCATCAAAAACATCAGGAACTGCTTGGGTGTCATGAAAATACTGTTGTCTAACAGAAATCAAATAAAATGGGAGTATATAATTCATAGAGCTAGACAACATTAAAAAAACTGATAACCTAGTACTGGCAAACAAACTGAGACTGAGAGGCAAGCATGTTAATTTAGAACAAAACAAAATGAAAGTTAAATTTGCTGTTCAGACCATCTCGGCATCAGTTGCAACCGCAATTGATTTTCTTAGGGATGACATTGGATGGTCTGCGTTTGAGGGAAGCTCAGAGACAATGAAATTTGTGCGTATGTTTGACAGTCTGTTCGACATATGTGTAATTCCTCTACACCCTTTGGCAAGGGCTTGAAAAGCCCAATAACCAAAACAAACATAGGGAATAAAGAAAAACTAGTTGATCAAGCTGTTTCTTACATTTTACAGCAAAAAGACACCACAGGCAAGCTGATCACTAGTGGTCGAAGAAAGACCGAATTTATTGGTTTCATTTGCACGCTGAAGTCAGTCATTGACCTAAGCAAGAGGCTTCTGTTTAGTGAAGGATTCAAATATAATTACCTGATGACGTATCAGCTGTTGCAAGATCATCTTGAGACTTTTTTCAGCCGCATAAGGCGAAAGAATGGCTGGAATAACAACCCAACACCAGTACTATTTAAGTGGGCCCTCAGGTCACTGCTGTTGAGAGAATGGCGTCCTTCCTTCGGCCACAGAAAATTGTGTTTCGCCAGCCCCTCAAGATGTGCATGTGGAAAATCCATCAAATAAGCTCATGCAGCCAGAATCCCCACGGAGTGAGAAAACGAATAATGTCATCAAACAGTTTGTTCATATTTTGGAGAAACCAAGCATTTACCATGACAATGCTTTTTTTTACATTAGTGGCTTAATTTCAAGAAAAGTAGGTGGGAAAGTTAAATGTACTAAATGCTCTCAGGTTCTACATGAGCAAAAACCCGACAACAATCCTTCTTTAGCCTTCACACAGAGATGCAATAGAGGCGGCCAAGTGATGTCGAATGACATGTTCAGTGTCATCAAGGCAGCTGGTAAACATCTGCGTTAGCTTCTAGTGAGCAGTGGGCCCATTAATGCTGTGAACAAAGGTTTGGTGTGAAGGATTACAAGACATGTCCTAGAAACAGTGGGCACTAAGGTATTTCAGTCGATTTGGGACCATGGCCAGGACATTCATGATGTGGAGACAGAGGATAATCCTGTCGATCAAATTATCGGGGAGGCATGTAGAATATATGTCAACATGATAGCCCATCACCATGAACGGCTGCTGAGTGATCGCTTCATTAATAAGGACGGAGGAACGCAACGACACAAGCTAACAAAGACTGTACTATTCCTGCATCAATAATAGTAAGTTTTGATCTCATTCTAAAAGTCCAAAGGTGCTGTTATCTCTTTTTTTAAAAATATTTGAAATCATTGTGCACTCCACTTTGTGAAAAACAGGAAACAAAATTATTGTAATCAATAATATTATTATTTACAGACCAAGACATAATACTGTAAGCAATCAGATAACACTGGCATCGACCCTCTTTTGTGTTCGCTATTCCTTACACACAAAGCTAGTTATGGCACACGCCTAGAATCATGCAATCATATGTGAAATTCAGTTTAAAAGTGTATTTTTATCCATTTTTTATCATAATTGAATCTTTTAGCATCTTGAAGGATTATCTTTATAGTTTGGTATGTTTGATAATTTTATGCTACTTGGACAAGTTTTCTTCTTATTTTGACCATCTTCTTGATTTTTAAACTATACAGTGGAATCCTGTTATAACGAGAGGGAGGGGACCGGAGCAAAATGTCCATTATAGCAGGATTCTCGCTATAAGGGATCCAGTAATAAATTCAAGGGAAACTGTAAAGTAGGCCTAATCTATGAGTTTGGTGTTCTGTTTATTTCCTTTTGCTATCTCCCCTGATGATGATTTTGTTTCAACATGACCTCTAGGTCTTACTTGATCAAAAATCGAATCAGGTTTCTTTCTCTAGCGCTAAATCTAGCGATGTGAACTGACAGCTCGGCGTTGGTGATCAGAAAGAAAGTGCTCTGGGCTAACTCGCCCACTGTGTTTTCCCCCCACCCCACCCCACCCTGTGGTGCCCTCTGTCTGCTTGCGCACGTCATACATTCGCTCCATCCATCACAGCTCTGTGACCTCTCCATCCCCGCATCAGAAAAGTGAGAGGCATGGTAGGCCTTGATAATCTAAACTAGGCTTACGCTGGCCTATCACGCGATGCTTTCGTATTGTTTGCGCATGCCACATCCTCCCCACTTAGTCGCTCTGGCCTTCATTGTTTGCACACATGGGCTCTCCCATTCTTTGTTTCGCTAGATCACCAACTTTCTCAACTGGCGAGGTTTTACTTTATGTATAATTGGCCCATGCACTGTGCACAGCAGCAGTTATATTCCGCTATAAACGACTCGCATGTTTGTCTGATAGCGCTATAGCAGTATTTTATTTACAAAGGTAAAAAAGAGAAAAAAGCGGGGTTTTAGAATCGTGTCTTTATAACAGACTTCTCGTTTTTTCCGGACTCGTTATAAGTGGACTCCACTGTAACATAAAACTCTTAAATAATTGAACAGTCCGTATCACACACAGAATTTATTATTTTTTTCTCCCTGTCATTATCCGTCAGCCCGTCAGTTGATCACAATCTCTCTCTTTCTCTCTGTCTCTGTCTGTCTGTCTGTCTGTCTGTCTGTCTGTCTGTCTGTCTCTCTCTCTGTCTCTCTCTTTTATTTAATTTTTCCCATTCTCATTCGTCCCTTCCCTAGGCCCGCCCCTCCTCTTTCATCCCAGCCCCATCTCCTCTTCCTTGTGTGCATTCCCCCACCCCCAAAACGTTGCCCAGCCCGATAAGATTCTATAAAAAGAAACAACGTAGTTCGCGATTTAGACCATGGTCAGTGGCCATATTTGCTCCCCACCTCGGCGTGCTGCTTGGGGCGCCGCGAAGAGAGAGAGGAGGCTCCATTAGTTCTAAGCTCCTTGCATATATGTGAAATACTGCACCCCTTACAGGATCAGCATCAGTGAAGTCTGTCGATTGACAGTTTTGTAATCAGTTTAGATGATGATAAGTTTGAGATCTTTTTTGGGTCCCTCTGATGGAGGTTTTGATTAGGGTCTAGCATGAAAGAAGGTGGTAAGCCAACATGAAAATTTCTTGGTCTGCTCTTCCAATACTTGCTACTTTCCAAGTAATTTTATAGCTGAAATGATCTAAAACTCTTGCGTCCTAAAATTTGATTTAAGATTCAGTCTATTTGTTTTCTGACAAAAGACTGAGAATGGTCTATATTTTTTAGCTTTTTAAAAAAACAAACACAATTCATTAGTTTCCTCAGAATGACCAGATTGACCAGGGTAAAGACCAGCTCTCCAAGAGGTCAGACTCGAAGTCTCTTGATTCAAAACTGCAGCAAGCCGCCTTAAGGGTCATCCCCCTAAAGACCGGGGACTGTCTCGGCTGCAAGCTTGTGGGTACATCTGTCATGATGGCTAGTGGGATCATCGTCATTGGCTCAGCTATGGCTGGGAAAAATCGGTGTGTTTTCTTATAAAATACTTGTAGTCTTTTACTAACTTATAGTAACAAATTGTTAGAATTTGAAAGAACACACAAGAAATGAAAAGAATATTGTGTGGTGATTTTACATCTCTCTAGCACTTGTAAAGAGCTCAACAAGCTCTGTCATCTTGGGCTGGTTTTTTTTCAAGTTAAGGCTGCAGGTTTTGTTTTGCTATGCACCCACAGCTCTTCCAGTAGGCGGTACTGATGTTTATGGGGGTTTTTTTTGGTTGTTCTCTTTTCTTGTTTCTTGAGTGTTCTTGGTAAGACTTTCATGACAGCTCCCTGCTTATGTTAGTGTTAGACCAGAGAGGAAAATTATAGAGAGCGGAAACTATTTGATATATAAAACCCCCAAAAACATCTTGTTACTTCCAGGCCAGCTCCAAAGGACAAGTCCTGTCCAAAGAGTACCACAATGAACACACTAGAAGATGCAGCAGAATATGAAGGACAAACTGTACCCAAAGGAGTTGACCCTATTGAAGACAATGCTGGGTACCTCCATGACAAAATCCAGCATCTACAGTCAAAAGTGAGACTCTTATTAGAAGAAATTGAATGCTGAGTGAGCAAAGACTTGGCGTCTGAAAAAAACAACGTCCCACATCCTTACAGAAAAGCGTAAAGTAAAAAAAAAGCAGAAAGCTTAAAGGAAGTAGAAAATGTAGTAGCTAGCTCCCTGTCAGGACCCACCTTGGAGTTTGTGATGTCTCAAATTTATGTTCCCCACAGAGAGGTGGACGTATCAAGACAAGAGTCTCGCTTTGGCAATTTACCACTGTTCTAGAACTGCACTCTTTCAGAAAATTTTATAATTGCCATCTGTTAGGACTCTGACTCAAGCCATTCCAAATCTCTATATATCAGACCTGGAAAGTGTACCAACTTATTAAATCTTTTTCACTTTAAAGTGAAGGCTATGTCTGCTTTGTAAAAAGAGTGTGTCATTGTTTTCGATGAAATGTCCCCTAAATCTGCAATAAAATATAACCCTCAAGATGACGTTTGAAGACTGTGGCCATCTTGGGACATCGAAAGCTATGGCAACTCACACTCTCATGTTCATGGTCAGAGGAATGACTGATAAGTGGAAACAACCGTTCTCTTATGTACTTTCAAATGGTCCAATAAAAGCTTTTATGCTGGAATCCCTCGTCCACCAGACCTTAAGAAACCTTTTTTCCATAGGCTTTAGACCAAGGATCATCACCTGTGATCAAGGGAGCCACAACCGGTCACTCTTCACTCACCTTGAGGTCACAAAAAGCCATCCTTTTTTCACCCTCGACGATCACAAAATTTTTGCGATATATGATCCCCCCCACTTTTTTAAAAACATGGAAAATTTGAAAACCCATGGCATTTTAGTAGATGGGCAGCCTGTTTTGTAGGACTATGTTGTAAGATTCTAGGAACACGACTCTGCACTTCTAATCAGAATGGTCCCAATACTATCAAAATGACATATATAGCCATGCCTATGTTCAGACACCTCAAGAGTTTGTCTTGCCGCCCAAGTGCTCAGCCACACTGTTGCTGCAGGAATCACAACTATGGTAATACCTGGTGCAATACCAGCAAAGGCAATACCCACAGCTATCTTCATTGAGAATTTTGACAAAATTTTCAATGTTTTCAATAATCGCCATTGATTAAGCAAGAATGCCATGGGCCAATGTATCTCACTGTTCTCAGATCATGTGGTTTTCCTGCAAGATAGGCTCAAATGGTTTGGAAGAACCAGGTGCAGCAATGCCAGTGGCAGTCTACCATGCCTGGATGGGTGAAAACTAGGGATCAGCTGTTTGCTACAACTGTGTGATGACATTAAAGAACAGGGCATCAGCTTCCTTCTTACCATTAGGCTTAACCAAGGCTGCCTTGAGAATATGTTTTCACTCATAAGATGAGGTAAGGGGGGTCACAAATTCAATCTGGAACCCTCTGAGTTTCGTACAGCTTTGTGTCAGACCATGGTGGAGTCAGTTATGGTTTCAAGTGAACGCAAAAACGGTCTTGACAAGTTCTTGTTCACATTGGAAAACATACGCGTTGGCACCAGTACTGTCCGACCCAAGCGCCATGACGATGTACCACATTTGATTATAAATCTTACTTTGTCTCCTCTAGGCCCATCACTCACCCTGGCAGAGGAGAAAATCGGAGTTTATATTATTCACAAACTCGCTCTGCCATTTTCCCCTCTTGCTCCAACCTCATTACCAGCAAGAAAGATGCTTCGTCCCAAGAAAAAGTTTCTCCTCAACGCAAAAAACTTCTGTACCAAAGGCGGCCTGAAAGCACCAAGTGCCATGCTCCTTGCCACTTGCGAGAATTTGGAATCAAAGTTACGATATGTTGCCCCAGCTGCTTTGCATGTCACTGGCTTGTGGGGCATGATTATCAGACAGTTGACATCACATGTCATTGGTCTCCAGTTGAGGTGTGCAGAGAGTAAATGTAACCTCAGAAGTTCTGTCATGGACCTACATGAACCTCAGACTCTACCACTATATAAAAACCAGAACTAGAGATAGCACAGCATGCAGCAAAGCAGTCGAGAGAATGGCTGCCGCATTCTGTCATTTGTAAACGCCACCCCCGTTAACCACTGATTCATAAAGAACATGGATGTATTGCTGGTGAGTTTGTTGATCTACATTGACACCCATTATTGTATTCTTGTTCAAGTGCTTTCATCCATACTACTGTTTTCTGTCTCTAGTTTGTTGCTTTTTACTTCACTTTCCATTGCATATATATGCACCACACTCTCTTTTTCTCTCTCTTTCCTTCCTTCCCGCCCCATCTACCCATGGAGCCCAAGTCCATTGCTATTACTAATTTATGACTACATGTACTTATTAACTGCGAAAGTTGGTAAAAGATTTGTTATTAACATTTAACTTAGTGACATGGCTTGCAGATCTGAAATATGAAGAGAGTAGAGGCATTGTTTACAACTGGAAGAATGGCCTGCTCGCTGCTAACGCATAAATAACACAAAGCTAGGCAAGGCCTTGCCCCACTTGGTTATTTTTAGCTCACATCTAGCAGCCAGACTCACAAATGCACTGTTGTCACGGACTATGGAGGCCTCGTTTCCACTCTCTTCCTATATCCTCTTTGGTTAGACTAAGATGAGCATTTTAATTTAGTCTTAAGTTTTGATGGGCACAGACATATTAGACTTTAAAAAATATCTTCAGCATTGTGCATACGATTTATTTATAAACTTGATTTTTAATAAAGAAATGGTACATGTGATGTGAAAGGAAGAGTAAAAGAATGCCCTTTCTCCATCTTTAGAGGGACTTTTGGTTTGCTTGTATTATAAATGTCATGTTACACATATCATCCAGTAACAGTGAATATTTTCAAAAGCATAGATGCATCATTGTTGGCCGACACAGTGTATCATGTTTTAAAGTCTCAATGTTCTATGTTCATGAACACGAAAAAAGCGGTCTCACTCACCAGCTTGAACTCTGTAACACTGAAGAGAGTGCTGAAACCTTAATTTTTCCTTGAGTCAGTGGTAAAATACATGAAAATCCTGTCTTTCACAAAGCAAATGACCAGTCATCACTTACGCCTGTTTTGAGTTCATTTTTTCTTGTAGTCTTTTGTCAGCATATTTTTTGAGACTTTAATTGATGATGATTAGAGGGATAGAAAACATACTATGATAAGTTCTGAAATCTGAAAGATAATATATGTAAGATGAATGCTTCATGGTTCATGGATTAATACTTTTTATTTTACATTTTCTTCCCCAGGAATCCTAGTCTTAAAGGCTTGAAAGGAGCTGCTTATTTCTCTCTGTGCGGTTTATTGTTTGTTGGTGAGTGTCAAACAAACATTCTTTTTCAGTCATTGTACGACGTGAAGTTGATCAGTCTGTTAATTGACGGTACATTCTGCAAGTGCTTTCAACATTTTTGCATCACCTAGTATCAAACTAGCAATCATAAAATGTTTTAATGAACCCAGCAGAGGCATTTTTTAAACATAAATATGGTTAATTCTGTCAGTAGTATTGTATTACTGTGAGTCAGTTGTTTCCTAAATTTTCTGATGCCTTAAAAATAAAAATCAGGTGTATACCAAGCATTTTTAGTCCAGAAAAGGCTATACTATAACTATAACTGATAGAATGTAGCTTTGTACTTTGTGTGATGTAAAAAGTTTAACCACTTTCTCAACCAGGTTCACTCTAGTAAGTACAGTCCGTGCCGGCTTCAAGCACGCCGGCTTAAAGCACGTTTCGGACTCAAGCACGCTAAACGGCTCTAACCGAATTTTTGCTATATAAATTAAACGCCTTTAAGCACGGTAACTTCGGCTTCAAGCGCGCTTCATTTACCAGACAGTCAATATTTTCATGATGACCCATCGAAGTTCGAACACAGTCTACACCGCAGCAGTGGATTGTGTCAAGAGAAACACAAAGAACGCAAGTGATTGATACACATACTCACACGGGCGGAGAGGAAGTCAGATGCACACAGCCGCGCACGCGGACATAAGATCTACTAATCTAGAAAGCTACACACGACCAAGAAAAATGCAAAGAGAGTCGGGGAGACGACAAAGGGAGGCTGGCTGCGATTTCACCTTTGGCCCTCGCTATCCATTAATCCTGACAGTGTATCACGTGCGTGGTGGGATGAAGGCGGTGGTATGAGTGGCACAGCGGGCAGTGGTACGCACAGGCAGTGTGTAGGCCTAGTGTGCTGTATCGTGACTGGCCGTCTAAATAAGTTTTCATTTCCAATTCGACCTCAAAACAAAAACAAACAAGCGAACAAAAACTGCATGTACCATGGCGGGTGTCTAAATAACAGTGCACACTTTTGCGGGACCGCTATAGGCCTACTTACAAACAAAGGGAAATAGCACGCGAAATTTTCTACATGAAAATCTCTGGATTATGTCTACTTCGCACTAAAGCACGCTTCGGCTTTAAGCACGCTTTAAGCTTTCTCCCGACGACCGTGCTTAAAGCCGGCATGGACTGTACAACAAAACAATTCAACTCTTTGTCTCAAGTCATTTGATTTGTTGAAAGTAACCTTGGAATAAAATATACTTTTATGTTTGCTAAAAGGAACCCGGGTATGAAAGAATTATGGGACAACATGGCTTGGGACAAATGAATGAGAATGGGGAGCGATTCGCAAATATATGTGCTTTCAACAGTTTTGTTATTGGAGGCTCTGTTTTTCCCTACAAGAGGATCCACAAGGCCACCTGGGTTTCACCAGATGGAGTGACGGAGAACCAGATAGATAATTTTTGTATCTCTCGTAAGTTCAGGCGTTCAATGGAAGATGTCAAAGTACAGAGAGGGGCAGATGTTGGATTGGATCATCATCTGCTGTTGGCAAAACTGAAGCTACGACTCAAAAAGCACGGAACCAGCACAGGAATCAAAAGAACCAAGTTCCAAGTAAGTCTCTTGGACGGACACAAGAAAGAAGAGTTTCAACTGCAGCTGAGGAACAGATTTCAACCTCTGGCTGATCTTGACGGGGAGGACACGGAGATGGACACACACTGGACCAAGGTCAAAGAAGTCTTTACATCAACATGTCACGAAGTACTCGGTGGGAAGAAATGGGAGCACAAGGAATGGATTAGCCAACACTCATTGGATCTAATTAGGATAAGAAGACAACTGAAGGCAGAAGCGAATGCAAGTAGAACAAGAGGATCAAAATCGGATGTATTGGAGCAGTACAGGACAACAGCTAAAGATGTCAAGAAATCAATAAGAAAAGACAAGGAGGAATTCATAAACAGGCTAGCAGAGAAGGCAGAGGAAGCAGCGATAGGAGGGCACATGCGAATCCTTTACCAGACCACAAGGACACTTGCTGGAAAATATGGGAAACTTGAAGTACCTGTAAAGGACCAAGACGGGAAAAGCATTTTTGGAAAGGAAGCTCAGTCTAAGCGATGGGTAGAGCATTTCAACAGTCTCCTGAACAGACCACCACCGAGTAACCCACCAAACATACTGCCAGCAAGAAATGAGTTACCTATCTGCTGTGATGTTCCATCAAAACAAGAGATTCTGGATGCCATTAAGAAGCTGAACAAAGGTAAAGCGGCCGGTCCTGACCAGATTCCACCTGAAGCCCTAAAAGCAGATGCCAATGTGACGGCAGACATCCTACTCCCACTGTTTACCAGGATCTGGAAATCTGGAATGAGAGCAAGTTCCCAAAGGATTGGAAAGAAGGACACCTCGTGAAGCTTCCAAAAAAGGGGGATCTCAGCAACTGCAGCAACTATAGAGGGATCACTCTTCTCTCAATACCAGGTAAGGTCTTCAACAGAATCGTTCTGGAAAGAATCAAGACAGGAACGGATCCAAGACTACGGGATGAACAGGCCGGTTTCCGGAAAAATCGCTCAACCACCGACCAGATTGCCATGCTGAGGATTATTGTGGAACAGTCCCTGGAGTGGAACTCCCAGCTGATTGTCAACTTCCTTGACTACGAGAAGGCCTTTGACAGTATAGACCGAGCGACACTATGGAAGATAATGAGACACCACGCAATCCCACAGAAGTTGGTGAACCTCATCAAAAGCATGTACGAAGGGACAAGTTGCAGGGTTGTACATGATGGCCAGCTCACGGACAGCTTTGACATCAAGACTGGAGTGAGACAGGGATGCTTACTATCACCGTTCCTCTTCATATTGACAATCGACTGGCTGATGAAGGAAACCACCAGAGGACACAGAAATGGTATACAGTGGACACCATGGACACAGTTGGACGATCTGGATTTCGCAGGCGACTTGGCGCTTCTGTCGCACACCCAGGAACAGATACAAGCAAAGACTTCAGTATTAAACAGCCTATCGGAGTCTGTTGGATTGAGGATCCACCCCGGAAAGTCAAAGGTACTAAGGACAGATGCACAACGAAAGGAACAGGTCACAATAAAAGGAAAGGCCCTAGAAAACGTTGAATCCTTCTGTTATCTTGGGAGCATAATTGACAGAGAGGGAGGAACAGGTGCTGAAATAAAGTCCCGCATTGGAAAAGCACAGGCTGCTTTTATATCTTTGGATAGGATTTGGAAGAGCAGAGAGATCTCACTTCGAACAAAGCTGAGGATTTTCAATTCAAACGTGAAGTCGGTCCTGTTGTATGGATGTGAGGCATGGAACGCATCACAGACTTGTATAAAGAGGATCCAGGTTTTCTTGAACAGGTGTCTAAGAAAGTTACTGGGATCAGATGGACAGACAGGGTCACCAATGTGGAAGTGTTAAGGAAAACAAGACAGATCCCAGTCAGAGATGAGGTAGGAAGAAGGCGGTGGCGATGGATTGGACATACTCTCAGGAAGTCAGGCAGCTGCATAACAAAGAAAGTTTTGGATTGGAACCCACAGGGCAAGAGATCAAGGGGAAGACCTCGTGGAACTTGGAGAAGAATCACAGAAATCGATGTACAGAAAAGTGGGAAGACATGGAATAACATCAAGAGGCTAGCCCAGGATAGAGAAAAGTGGGGGGTGTTTGTCCGTGGCCTATACCCTGGTGCAGGGTGAGAAAGGCAATGATGAAAAGGAACCCATTATCACTGGAATCTCATGAAATGCTAGTATGCTAAGAGATATAAATTTATTACAAGGTGAGGAACTAATGTAACTAAGGATTAATTTTAAGTTTCATATCAAGAAGACCATTCCTATATTGGATATAGAAAAATCCACTGAAAAGAGGTTTCAAATTCTTTTCTCTTTAAATTATGGTTTATGTAATGTTGTTTTGGGCCCAGTTTCTCCAGTGTGTCAATCTTTGATGTGGCGGCTTATGTACAGGTTCCATTTATACACCAGTGTTGTAGAAATCTTACTCTGTACAAAGTTGTTGGTCTGTTACATCATGAGGAAAAATTTGATTTATTCATTGGGTGTGGGGTCCACATGTTCAATTCTTTTCTTTTTGTTTGTCCCCATGTTTTTGAAGATAGATAGCTTTATTGCTATACACATGTTGAGATAAAAAATGTTGTCACCCTATGTTCATGCTTGTTATTGTCATGATTCATTTCTCAGGATTTGAAACGGCAGCTGTATGCAGGCTGATGGATTGGGGACCTTTTGATAAATCTGTCAAACCTGACATTGAAGGCACAGCAGGACACAGATAGCACTCTGTGTGTGTGTGTGTGTGTGCGCGTGCTCGCATGTGTGTTTGTGTGTAGTAAATTCAACTTGCTTGTGGTTAGAGTTTACAAGCGAATGTTTGTTGTAAGGTTTCTATGTGTAATGTGTGTTACAGAAAGAAAAAGGAGCTGGTGTTTATATTTTTTATAGTTTTCTACTAAGTATATTTGGTATAATTGTTTTGTGTGTTTCAGTATGTGTTCATATTTGCACACTTCATTGATTCTGGCAGAGTTTGACTGCTGATACTGATACTTGATGGGAAAGGAATAAATGTCAAGTTGTTTTGTGTATTGCACAGTGTTCATATGTCCTTAATACAATATGTTCTTAACTGTACACATGTGTAAAATCTGTTGCGCAATAAAAAAAAATTACAAAGTTATAATGAGTATGAGCGTGTATATTCAGTATATATATATATATAAACATGTTCTTGCTAATTTTAGTTCATTGTTTTTTGTCACTCTTTTTGTTTTTTAGAGTGGATCCTGTTTAAAACATACCGTAGAACACAGCGAAATTGTTCATGCTGTCCGAGCAATTATGTTCTCTTCTGAATTGTTAGTCTGAGACAAGAAAAAGATGTGTGGTTTCATTTCTCCATGGCAGATTCTGATTTCAGGATGAGAAAATATATGAAATCTTACAGAGAAAAGTAAATGTGAGGCATCATGGTGAAATCATGGGCTTGTCAAAATAGTCACATCGAAGAAACCAAAATTTTTGTGCAGGTTTGGCAGTTTTTATTGAATTTTTAAATTTTTGGCTCTAAACTTATCCAATTAAACACATTGTAGTGTGGACCTTATTGAGAAATGTAAATTTTTCATTTCCAAGAACTCGAAGCTATGGAAGTTACCTAAACTTTGGTGGCCATTTTCTCTTATTTTATCTCTGAAACCAGGTGACCCCCACCACCCATCAATCACAAATATTTTGACCTCTAGTCAAGATAGATCCAGGTATTTAGAACAAGTTGTAAGTAGATACCAATAAATCCATTTGCCTAAAAATTGACAAGGGCCCGATTCCACCATGCTGTGACACAAATTGATTTAGAGCAGTAGTATACATCATATCGACATTGATAGGTATGAAAGTTCAGTGTCTCATGTTTCGCATCATTTTGAAGACTTTCTGCCAGATGCCACTCAGTGCCAAAAGTTGATTGAGCACACCAGAACAGAGCAACAACTGATTATGTTAGGAGGGAGATGGAGCGAGAGGTGAACAATCTTTTTTTCCCAGCGTTCCATCATACATTAATGTGTGCATGCCCCTTTAGTCAGAAAACTTCATGCCTTCTCAAAGGCATATATTTATAAAAATACGGAGAGGAAAAAAGAGAAATGAGGCCCTTCCGGCCCCATCCTTCCTCTTCATTCGAAAAAATAAATTTAGTTTCAAGATGAATAACAGACCAAAATAATTTCATCATAGTTCGAACCAGTTGCTTCCGAACCTCAGTCCAGTTCATAATTGACTTTGCCACACCATAGAGTGAATGGTAGAATTCAGAAGAGGTTGTTGCATAGCACAAGACTGTGAGCTCAAGAGTTCGGTTTCCAGTTTCCACATTGGAATTTTGGGTATGATGCCATAAGCTCATTTGTAAAAGCAACCCACAATGGTGCAAGCCGCCTGGATTTGATTCTCCACTGGAGTTTGTTGAGAGAATGTTAAGTGTGGGCCAGTTCATGTAGCTTATTCAGAAGTCAAATTGTAGTCTCTTTCCAAAATTGAGGTGAAGAGCTTTTAAGCCCACACAATTCTATCATAAAATTATACTGAGACATATCTTTGAAGTTACTCTAGGTTTCTGCTGGCATCTTGTTTGTAAAATCTTAAATATTTTCTTTTACAGTCATTTGTTGTATATCATTGGCATTACAAAGCTTTAAAAAAAAAGGCCAATGTGTTTGAATTTGATTAGCTTGAGCTAAAACTAGTACCATATTGAGTATATTTTGTCCATACAACTACAGTTTGCCTCTTGACCTTTATACGTGTTGTATTCCAATTCTATAACTGTGGCCTTTCTTCATGCACTACATTTTTATTGGTGCTTGAACTTAAAAGGGGGGCTCTCGTGGCCTAGAGGTTAAGGTGTTGGCCTCTCATTCAAAGGTCCCGGGTTCGAATCCGGGTAGCGACCAAACAATTTTCTTCTCTAAAATTGTCTCCTTTCACCTCCTTTCCTGCTCTCTAGCAATGTTCTGTTGTCTGCTTTCATTTCCACTTTCTGCCCCCACCCCCTCACCTCCTTTGCCCCCTCCTCTGGGCTCCTGACTCTTTCTGCAGCCTTTCTACTGCTACTCCTTGGCTTCTCCTTACTGCTGTCTTTCTGCCACACCCCTGATCTTCTGGTAGGAAAGATCTACACCTAGCCTTCTCGGACAAGGGCGAAAAATCTCGGAGGGCCCGTGTGCAAGTTGCACACGTTAAAGATCCCTTGGTGGTCTAAAATCGATAAGAGTAGGCTTCGGCCGCCACCCGCGCAAAATTCAAAATTTCCTACCAACTGAAAATATTAGGTGTGTCCCGCGCGCTCATATGACCTATGCAGTTGTGAGCGCCGTAAAACACTTTACAAAAACAAACTTAAAAGGGGGCTCTCGCGGCCTAGAGATTAAGGTATTCGCCTCTCATTCAAAGGTCCCGCGTTAGAATCCAGGTAGCGTCGGAAAATTTTCTTCTAAAAAATTGGCTCTGTTCACCTCTTTTCCTGCTCTCTAACAATGTTCTGTCGTATGCTTTCGTTTCCACTTTCTGCCCCCACCCCCTCCCTTCCTTTGCCCCCACCTCTGGGCTCCTGACTCTTTCTGCAGCCTGTCTACTGCTTATCCTTGGCTCCTTCTTACTGCTGTCTTTCAGCCACACCCCTGATCATATGGTAGGTAAAATCTACACCTAGCCTTCTCGGACAAGGGTGCAAAATCTCGGAGGTCCAGTGTTCAAGTTGCACATGCTAAATATTAAAGATCCCTTGGTGGTCCAAAATCGATAAAGAGAAGGCCTAGGCCGCCATCCGATCAAAATTCAAAATGTCCTACCAACTGAAAATGTTTGGTGTGTCACGCGCGCTAAAATGACCGTAAGCAGTTGTGAGCGGCGTAATTTGAAGAATCTTGTTTTGTTCCTCCAGCAAACATTTCATCTTCACTTCATTTCATTCTCTCTCCCCCCCAACTCCCCTCAAATGGTACAGTTTGCAAGAGACAACATGATTTCTTAAGATAAATTTTTATTTTTAAGTATCCAAGAAAAAAGAAAAAAAGGGCGTATGAAATAACAAAGAATAAAAAGACACAAATTGAGGACAGAGTGCATTGTTAATTTTTTTTTCATTTATTTTACCATGTCAAATATATGCAATGGAAGATCACTAAATATTTCTCTTTGTGTGTCTCATTCACTCTTGAAGGGAAAATTGTTCTAGAAAATGAAACCTCAGGGCAATAATAAGTAGAAGAGTGAAGCATTTTTCCTTCTTACATTATAATGCAAGCAAAACACAGCACAGTTTTACTAAACCTAAAATTGCATAATCTGAGGTATCAAGCAGCAATATGACTCGATCTATACCAACAACTGCATACAAAATTTCACTTCCTGAAAATAGCGTACAAAATTTTCTAAAAGTCGCATTGTCTGCCATCTTTGCCTATTATTAGCATAGATATGTTGCCACTGACGTTAACAAAGACACTTTAATTTTGTTTCTCAAATTGAGTTCTTTTAAGAACAATCTTTATGCCTTATTATAAAAATGTATTCAAAATATGTCGAACGCTAATAACAGTATCCTACACCCACAATAATAAAGAGATAAACTCAAGAGCAGTTGTAGATCAGATATTTTCTTTTGAATTTCAAATAGAATTACCTGTCTCAATGGTATTCAATCTTTGACAAAACATTACATGATCTCAACAAGGCAAGTGAAGATTAAAATTAAAAGGTGCAGACAACATAAGTAACACAACATGTTTCCTTCAGCTATGCCCCATGTCAGTACAGTGCACTACTGCCAAGAGCTTCATTATATTTAATATCAACTACATGGTAGAAAATACTGTCACTTAGGTGATGATTTGATGCATTTTCTTGCGTTATTCAGTCACGTGAAGGTTACCCGTACTTTTATAACAGTAACAGACATGGCGCATAACTAAAGGATGGTGACTATAGATATATGCACTTGCTCTTGAGATTTTCACAGGTGACTTGGATTAAATTTAAGAACACAATCAGTTTAGCCAATCACATAGCTCCTTGACAAACATACGAAAATTATCAAAATCTGAGAAGCAGGGATTTAACAGAAACTGGGATTTTCTTACATCTTTGACTGAGAGAGAGAGAGAGAGGAGAGGTGGGAGGTGGAGGAGAGGGAGAAAGAGAGAGTTAAGTGTACTTTAAAAAAATTAAAAATGTGCAATTGGCACAAACATACAGAATACAGCGAGAACAGACCCTCGGATAGCAACACATGTGCGTGCTAAAAGTAGAACTCGCATTGTTGTAATCCAGCGTGCTTGCTTTGTGTGTGTGTTGGTCTAGGGTCTGCAGTTTTTTTCAGTGTGTGCCATTATTGGTACACGGCGTACGAATAGGGGGTAGGACAGAAAACGGTAATCAATTTTAAAACTTGAGATCGAAACTTCTAATGGCCATTGTTTCTATGTCGAAAATTGAGTATTTTAGGCATTCTCAGCTGCTCATAAACGTGAAGCTAGCCGTAACGGAATGAAATTAAATTTAAAACACTCTGTACCATTTTTTGTACACAGCGTACGGTAAAGGTTAAGGGAGAGTCTCTACTATAACCAGCACATTTTACCAGGACAAGATTGGGTGAATAGTTATCATGAAAAGAAGGTTCAGACCGTACAATAACATATCGACTGCTCAGTGTAGACTCCTTCATACATCGTTTTTCCTTTTCCATGACGTATGGCGGAGTCTTAAACTGAGCAGTAGATATATCACCAACTGTTGCTGAAGAATAGAATTTCATGACAATGTAGGATCCACAGAAAATTTTACATACATTACGTGACTATCAGTAGACAAGCACAACCCGCATAAATACTGATACACACATACACAAGGGCCAAAATAATATGTGAGGATTCCTGGTGAAATCAGGCGCTCGTCAAAATAATGTAATCGAAAAAAACCCTGGCATTACTCTTCTTGTTCGGCAATTTTTACTGAATTTTAATTTTTTCGCTGAACACCTTTTGTCATGTCCATTTAAAAACACATTTCTGTGTGGATTTTACAGAAAAACATAGATTAAAGGCAAAGAAAATGTAACTTTACAGTTTCCAAGAACTTTGCAAACTTTGGCGGCCATTTTCTCGCTAATTTTACCCCTGAAACCAGGTGCCCCCCTTCTCCTTCATTCTGAAATATCTTAACTTCTATTTAAGATAGAGGGGTATTTTTTTCATCAAAAGCAAGACAAATGGACAAGTTTTAAGGCAATACCAATAGCTCATATGCCCCAAAATTAACGAGCGCCCAATTCCACCGCCTCCCGACACATTATATTCAAACATGATGAGAAAAAGATGACTGTACAGTTTTCCAGGGTACCTTACAAAACAATTCACCCATGACACACTCACACACAATGATAAAGTAGGACTTACGGTGTCTTTAGTTGCAAGTACGGAAGGCACATACACTTGGTGTTTTGGAAGAGCCTTACAGCACACACCTGGTTCAACAACAGCTACAATATCAAAAGAAGAAGCATCCAGTGATCCCCTGAAACTTCTGTTTCATCCCTCATATTCACATGTGTGGTCACTTGAAATAAAACACTCAATTAGGAAGGTTGCCATTTTCAAAGTAGAAATAGAACTTATGAATCAGAAAATTAACTTGGGGGGGGGAGGGAGAGATCACTTCAAATAACCAATCAGAAGACGTAACTGCAGCTAATATCTGTCGTAAAAATAAAGTTGAACTCTAAGGAAACTAAGATGCCTTTCAAAGAAAATTAAGTGCCGATGTCAGCATACACTGATAATGATAAGGTGAGGCAACATCAGGGGCAAAATTTAGCTCTCCCAGTCAGTCCACTATTGCACGCTAGTGCAGACAATATTTGGAAGCTTTAGCTGAGTACAGAGTTATCATTCAACAATGCATAAACAATGGCACCGATTCGGGAAGTCTGAATCATAAGGTATAGTCACAACAAATGAAAGGGTGAAAAATATCCAACACCATAAAACACTATAACATCCACTAGCTTTTAATCACTGACTTGTCCTATTACTCACACTAACTTACAGGATCTCAAAAAAACATTCCTTGAACCGGCAAAATAAAATCACAACATGGGGGTTTTTTTCTTACCCCCACCACATTCATTCTCTTCCTTTTAGGCAGGGAGTTGAGGGAGAGGGACGGGACTGTTATAAATGAAATGTATCACATTTATTATTTTATAACTGAGAATATTAATTTAATTCACACACACATATGCACACAAACACACACATATATGCAGACTAACTTATGTTCAAGTGTGCACCCATAACTCACTAGTAAGCAACAACAACATAATTATGCTCTCTGAAACTCAAACACTCATCTCCTTCTCTACTTGGTAGCTTTTGCATCAAAGATCCATAGAATCAAACAAGCCATTATCATCAGCATCCTTAAGCACTGGGCAAAACAAAGCAGACTCAACCTGTGGAGACAAATGAAAAAAATAAAAGGGACAGTTTGTATTTGTCCTATATATATATATATATATATATATATATATATATATATATATATATATATATATATATATATATATATATATATATATATATATATATATATGTGTGTGTGTATGAATTTAAGTTAATTAGTTTAAGGGAACCTTTAGTTTAACCCTGGCCGGCCTGAACTTTTTCACTTACAATGGAGACTGAGCTGGGCTGCACGCTCCCCCCTCACTTTTTTAAATGATTAGTATAGGGTTTTACGGCGCTCGCAACTGCCCCTTCACTTGTGATAGTAAAGCCTGAATGGGGCTGCACAGCCCCTCCCCCTCACCCTCCTCCATTTGTGATTGTAAACGATATTCAGGAGAGCCATACAATGCATGAGAGAGAGAGAAAAAGAGAGAGAGAGAGAGAGAGAGGGAGAGAGAGAGAGAGAGAGAGAGAGAGAGAGAAAAATTCACAATGAAAATCTACTAGTTGCTCAGAAGGAACGCAAGCCCAATAATGGTCAGTACAGTAGTGAGTACACAGGCCCGGAAACGTTAATGATAATGTGACACAGATGTGTTGTACAGACCTGCCGCTCGATGAAATTTCTAAATCAAGATCTCGGGGGGGGGGGGGGGGGAGGGGTTGAATCGGGATTTGGTGAACAAAATCGGGATCAACAGCAAATCACCAAGGTGACTGTCAGACTGACTTACAAATTTTTCAGGGGTGTCCATAAATATATAAATGCCCTTTGTGTGTGTTCGTTTGTTTGTGTGTGGGTGCGTTTTATTGGGTACCAGAAACTAAATTTTCAAAGTAGCTGTATGCCAAATTTATCTGTTCCATTTGAAAGGCCTATATCCACTGAGCATTTTGGTATCATTCTTTAACCTCTCAGTCAATTTTTAAGAAATACTCCACATTAACAGAGTACAATCACTATAACAAATATATAGAGCCTAATTTTTGTCAAAACTGTGAAATCATTACAAATTCGTATTTAATCGCCTCAAACACGATGACCTGTCGTTATTTCGACAAAAACAGCAGGCGTTGACCCGGCCGGTGCCGCACCGGCCCCCGCGGCGAGCGAGTCGGCTCTATACTGTAGTGTACCCCACGTGGGGGGTCGCATGCTTTCCGAGTCTCACGGAAGGATTGAAGCAAAATAATTCCAAGTTGATTACTTTATTCAAATGCAAAATGAACTGATCTTTTAATTAATACCTTTTTTAAGCCGGTATTTTACATATTTTGTGTAAAAAATTATCTGAAAAAAATTTGACAGTATTTTTAAAAGCTTTCTATTTAAACTCCAAAGGCCAAAAATATACCACGCGAAAGCCCGTTTAAAGCTCTTCAGTTCTCCGCCAATGAAAAGACGGTATTTGAAGCATTTGAATGCACACATGTCAATTTTTGACCCGGCCGACCACGCATTCCGACCGCGAGGGGCTTCGCTTTCCTCGGCGATTCTCCACCTCCTAATAATCAGACATATAAACAACTTACACCATTGTAACGAGGAAAAGCTGAACTTTTACAAGGTGTACGGCATTTGGTGTTTTATAGCAAAAGAGCAAAGAAGCAGCGATCAGAATTACCCTGATTTCACCGATACCACGCGGTCGGAAGGGAGTGCCCCCGAGGCCGTGTTTATGCTACCTAGTTTTATTATTATTTTTAAAATCCTGAAGCATCAGGTCAAGCACTCCTGGTCCAAGTGTCTAACACCCCCTCCCCCCCCCCAAAAAAAGCCCAAAACAAACCCAGTGAGTCCCGAAAGTCACCTCAATGTCAACCAGTGTGCATGAACTGAAGTTGACCCCGTCAACGGACGGTCCTGGACTCATGCTGAACTCACACGCCGAAGTCATGTCACATGATGCGAACATTGCGAACATGTGATTCAAACAGTTTAACTAACGGGTTCGATTTATACTGGACGCCCATTGCGGATGGGATTGGACCGGGTCGGGTCGGGTTGGATGATCGCGTTTGTTTTAGAGGGGACGAATCGGGTGCAACTGGCTTGTGCCAAGATAGCCGCTTTGCGCCCTCAATCTGGCTAGCAAATCGACCCAATCCGATCGGACCCACCAATGGGCACCCAAACGAGTGAGTCGTAGTAGGCTAACGACAACGGCCGACCCAGCAAATGTACCAACAAATTTCTTATCCCTCATATGCCTTCAGACCAAAGCAACCACAACGGCCGAGTGTTAGTTTAGTCAGCGCAGTTAGTTGTGTAAGGGTAAGAACAACTGTCCCTCGTCCGAGTGTTTGGAGTGAATGCGTGGTTACTAGAACTCGGACGAGGCTTGTTTTGATAGTAACAGCATAACTACGAATATTATCGATTATTTGTATGTCACAATTGTAACAGTTATCAGGCTATCATCGGAAAATTCTGAGGGCGGGCAAAGATCAAACACAACTTGGGGGGAGTCAACTACTAAACCCGGCATCCATATTTCGGAAAATAATGCTCCGAGTTCCTACTGACAAAAAGTTCAACAAGTGCTTCCCACGAAAGAAAAGAAGGCAGGGTAAGTTTTTAGAAAGATCCGGTGCAACAGCAGACTGGAACAAAACCTCGGGATACAGGTGATCGAAATCGGGAATATCGAAATGCTTGAGATTTGGGGAAAAAAACCGGGATATCCCGACAATCGGGATGAATGACAGGTCTGAGTATCAACCAAAGAAAAAAGGTGCCCATTAGGGGATCGGGTCGGGTTGGGCTGGTTTACTTCCCGGATTTAGGGCGCAAAGCGGCTATTTTGGCACAATCCGATCATGCTCGGCTCGCCTAAAAAACAAGTGCGTTTGTTTTCAGGTGATGAGGCGGGCGATCATCCCGACCAGACCCCCCAATGGGCACCCCACATAATGGAAAAACAGTAGATCTTTTCTACGGATCTGCTAGGCCCCACACTGGCTGCAAGAGTTTTACAATAAGTTTTGTCCACGGGGCTACTCGGCCCCACATCGGCTGTAGATGTACATCGGTGTCTGGAAATGCGACACCCCTTCAAAAAAATTAAGTATAAAATGATTGAAATCGATTGATATTCTCACCCTTTGGCATACTGATGTAAACAGGAATTTTAGACAAAGTCATTGCAGCTGAGTTATCCACGTTGCAGAATGTTGAATTTTCACTTGAAATAAAAGTGCCCTGGGCCCGTTTAGGCCGGCACGGGTTAAACAATGGTATAATATATCTATATAAAGAAATCCAAGATACAAATCGCATAGATAATGCAAATAAGAAAAGACTATAACAAACTCATACAAATACAGCGTTGAGGCGTCCCTGACCATACTTTCCTTCAATTGCACAGTTAAGCTCAGACTACAAGGGTGCAGGAGGGAAAAGAGTAAAAGCGTTGCCAAAATAGTGCTACATTCAACTTACTGTTAAAACATATTGGCACGTCACTGGTTCAGCAAGAGACAATACAACTGCATGTGGATTCTGCACATTTTGCAAACATCTGGAAAAGAAAATGAGCAAAAGCTTGTCAGTTTTCTGTTTAGTTTTGGCATAGACAGCATTTTTCTAATTTACCATTAGCAACAATCCATTTCATAGCCTTATCACTAAAATTAAGATTCACAGCTTAAAAAAAAGACCCTTCCCCCTTGTCTTTCAACACTACAAATCTCTTTTTTTCCTTAAAAAGAGAAGCTCATGGAAGTCAACAACCTAGCCATGAATACTAATAAAATATCACAAGTCACATTAACAAACTGTTGGATTGGAGAACATTATTAACAAACACAAATGTTGGCATTGCCTCCTGGCTTTTCACAACATCCACGATGGCTCATGAACTTCCACTTACTTGAGACGAACTTCACAAGTCCTTGGTTTGTTGGTGAGATCACACCAATCTCCACCGGTGTAAAAATAGGAGAGCATCCTGAAAAATGAGATTTAACCAAATTTGGATTATGATGTCGTTATATTACCACCACAGTTGTACGCCTTGTGGTAGCGTGATTTCCATGAAATGTTGAGGCTATGGGTTTCAGTCCCATTCTCAGGCTCAGACTTACGACTCTCCTACTTCTGCACTTGCTGCCAGTATTTACCTTAGCTTTCCTTAGTCAGGTGTCAATAAATAAAGATGTCCTACCCCAAATGTCCCCATATAAACATATCCTACCACAGATGTCCTGATATTTAACTTGCAAAGCCATGTCCTCAAGTTCAAGTCTCTTTCTACGTGTGGTATATATTGTGTAGCCATGTCTATGGGCATATGAAATTCAGTCTTATTATACACTACGGATGAATTGATGTTGTCGGGGTAGTGAAAAAAAAACAAACTCATCCGAAGTTCAACTCTACCATAAGGACCTGTAGAGAAGAAGAGGTGCCCGGACCCGATAAAAAGATAAACTTAACAGAAGATCAACTCAAGCGAGTTCAACATTAGTGGAATCGACTGTAGTACAGTTATTTCACAATTGGACAGCGATATGTCGTGCAATTAGCAACACACATTGTCCACAAGGTAAAAATCTCAGATTGAAAATATCAAAAGAAAATGGCGCAGTATAAATAAAGCTGAACGGTGCAGTTTGAGGAACACTTGCAGAGGAAACAAAAATAATTATCTCACCCGAATTCTCAATCTACATGGCCGTATTTTTTTTACCACACTCCTGCATCTTTTAGACAGATTCATACACACAAAACATGTTGTAACAAAAACAGAATGTCAAATAAGATTGGGAAACAATTTAACTTCCCCTGAATCTACAAGCTTGCAACAAACAACATGTAGCTCTCAACTTGTGATTTCTTTACTATGCTAACATGAGCACAGTTTGGTTCGTGCAGTTTCAAAAGAATATGATATTGATATAGGCTATCTTGTATTAATTGGTCTAAACGGGCATCAAACAAACAATTGTTAGAAAGAGGAACATCTTCAGAGGTATGATGCCTTATAAATCATAATCTAGTTGATATTGGGGGTGGGGGTGGTTGGTAGCATGGTAAAATATATTTAAATTTTACTACTGTAATCACTTTCTTTCTTTAAAAAACCCAACAGAGGTGTCAACTGGCTATGAAAGAAAAATCCTTAACTTTTCAGGCCTTATATTGAAACGCGCCTGCAGGGACTAAAAATTTACAGATCATATTGTCTAGTACACCTTACATCAAATTATCTTTTATATAAAGTGCAATATGATGCTCAAACAGATAAAACATAAATAAATGTATAAGCAGGAATACATTACAAAGTCTGGACAATTTTAGAAAATCGGATACAAATTTTCACAAATTACACACATATTTATGTGGAAACAGAAATTATTCAATACCTTCTCTGTTCAGGATCCTTTGGTCTCTTTAAAGGATTGTCTTTCAGCCAGGCAATATGCTTTTCTTTATTCCAATACCCCAGGAACACTTTTGTCTCCACACCTTTTTCCTAAATAGGCAAACAAAATTGTTGTAAATCATTTCCTTGCACTGATTTATGAGAACAAAGGGAAAGTCATACTACTTTCAAAAAGTTACAGTGACATGAATTGAATATCAGAAGAGAGTTATCTCTTGGATATCACAAAAAAGCAGTTAACAGGCAATATACCATTTTCATGAAACAACTACTACTATTACAGTAAACAAAATGGTATTATGATTATAAACATCAGCTGATCTCATGAAAATCATATGTGCGGCATAGTGTTGAGTTCTGCCAGCAAAATTTTTATTCCCGAATAATCGAGTGCTTGTTTTTAGTGTCTGCAAATAACAAGCAGACTAATGAATCACTTGCGGGCAGAATTGATCAGTAGGCCTACACTGTAAAGATTTATTATTCATTGTTCTAGTGAGACGCCGCTCATTTGTAATATCATGAAAGAGCAATCCCGCTGAGCTGGCGACACTAATCTTGGCTGGCTCATTCATGACGTCATAGTCACAATGCCAATACAGTCCTGCAAGCAACTTACATGTTGATCTTCAAGAAACAATGCACATTTCAAGTGCATGTTAATTCTATCACCCTGGCATCTGATGTCTGCAACCTGTTTGATCGTTTGACGATTCTGTAACGAATCCGTAGGCCTAGATCTAAGTCTGTTGTCAATAGCTTCAACACTATGATATAGCTAGCCCATCTCTAATCCTAGCCTGTCTTGCAGTCACTTGTTGTCTACAAATTTCAGTCCCACTAGCATCTGATGTGCCAAACTTGGTGTTGTTCAACCCAGTCCTCAAAGCAGTCCGCTTGTTTTTCCACCGAACTCTCTGCAATGGTGGTAACCAATCACATAGCTGCCCACCCCTCTCTGTGGCTATCAGGGACATCCTTGCTCAGAATCAGGGACATTGACTAATTATCAGGGACACCTTACTCATAGTCGTTATACCTTAATACTGCACACCTGCCAATTCTCCCGAATTTTTCGGGAATCTCGCGAATTTTACATCTTTTCCCGAGCAACAGAAATCTTGTTCAATTTCACGAAATTCACACACAATAAAAAATAATTATAATGTTAATGTCGTCAGAATGCAAAACTGGCCTGTCATGCAGGCCCTAGGCCTGAACCCTTGCACTATAATAGTGTAAATAGGTAAGTAAACCCTATGAAAGTTTGAGGAAGATATATTAATACTATTATTATATTACAGTAGTCTCCGTCTAAACGTACGCCATACAAAAGCACGCTCCGCTCAAACGCACGCTTTCGTCATCTGATGGGTTTTTTACTATTTAATTTAAATGTACAAACGCACGGTCACTCCCTCTAAATGCACGCTCCGATCCACGAAACACGCCGACAAGTTAAGCTTGGCAAGGGGAAATTTCCGCTACAAACATAACCTGTACAGCCTGCATAAGACAAGCCTAGAATTTACTAGAAAACCGGATATTCGGTGAGAGTACCCCTCACGCCGTACAAGTACAAAGAGAGTGATGGACAGCGTTTACGGACCCTACTTTCCACTGACGCACAGGTCTCGGTCTAAGGCTGGTCAGTTAAATGTGTGTGTGTGGGGGGGGGGGGCTGAAATGTTTTTTGATTGGTCTCTGGAAATGTACTGTATCTTTGATAGAAGGTTTCTGACTGGTGTTTGAGTAACTGCGTGTAATGTTTAGTTAGATCTAGGCCTGATGCGCGACATGCGTAAATGCCGTAAGACACTAGACAGGCCTCTATAGGATTAAAGATTAGCCAAATAAGCCAAATAAGCTGCGCTCGAAGAACTTATAATGTACTTGTTCAACGAATCACAAGAGAAAATGTTTCTCGAGGATGATTCTGCATGAATTTACGGTCGGGGGTGGTCGCTTGGAAAGCCACGTGGCTGGTCTGTCGTCTCTATGACTAGATCTATGACTATCTCCAACAGTTTCCTCTTAGGCTATCTGTTCCAGACGTTTATAGTGCAGATTCATTACATTGAGTTCGTCTTTCTCCCCCCCCATTCAACGTCGTTGTATTCTTAACCCCTCTCTGGGTATCCTTCACAAAACAGTCACGTGTCGTCACATTATCTGCCAAAATGATCCCCTCAAGAAAATCCGTACAAAATACAGATGGCCGGGACAGTGGGCAGCTATGCAATCAGAACTGAGCGCTCGATACACCACTAGTATGGCATCATGGTGGAACCACGTGCTCATCAAAATAATAAAATAGAAGATATGGACATTTTTGCGTCTGCTGTGCAATTTCTGTCGATTAAGTATTTCTTTTTGGCTCCATACCATTTATGTCCATATAAAAACATATTTTTGCGTGGATTTTTCTTTTAAAAAAACATGGATCAATGGCACAATAAAAAAGTCAATTTGCACTTTGCACTAAGCTCACTCAACCTTTGGAAGTTGCTAACCTCCTTTGGTGGCCATTATCTCACTAATTTTATCTGACACCAGGCAGCCCCCACTCCTTCAATCGCAAACATTTGTCCATCATGGACAAGCTTTAAGATGATACCAATAACTCCAAAGGTGTATAAATCGACCAGCGCCTCATTCCACGGTGTCGTGAAAAATATGGAATCTGAAATACTCTTTTTAGAGTTCACAATTATTTTTGTAAACAAAGCGCTTAACATTATGAACCGTCTCTGTAAAGTATTCCATACTGTCCTGACTTATTAATGCCACATAACCCCTTACTTTTTAGATTTTCTTTTACGGTTCAGTGCACTTTAGCAAAACAGCATGACCATATCAATAAATAGACAATGTTATTGGAAAAATTCGAGAAAACAATAAAAGATTTGCTTTTTAAACAAAATAATAGATTTACTGAAACACTCTCAAACTCACCATGTGAAACTGCTTGGCAAATCTCCCAAAGCACACTTCATGCTTCCACCATCCAGTGCCCTGAAGAGTTAAATTATAAATAGTGAATATAAAACAAAGTTGCCACTGTGCATTCACATCACATTTTTTTCATCGACATTATGTAAAAATCTTGAACAAGAGACAGAATGTATTATTTCAAAGGGGGCACTTGATCCCTAACCAGCAGAAATAAAAATCCCAAGGAAGAATGAGAATACTTTAGAAGGTTGATCAAGTTTATAATTAAATATTCTTGTGTAAAAATGTTCTCAGTTAAAACCTTAAAGGGGACGATTTTGCAGACACTGCCTCACTAGCATGAGATGTATAGGTTCACTATTGGCAACAAACTATCAGTTACTGATATCTGTATAATGAAATTAGGTAAGAAAATCAGGCACGTCATTGCACCCATTATATTGACCATTGACTTTATAAGTACGCCACTGGCATGTTTCATCTGTGAAGCCATCATGCCTGAGAGTTTCTAAAAATCAAAAACACTAAGTCCCCACATGCAACCTTAAAAATTGTGAAAAGTACAATTACCAAGTTTTACTTTCTTAAAATTGACAACTATAAAAGCATGCGCAAACACACTTGACAGTCAAATTCTTTATGTTTTTCTTCAAGAAAATTTTTTTTCTTCTTTGCAGTATTACAAAGAGGCATGAGAGGTCTTGCTATTTATTTCTTCTGCGCCATATTCCCATGTTAGATCATAAAAGCAACTTTGCAACACACTCTGCCACTAAATAATAAGTATAGACACCTATTTGGTTTCCTAATTCAGTAAAAAAAATGTGTGGTCGTGCAAGTGATCAAGGTACAAAAACAATGAAATGTTTAAAAGAAAAAAAAACACACCTGCTAGGCAGCAGACTGAGACTGACACTGAAAAGAATTTCACAGATAATCTTTCTGTGCCAATCTTCAACTGGCATGCCATAGCATACAAATTTTAGCATGACGAGTTCAAGATTTATTTGAGCAGAGCGCTCATGGCAAGTTTACTTGTTACAAAAAAGATTAATGTGTAAGTTGTAGCAGATAACACTTTGCTGCAGTACCATTTTTTCCCCGTAAAAAATTCCTTCAAAACCTATTTCCGACTCTCATAAATCAGCCCTTGGATATTCTTGCGTAAATTTACTGTTGTAAAAAACAAATTAAAGAAAAACTTTGCTGAACTTCAAACAGACCAACTTTCATGAACTCAGACACCATAGCTTCAAAACAAAGAGCCCTAGCTCAAAAGCAGCTGGGACTGGAGAGGAACATAAGGAAGTCAACAGTCATAACATATAAAGTACAGAAACTAAAAAGTCAATCTAACCCCGGCAAGGCAATGGCCCCCATTCAGAAAGGCCCTCAGAGTCTGTTTATCAGTGACCACCCCCAGCTTGTGCTCTGGTTGTTTCTGAGCGGTAAGTTTAGGCTCCGTTGGCACTGGAGGATCTTTTCGCTTCCGTACTAATCTGCTCTCACGGGGTTCAGGAACTTGGTGGGCAGTCTTAAAATTCTTTGGAGAGAAATTGATTGAAAATTCTGTAACACCAGCTGATTATTCATAAAAGAACAATGAAAATTCTTTTAAAAATAAAACCATGAATAAAACTTTTTTTTTTTTTATAGATGTGACAACCCTTAAATTTGTACAAGCATACAAGAAACAGTATAAAACGTTTTTTAAAAAAATAACCTAAGCTTCTGCAGTATTATAACAAAGAAAGATAGAGAATGCCATTTACCATCATTCATTAAATTAAAATCCTACTTAATCTTAATTATCTTGTAGAGTAAGTATTTCTATGACCTTCAAAGCATGTACTATCAGGCTGAGAATTCCACTGAATTACTATCAGAATACTGATTATGTATCTGGCTTAAAGATTATTATAAGTAACAATAATTTCATTTATATCATATTATGTGGGTGACTGTGGGTCTGTTTGTGAGCGCAAGTATATATATTATGTGGGTTTGGGTATAGAAGTATGTGGAAGAGAGGATGTGTAAGAGAGTATGTGTGTGCATGCCCATGTGTGTGTGTGTGTGTGTCTGGTGAAACACCAAACCAGTGTTCTACAATCTGGACATAAAAGATATATTTCATCTCATCTCATCTTTAAAAAACTTTCATAGAATGTGACAATATGACCAACAGAAATACCAATTTAAAGCAAAACTATTCAATAAACTGCAAGCAGCATGCTTGTTAACTGAAATTCTCACCTGTGCTGACTGTTGCAGATAATTGGCTTCCAGGTCAACCTTATACACCTCCCGAGGTTTCAAAGGAGAGCCAAGCATGGAGTAACAGCGAATCTCACTCACAGGTGGAGTTTTGGGCCTGAGAATGTAACAATAATTGTAAGCACACCCAAACTTAAAGGGCTCTAATGTCTTTTCACAGTGTGCGTACATGATATGGCATGGATTTTAAGCTCTTATAATTATAAATACTGAGATAATGTTACTTCCTAATATACCATATGTGTCCCTGCCAGTCAATATCAGTCATATGAAGGAAATTTCAAAACTGAGTTAACATTTTTTAATCAAACTATTACATTTTCCCTTCAATTTAAAACAAGAATGAAGTAAATATGACCATATTTGACGAAAATACAGAATTTTTAATTGTGCGAGGTGAGGAAACACGAAAAGGAGAAAATGGCATCCGTGGTTAAGCAACATGATTCCACAGCAATGGGGGTCTTAGAATTGAGATAGAGACTTGAAATTTTGCAGTTATCTTGGCTATGCCACTACAAGGTAACATTCAGAAGTACAAAACTATTCATTCACAGAGAAAAAAACTTAAGGACAAAACAAATTTTTCACGAGAATGGACTTCATGTCAAATGCAACAAAATGTTCAAAATAACATAATATTGTTAACTGGCTGCAACCCCATGATTGACATATAATAAAAGAGTACCAAGCGCACCAAACATCTCTAAATTAACAGAGTACAATCATTATAACAAAGAAATGAAACCTAATTTTTTTCAAGACTGTGAGATCATTACAAATCAGTATTTTATTTATTGTCTCAAACACGATGATCTGTCGTTATTTCAATAAAAACACCGAGCATTGTCTCGGCCAGCGCCGCATCGGTCCCCGTCGCGAACGAATTGGCTTTATACTGTAGTATATTGAGTGCTCCCTGGAGTTTTGCGGAAGGATTGATGCAATATAATTCCAAGTCGATGACTTTATTCTAGTAGAAAAAGAACTGTTCTTTCTATTGGTGCCATTTTTAGCCGATAGCCGATATTTTACACATTTCGTGTTAAAAATGATCTTTGAAAACTTAGACGCTTTTTTAGAAAGTTTTCTATCCAAATGCCAAAAATAATATTAACAACCACAGGAAACCATGCTCAAAGCTGTATAGTTCTCCGCCAATGAAAAGACGGTATTTAATCATCAATCTTTCTGCAAAGCATTCAAATGTATGGGTGTCAATTTTGAACAGGGCGACCTCGCATTCCGACTGCGAGGGGCTTCCCTTTCCACGACAATTCTCTAGCTCCAAATAATCGGATACAAACAACTTACACTATTGTAATGAAGAAAGTCTGAACTTTTTCAAAGTGTTCAGCATCTGGTGTTTTATAGCAAAAGAGCAAAGAAACGGAGATCTGAATTACCTCCATTTTACTGAAACCCCGCGCTCGGGGGGCAGCGAGTCGGCTTATGTGCTGTGTTTACGCTGCCTAATTATACATTTGCAATAGCACCATAAACACATGAGAGCACACACGCACACACACACACACACACACACACACACATACAAACACACCAACACACATATGCATATAGACCACCTCGGTGGCCTCTTGGTAAGGAGTCCGCTTTGAGAGATCTAGAGGAAGGTTATTTAATCTTTTAAAAGCACTAAAACACATTAAAAACGAATTTCTAAAGTCAATCCAAGTGTAAAACTGAAAAATCAACAGACTATAACAGCTAGCAGGGCATGCCCACACAGTCAGCTGTTTACGTAAACAAGCTAGAAGTGAGCTGGAAGTTACCGTTTTTACTCCGTTTTACCCATCAGAGTTGTTTACATTTCTGACCATTCATGCTCGAAAAGGGGTCAAAATCTAAAAATAGTTGCGAATGAAGAATGTGAAGCAGAGATACTCCACTAGCGGAGAATCTTTGGTTGAAGCAAATGTGGCCATGAGGTAATGGTTCTAAAAATAATCTCACAGCTACAAACTAGCAAGGTCCAAATTCCTAAATAGTGCAGAGAGTAAACTAAAAAGACAACTTATTTTTCCTTTTTATTTTGAAAGAGAAATGCACCAATACAGTCATCATCACTTGTTAAAATTTAACAAAAACAACAGACGGATCAGAACGGAAAAAACCCAGGAACTACCCGATGCTCCTCTATCCACTCACCAACTCAATCAAATGTCAATATTTCTATTTTGAAAAAAAAACAACTCTGTTCAGAAATCAGTGCTGACCTGAATGCTTTCAGCAACTAAGTACTGCGCCGACAAAATGAGCCATACTGTGCCTAGTAGGATGTTTCACCTTGAAAAACCAAAGAATAACAACCAAAAATAAATTGAGCCACAAGGAGCTTGCTCTTGAAAACAGCAGAGCAGAGAATTTCTCCTCCATAAAAGAGGGCTTAATTATTATCTTTTTAAAAAAATTCTTCAAACTGACCTGTAACTTGGATGACTGCAAAGCAGAGAAGTCAGCACAACGACCTCATACTCGCATGTAGAACTCTCCTTCAACTCGTACACTTCTCCACGACCTTCAGGCTGGCAGACATAAAGCACATGGGCTTTCCTTGGAGTGCCCGTCAGGTCACATTTAGTCCCCCCATCCATGATGATCTCGAAATAAGGAAGCTCCGTCCCTTCCAAGTCTCGCACTGGCCTTGGGGCCTCAGGGTCTTCCTTTAATTTCTCAGGATCATTCTCTGTGCACACAGACACAAAAATGTGAATTTACTTCAGACCCATAAAGAAATAAATTCACCATGACATTGTCTAAATAACAAAAGCATTGTATCACATTCATAAAAAAAACCCTTAACCATTGCGCGGAAACAATAAAGTGATTTCATAAAGGATTTATCACAATACCAAATATCAGCCGCTTTGACAACATGCTCGTCTAAAGAAAATTTGCTCCAGTAAAACTTCATTACCACAGACGTTTTAGGGTCTGGGACAGGGCAAGCAGTTGTGAGAAAGACTCAGCAGTAACAGTTCATTCTGGTCCCTTGACTGCAGCTGACATTGAGGAGAAGACATACTCTGTATGAGCATGTAAAAAATCATGGTAATAAAATATTCAAATGCTTTTGCGGAGAGTAATCAGTTGTAAGAGAATCCATTGTTTCGTATTAGTGCTTGTTGCATAGTCTTCGTCTATGCATCAGCTCCCATTTACCGACATGCCATCACGACACACATGGGAAATAAAACAGGCTGAACAAACTGTATTCCTTGAATATTTGTGCCACCTTGCTGCATTATGTTGATTATGTCCTACAGGGCAAGGCATAGAGACTGAGAAGAGACAGAAGAACAAAAGACAGAAAGATAAAAGTGACAGGTGGGGTGCGAACCTACTGTCCTTCAAAAACCATAGTTTATACCGAAGGAGTTTATAATATATTTCCCATCATTATCCCAAATTACAGGGCTGAAGAAGCTAATCTTTTTACTGATGCAAATAAAAATTATTCTCCACTTTCATTTGTCATAAGAATGTAATTCCAGATTTCAAAGAAAAGCTCAAGCCATTATCAACACAGATACAACAAAAAAATGCCAGGACTGGAAGGCAACTCCTCACAGAAGTCCATGCTAAGCAAGCTGCAAAGGCTGAGAAGAGAATTGCATTACGGCAAAAAACATGTCAAGAGTAGTGGTTGTAATGTGGCCAACTCCTTTGTTTAAGAATTGATTAAACACTTTACTGCAATAAAATTATCTAAAGACATTTGAGAGTAGTAAGGGAGCAAAAATTTGCTTCAAACCTGTACTAAAAAAAATCTTCACCTAAAAAAGAGCATTATGTTCAATGATAACAGATTTTTTAAAATTCTTATTTTCAAAGCATTATGTTCAATGATAACAGATTTTTTAAAATTCTTATTTTCAAAGCATTAGGTTCAATGATAACAGATTTTTTAAAATTCTTATTTTGAAGCTCTGATTTAGACAATTTCCCCCTGACCACTGACACTGCTGAAGTGCTCATTGGTATATATGTACTGTTTTCTTACTTTTCAAATCCTCTCGGTGATTTCCATAACCTAAGTAGTACTCTTGGAGCTTTGGGGCCTGGAAAGAAAAATTATAAGAAAAAGAATATACAGACTTGCCTGGCTGTGAAGAACGTCAACTGATAAATATGAATCAAGGCAAAATGAAAACTTGTCCCAACAATTTAAAAACATAAATTTACTTTGCATGATGCTTTTTTCCCCCCATGTGCACTTTAGTACACTTCTTAAAAACTAACAGAACAATTTTTTTAAAACCCTACTTTATCATGACACCAAGCTGAAGGACACAAGCTAAGCAGATGAAAATATAACAACAGTATAAAAGTATAATCATTCACCTGCTCATCTTCATGCCACATGCCGTCACTCAAAAAAATAGAAAAAATTCAAAATTAAATGTAAAAACTCAGCTTGCAACACCGTCAAACAGGGCTGATCTTCATAAAATAAAGTAGGGAACTCAACACATGACAAAATACTGTCAATGCTGACAAATTCAAAACTCAAATTATTTGCCCAGTTGTGCTCAAATAAACCTCAACAATCGATCTACCACTACTTAAGAAACCCCAAGATTCTTAAATGAATCCCACTCTCTATTTATGTAAGTTACATTTTTTTAAAACAACATTAGAATGCAAATAAATGAACAACTCACCATTCCTTGCTCCTTTGCCTCATGATATTGTTTTAAATGTTTCCCATGACACAGTTCATATGTCCAGTAACTCTCAATCTGACATTTAAAATAAAGGGAAAAAAATTCTTTAAAAAACATAAAACAACAATACGTCGTCAACCGCCTGAATTATTGGAAAGAATTGACAATCCCACAAGACTCCTAAGGGCTTGTTGTGATACTGACTGTTTTGATACACAAGAGAATAACAAAACAGGATAAAGGAAAGGAACCTTCTAAAATTCTACCAAAAAATCTGTACTTTTCATAGCAGACAAATATTTCAATTCAACTTTGTACAAAAAAAAAGAAATAGGGAGAATACATTTTTCAAATGGTTCACCATCATCACATATTGATGAAGTTACGCTCAACTGTGCAACTGTAAGAAACAGGTCAGTTCATTTCTTGTTTTATAACCACTGCCCTAGTCAGTCGTCTAACTTTCCACAATAATATCAGAAGTAAATAATACTATAAATACTACATTTTAATCAGAAGAATGTCCTTTGTTGTGTTGAAAGATTTTCAGGAAACCAGTTACACAGTTGGAGCATAACACTGTATATATAATTGTTTTTATGTATTTAACTATTTACTGTTCCATAGAAAAATAAATATCTACAAATGAACATTTATCATTGGTATGGAAACAGGTAAGCATTTCAGAGCATGCTCCTTACCCTGTAAGAGCAATGAGTTGCCTGCATCAGTGGCTCAAGAAGCTCATCTGCTGACGGTCCAGAGTATGATGCTGCATCAGCCTGAGAGATGAAAGTGCTCTTACAATCTATTTTTATTGTGTTAAAATTTCAAAGATCTTTCTCTAGTGACTGAGACTGAAGGCCACTGTACAAGTTCATTTCATCCAGCACATGCAGAAAGAGAACAGCAGCAAAAGCAAATATATGATAAAATAACTACAAGGTGTGCAGCATTGACATAATAATCATAAAAGTTTTAAAAGGCAGCACAAAATCAGATGTTATAAAAGTAAACTATAGAGCTAGCAATGGTTGAAAATAATTTCCGTTCACGTCAATTTAATTTCAAGTAGAATTAATTTATACATCAAGTATTCAAATGAAAAGACAGAACTTAATCGATTAATGAGATTTAATATATATGTATAAATTTAAATGAAATCAAATGTCTTACCTCAAGAAGATTTTTAGTTTCCGGCAGAATACAGCGATACTTTTCCTGATGATTTGTTGTAATCATAACATGACGCTCACCAAGCGACTCCACCTGAAGCAAGAAACAGTCAGCATTGCAAAAACATTAGAGTAAAACACTTCATAATTTATCACACATAATTGTAGAAAAAAACAAAAACTGCAAGCAATGGAAAGATGTTGATCACACGACAGTCGCTGCAGTGGAACTCACAGGGAGCACGAGGCAGGGGAAGGCCACGAGAAACATGGAGATGTGTGGACAGAGACATGAGAGAGATGAAACTCACTTGGAAAGTGCTTGGATGGGTGGCTCAGGACAGAGAGAAATGGAAGGAGCTTGTCATGCGGCCTATATCCTGCCAGGGGTGAAAGGCATTGATGATGATGATGATGAATGGAAAGATGTGATCTCATACAACTAAATACTAACCAAAGTAAACTCAAATCCATAATACATGATATATATTTATATTATATATAACTCCTTTTTGGCTATTGAACTTACGGACAATATATGAACAATTTTCTTGTTCTTGTTCTTCTTCTCTTACCCCTGCAAGAGCTCTGAAAGGAGTAACCGACAGTAGAATGTTTCATGTCAAAGTGCAGTTCTACGCACATGGCCAAATTTTATCATCATAGAATGTAGAACAGAATAGTCCACCAAGTGTCATGTTCAAAGGTATCTTAATATTTACATACTGACAAGAGTGGCATCAGTTTTTGGGTAGGAACTAGGGTTGGGTTGGGCTCACAAAATTAACGTCCGCGAGTAACGAACTACTCGCTGGCACTACCCGCAAACGAGCGGACGGGTAACGAACAGTCCGTTTGAGAGGAGTAGTTCGCTACTCGCTACACATCGGACAGAGACAACAGTTCGTTTAGTGAGCGAGCGGACGGGCGGAGGGAGAGACTCCATGCATTCGAGCGGGTGCACGGACGGACGGACGGGAGCGACTCCTTCCATTGCCTATAACTTACAACCCCCTGCCAAAAAAAAATTAATAAAAAAATCACCTTCCTGCCTCACATTGTAGCTAGGCGTTCATGGCGGAAATTTCTCCCACCCCCCCCGGCCTTTGCTATAATTGGAACGTACACAGTGTGCCCCACGCACAATGTGAAAGGTTACACACATAGTACTACGTCACCAGCCTCTCTCACTCCCTGTGGCACCGCTTGTGGCTGGAAACATAAGGTCTAATTAACAAACAATAGACAATGGGTCTAATCTCACGAAGAGTATCTCGTCTGCTAGAGTACGTACGTTTGCCCGCCCACCCAGTGAATAAAATTGTGGAGCGGACCCAATAAACGAACTGACTTGAGGCTTGAGGTCCGCCGTCCGTTCGCTGAGAGAGTCAAATTGTGGAGCGGACCCGAAAAACTAACTGTCTTTAGGTTCGCATTTCGCTCTCATGGTCGTCCGTTACCCGTTCATTCTGACTGAGTCCGCGAGTAACAAACCCCTCCGTCCGCTCGCCCCAACTCTAGTAGGAACTAATAATCCTGAATTTAGCGCAGATTGGTCTAAAGCACGTCTATCTCGATTAAGAACAATCAAATATTTAAAAAACGATTAATTTGCAACGGAAATGAAGTTGATATTCGTGTTCAGCGCATCAATATTATATTATTAGTAGAAAATGGACTACTGGTAGTTAAGTGTGAGACGGGAGGGAAAGTTAAAAAAATACCCTTGTCTCTTGTAATTTCTTTACAGTCTGAATACTGCATTCTGTTGGAGACGACCACCCATTGTGGTCTTTGAAGATGAGAAAAGTTGTCATCATAGACTTACGCAGTTGGTCCTTTTGGGATGTCATAATCAGGGCTATCATAAATTTTTTTTAATACCAGGGGGAAGTAGACGTTGTAGGACTACCTACACGACATGCCGTTAAACGTAGAAAAGACGCATTATTTTTGATTGGCTGCTAATTTTAGTACTGTGATGTCATCACTTACTGGGATACCCACATGATGGAACGACGTGTTTTCGGTAACATTTCGGATTTCCTAGACAAATCTAGATCTAGTTCTAGATAGTAGGCACTTGGCCATGATGGAAGATCGCTTCGATCTAGATCTAGATTCTAGATCTAGATCGTTGATGCTCAGAACAGTAAGATTAAGAACGCTGATGCTTGAAATTGAAACACGGTAAACACAGAGACAAAAAACCGCACAAAAATTGCCGTAAAGACGCTGGAGGATTAGATCTAGATCTAAATCTAGATCTAAATCTAAATCTAGATCTAAATCTAGATCTAGATCTAGAATCTAGCACCCCCCTCCCCCTCTCCTACATTTTTAATCACTAATATATTTTTAAAAAACCAAAAACTTCAAAGCAGCTCTACAAATTATAATTTATGGGACTGTTGGTCAGTCAGGAGAAGGAGAAGAGAAAAAAACCAAACTGTCCAGGACCGGGATCGAACCGCTCCAAAAATCATTGCACGACTTCTAACGCAGACGCGCTGTCTATTCAGCTATCAGAACTTCCGAGAGAGAGGTGTACATTTTAAAGCAGTAAGAAGTATAGACACTTCAATCTTTGGTGCCATGCGGTTGGCTATACTTAGAGAATCTAGATGTACTCACGTGATCGGAGGGGTATCCTGGTCTGACGTCAAACAAGATGGGCGCCTTACCTAAAAATAGTTTGCGTCTTTCTACGTTTAATCGCATGTCCTACACACGTCAAGTAAGTGATTGTTGTTTTGGAAAGGTGGTTCATAATTCAAATAGTTAGCAGCTATGTAGGCCGGTATTTTTATAGAAGCACTCCCGTTTCGCGTCACATCCACTACCGGAAGTCAGCTCCTTCACCACTTTAGTGCCGTCGGATATACGAATAAGAATAAGGTCAGTTTTTTAAAGTTAAGGAGTTAAGGTTTAGTTTTAGTTTTAGGATTTTTTTTGGGTAATGCACGCTTTTATAGACATTAGGGGGGTTTCAGGGGGTCTCCTTATATATAGCAGTGTAGTAGGTCGGGTAGGGGGGGTTCAGGGGGGGTTTCCTCCCCCTGAAATAAAGTGCCGTAACATAAAACTAACAATTTGCGACGTTTTTCAATGCCAGAATCGTGTTCAGTTCAGGGCCCTAAAAAACCTATAAAATAATACCCTTTTATGAGACGGGAGGGTTTCTATAAATTTACCTGTAGGCCTAATTATATGAACTTGCTAGTCTCACCTCTTCCTTGTTGAGTTCCAGGGGTCCAGCCCAATTTATTAAAAACAAATTAGTATCCATGAAGGGATCGAAACTGGACTCGGCTCTACAGTAAATAAGCAGAGACAGCTTCATCATAAACAAAAACAAGACTGCCATCCCAGTTCCAGTCGAAGAAAAGACGAATAACTGCATGGTTCTTTGCGAACTACAGACAGAGGTCGCGATGTTTATCTCATTGCCGTATCAAAGCCAGCTTCATTTGAGATGTAAAACTGTTATTGGCTTAAACTAAAACGAAAGTTGACGTGTATCCTGGACAAGTTATCGGCAGCCATGTTTTTAAGACAACGTTTAACTTCAGCTTTGAAGAGTCAATGAAGAGAATGAAGAGCCTTTCCGTTCAACGTCCTTATAAACATTCACATTCATTTTTTAAAAAATAGGAAAGTTGATAATAAAGATAACAAACGGTAGTTGGTACACGTGCTTGGATTTCAGTCTGTGCCATAGATCAACTTTCTTGAACACTCAGAAAATATATTCTCAGCTTCCCGGGAAGCATACTTGATCTTTTTTACATTTAAAAGCAGCTTATGATTTTCACACCTTTCAGAAAAGCTAAGTACAAAATTCCGGTAAGCGGTTTCGTTATGGTCAGCTTGAATTAGCCCAATTATGGTTGAATCATCCGCAAATTTTATATCAACTTGATACTTGATGTTACTTTTGTTTATTTGGCAATCGTTCATGTATAGTGTGAACATAAAGGAGATTCATGTAACTCTATGAGTGTGAATAAAACTGGGGACAAAACACATCCTTACTGATACTGTATTTGTTGTGATAATATATGTCGATGAGGAATGTTTTAATTTTACATACTGGGTTCGGTTGGTAAGAAAATTGCCTAATTTCCGTGATATTAAATTGACGTTAACACCTATGTTTTCTAATTTCTTTAAAAGGATAGCTGGCTGGATAGTATTAAAGGCTGACAAAAAATCAACAAACAGGATCCTAGCTACAGTATGTTTTTGGCTTGTCTAAGTCTCTCTCTCTCTCTCTCTCTCTCTCTCTCTCTCTCTCTCTCTCTCTCTCTCTCTCTCTCTCTCTCTCTCTCTCTCTCTCTCTCTCTATATATATATATATATATATATATATATCTCTCTCTCTCTATATATATATATATATATATATATATATATATATATATATATATATATATATATATATATATATATATATATATATATAATATGTTGTCAAGAAATAGTAAAGTGGCGTCTTCTACTACACTACTCCCGTGGCAATATGCGAATTGTAGAGGGTCCTGGATGGATGCTTTGTATGTTCCAGGGGCGGCTGGTGGGGCTAAAAAGTGGGCGAGCACAATAAAGCTATCTTAGGCTGAAGATAATCAAGTGCATAGTAAATTGGATGGTGTATAATTTCAGGATCTTTGGGTTGGAGAAGGAGGGCCTTATGCTTTTATTTTTATTCTTTATACTTGTTGCTTTGATTTCTAGTACTAAATCTGTTGGTTAGCTAAAATTCCAATTCGTTCATCCTGCATTAGAACTCAACTCTCCAGTAATAACTTTCCCCAATCCACTACAAAACCATTCAAAGGCACAGCCCATAGGACGGTGACTTAAGTATGCCACGTTCACCTCCCTCAGGTTCACGGTCACAGAGTCACTTAAAATAGCGGCAGGACCATGAACCAATCATAATTCACTTGTGCACTCCGCTGGATTGCTCCGAGGCTCACACCCCACACATACTTTTGGCATGGAATAGCGTACAGTCTGTCGCGTTAATTTTTTAAAGACTGCCTACTGTGGGCTATGTATCGGCACTATTCGGCAGGAGCACATTTGAGATGTGCCGGCTTATTAATATTAATGTACCGCCAAACTCGCTACGAGTGTCGTCATCGCTTGGGTTGTCCTAAAGAGCGATTTATAGGTCAGGTTACCACTGTTGAATGTCCTATTGTGTTTAGTTAACGCGTGTGGACTTTGGCATGGCATAGTAAATGTTTTACGGCGATATAGACACAGAAATGACAATTACGGCGCCAGTGAGGACCTTGTTTTTATATTATATTTGGCTAGTGCTTGTTTCTTGCTTCTTTTATTTTATGTTATGGGTGCTTTATGTAATAGAATATTAAAAACTTTTGGGCGGCACTGCACGACGGTGCTCTACGGACGAACCGCGCCTGGGCCTAAGACCAATAGCCTTAACATCCGTAGTTACAAAATTTTTAATGTCTAGAAAAAATTGTGCTAAAAAGACTGCGAACATAGGTCATTCATTTCACTAATTTTTTCTTTCTTTGGAAGGGCGGCGATTTCAGAACATTTTCAAATAGTGGGAATAGCATGTGTCAACAACGACTGGTTGATAATATAGGTGTAAATTGAACTAAGTTGTGCTCATAGAGTTATCCCTTTTGCGTATAGTGTACATCTATGGTTGTGCTGAACACATTTTTAGAATTTCGGGTTGCACACCGTCTGGGCCACACGCCTTTCTCACATTCACACGTCCAAACACCCAAGATCACACCAGAGAGTGTTTACAGTAACAGAGAGGTGTCACTCGTGGCATCGCTCCATAACTGTAACAACAGTGCGGCATTGTTTCGCGTATCGCCCTGCCCCCGCGGTTTTTTTGCAACAAAAAAAATGAAATTATGCAAACTGATCTCAAAACTTTGAAATTATACGATTCTGTGAATTTTGATAAAGAATGATAAAGGAAAATAAGCAGAAATTATCCCCCCCCCCCCCCAAAATCAAATTTTGCTAAATTATGCGGGGTGCAAAAAACCCCGGGGACAGGTATATTATCGCCTGGCGCGGGGTGCGAAAACCTGGGTCGGGTAACTTTGTGCCCCGGACTGCCTCAAACTGTCTCGAAGAGTGCTTTTTTACTTTCGACGTATATTTTTTGTTAGAGGAATGCCCCGAAAAGTGATGTTTATTATCAACGTCTATTTTCTGGTAGTTTTGTTTTTCTTTATTTTTCTTTTGAGTAAAGAGAAACATATCGACACAATAATGGTCATTTAGTGCTGAGAAAAAGTAATACAAGTTAAAAGAAACAACAATTAGGGAAAATAACGAAATAGGTCATGGGGCTTCTCACTATTTGAAGAGTCACCGCATGCCAGACACAATGAATTACATTTTTGTACAAGTAGGCTAGAGAAGAAAACTCATGGTTATTCCCGGGCCTATAGATCTAAATCATTCAAAAATGAGGCCTTAAAAAAAAAAAAAACTCGTGAAGAATTACAACACATTTTTCACAAAGTAAACAGATCAGCACGATGTGCCAACGACACAGTAGGTGCTACAAAATATGCCAAGATCTTTACACATTCATCACAATGTAGGGGAACAACATTGTTTGCGACCCGATAAGAATCAGACATGTCTGTTCTGTCAGATGTCCAAAGAATTGGAACAACATGCTAACTTGCTAAGGCTCACTATGAACTTAAGGATTGGGTATGCGTTTTTAAGAGGGCGCATGTGAATAGTATGTGCGTAAGTGTGTGTTAAATACATGTAGCACGTAGGAGGCTAATAATAAAATTAGAATCCGAGGGCCTTACAGAGAGGTGCATAAGAACGCAAGTTTTGCAAATAAAGTTTCAAATTGACAAGGATAAAAATACAAAAATTAAGTTAACAGTTTTACAGCTTGAAAGTTTCAAAGAACATGACATTGTTGCACTTGCTTCACTAAGGAATTTCTGTCTTACATGTATGTTGTTTTCTCGCTCCTTTTGCGTTTCTGTTGGGAAGGTTTCTTTGACTTGCTTGGCGTACTGTTGACTGTGAGTGCCTTGTCGCCTGAAGTCACAATTCATGCTCAGCGCGCAGGCCGCATCAGGATCCGCAATCTGTGCTTTCGTTGTTCGGCTGACAGTGTGTCCCACTGCTCAGGCGACATGAGCATGTGCGCATATGTGACGGAGCCAGCACATGTTCTCCGATACCCACGCGCACGCTGTGATTCAGTTTTCTGTGTGAGAACAAGATTGCGCAGGACATCAACCAGCGGTGGAAATTGTTGAGGAGTCCAATACACGAGATGTTTAAGGACCACATTCAAGCTTTCTGCGTTAAATTGTTATTTGTCCTTGTTGAAGTTGTATGCATCCATCCCAGAAAAACCTGAGAATGTTGTCCTTCAACTGATCAGCGAGTTTAAGGAAATATGCCTCGTCATCTGCTGGCCACTGGGCTGCTGTTCTGGCTACTCTCATGTCTTGTTCCGCTCAGTTGGCCGACTTGATAACCCCCCGTTCTCCGAACATCAGACAAATAAGAATGTTCCTTCTCCTCGTTCTCACTTCCACTTTGTCATGAAGATGTCGACTAGTGTTCTTCTTCATGTGGAGAGTGCATAGGGCATGCCTGCAGTGTGGGAAGGCCAGTGGCGGTGGGTGGACCAAAATTTGGGTGGGGCTTAGGTTTCTTCCAGTTTTTTACCACCAAATAGCAAGCAATAAGAATTAAACAGTAATTATTTTTCTATACTCACGGTGAGCCACGGCAGTTTGAGAACCATTCAAACTAGAAGAGTTGCCTTTATTTTCAATCTCTTTGTTCTTAGTTAAATTCTTGTTGATGGTGGGGACGAAACCGATTCACCTCCAAATTTCCTCTAATTAGTTTTCGTGTGATGAAAAAGTTATACCTGTTAAATCTCAGCAGCACAAACACAAACATGCACACACAGCACTTTAAACATAATACTTCTATGAGCTGGATTAGGCCGTGTAGTCGAGAAAGTTGAACGCACCCAACAAAGAACCAATGAGCGCATAGGTATCTGTGTCAGTAGGGGAAAGTGTGTCGTAAACTTTCACCCCATTGTCAGGGCTAGGAGAGCGTGAGCCCTCGGTACAGTGTTATTTTTTCCCAGTCTTCTACCTTTTTACAAGAAGAGTTTCATTACGGACGGACTGTGGGAAAGGGGCTCATCTTTGCTGAGCCCTAAAGACATTTGATTGGCTGCTGGGTTACTATAGTTGTAAGCGGGGACAACCGTGATTGGATAAGCGAGCAAGCCGCCAGGTTGATCATTCTGTGTTCATTGCGTGCGGTCATAACGGTTTCAACTGCTTATTTCATTATGGAGAAACTTTCATTTACTTTGGGATAGAGTTGGGGGTAGTGGTTGGGGAGGGGATAGGGGCTCAAGCCCGTGAGCCCTTCACGACCCACCGCCACTGGGGAAGGCCACTCTCACTGCCTGCGTTAGCGCCTTCTCGTCGTCGGTGCTTATGACCATTTGTGGCGATGTGGTTCCTCCAGGTTCCATAAGTGCCGCTACCACAGTAGACAAAAAGTAGAAGAAATCTTTGAACGTACTCGTTGAATGAAATGAAGAAAGACCGGCCCGGCGAAGATTGGCGGCTGGTCATTGTGTTCCTTTCTAAGGGAGAGATTCTTGAAGTTTAAGGCTGTTACCAAGAGATCGCCAAGATTATACGTTTACTGTCCGTCCGTTGCACCAAAAGGTCTTCAGATTTTGAATATGATCTTCGTGGAAGAGAATCTCAGAGGGCGCCATTGCTGGGCCGCACATCTTGTACTGAATGCATTGGGGGAAGTTGCAGAGGCTGATCAGGCTCGTTAAATTCAGCATTTGGTCTGCCAGGTTGCCCACTGATGTACCCTGTACTCCGTCTCGTTTCAGGCGCTCAGCTCGTTGTTTCTTCTTAATCTGCTGCTTGTTCCGCGGTTGCAGCTCGATCGGTTGCCCCAGGCTTTGACTGACTATCTTTGTGTAGAGCACATTGGCGGCATGTGTCGGTTGGCGGCAATCTTATCTATGACTGTTCCTGCCGCGCGGACCTAACATCCTTTGTGCGTCTTTGAATTGCCATGCGATGGCCGAACACCTTTTCATGTTCCCTCGTACTACACAAGAGCTACCCTCAAACTGTGCTCACTGACAATGACAAGGTGTGCCGGTCCCTTCTCCACCCAAGTGATGCGGCCGCTGTACCGTATTGTGAGTCTACAGCAAGCGTTGAATAATACCGGACAAGCACAACATCTTTGGGTCCGGATTATGGATCGTAAGGTACTTTTGTCCGAGAACCGCCTATCCTCACCTCTCTACATAGCTTGCCTTCATCCAGGAACCCTTTCCGCAGTAGGCCGTTAGGCAGTTCAAGGAAGCGACACTTGTTGTTTCTTGTATTTGCCCACACACCAGTCATACTCATAGTCGTATGGGTTGCGGCTGTCCTTCTTGCGTCGCTCCACATTCGCCGAGTTTCATAAAATCCCCGTGGTTTTGTGTAAGCCGCACCCTTGTGGTAAACAATCACTCTGTATGATCTAAGAGAGAGAGAGAGAGAGAGAGAGAGAGAGAGAGAGAGAGAGGGGGGGGAGATTTTAGTTTTAGTAGAGGTTTTACGGCGCTCGCAACAGCATAAGGTCATATGAGCGCCAGAAGATTAGAGGTGTTACAAGAGTAACAAACATAAAAAAGAAGAAGGGGAGATAAGGACGATAGATGTTTGGTAGGAAAGAAGAAGCAAGCCACACCTGAGCTCCCGCCAACCATCCACTATTTTAGTCTGTTAGTAAGTTTTTTACGGCGCTCGCAACTGCATAAGGTTATACGTGCGCCAATGGGTGGATGTCAACAGAGAATTCCAAAAGGGGAATCAGACTTACTCTTCTCACCTCTCTAGCCTCAATAGAAGGCAAACTGGAAATAGCAGTTCACAAGAGAGGGACAAACATACAAGAGAGAGAGAGAGAGAGAGAGAGAGAGAGAGAGAGAGAGAGAGAGAGAGAGAGAGAGAGAGAGAGAGAGAGAGAAGGAGAGAGAGAGAGAAGGAGAGAAAGAGAGAGAAGGAGAGAGAGAGAGAGAGAGAGAGAGAGAGAGAGAGAGAGAGAGAGAGAGAGAGAGAGAGAGCGGGCTGATAATTCCACCCAGTTCGTAAAAAAAAAGAAAAAAACATGCCCTTATGTTGCGTTCCCGAGGACTCACATCACACGTGCGTGCGTGTAGTTATATAATATTAGTCCTTCCCGACAGCACAGTCAAAGGGTCATGGCGGGGTCACTAGAGACGGTAGCAAGCGGTTCCCTGGTAGAGCAGATAAAAAGGTACGGCTTTTATGAAAATTACAGTATGTTGAAGGCTTCAGATTCAAATTCAGATTCATGTTACAAATAAATTATCACTCTTCGGGGCAGTCCGGGGGTGGGGGTGGGGGTGGGGGGGGGGGCACAAAGTTACCCGCCCGCGAAAACTTTTACGCGCGGTAATCGCTGCCACGGCGATGCTCATGGATGCTGTCATATCATCCGAAAATATAGTGCCGCCTGTATTTAGTTCACTAGGTTACTAGGCCTTTAACAAAGAAGGAGGTCTGTGAATTCTATCGCATATTATAGGCAACTACCCTTCCTCCCTCAGCCGTAAGCTGTAAAAGTTGTTTTTGACCCAAGTTACCATACATGGTTCGAATAAACTAACTGACGCATAGCATACATTACTACGTCTCTATAGATATCTGAAAAAATATCCCCGTAATTAAAGGTATACATGTAATCGGTTTAATTTTCAGGAAAACTACTCATTCTCCAGTGTCCCTCTGTCTTCTCTCTTTCTTTGCGTCTCTGTCTGTCTGTCTTTCTTTCTCCCCCCTCTCTCGCTCTGCCTGCCTGCCTCTCTCTCTCTCTCCCTGTCTCTCCCCCCCCCTCTCTCGCTCTGTTAATCTGTCTGTCTGTCTATCTATCTGTCTATCTGACTGTCTGTCTGTCTCTCTCTCACACACACACACACACACACTCACAAACCGGTGAGAGGGTTCTCAATCTTACAAATGATTCATTACCAAGGGTCCATTGGGGGAATTCGCATGGCTCCCTGTTTTCGTCCTCTCTCTATCATTACAGAGTGACACATTAAATAAATAATAAATAAATAAATACAGTTAATCTCCAAAACCTATGAATTATGAAGAATTTGTTGTTAAATAGATCTACTCACAATTTCAGATCATGGAAAAGCACACGAAGAAATAATGATAGATCTACCACACAAAGAGTTCTATAGGATCCCCAACACCCCCTCCCCCTTTCAAAAAGTGGTAATCGGACAAAAAAACAAACAACCAAACCCACCAATGGCACCTTGTACATGTATTTAGACAACTTTTCGCAGGCAACATAGCTTTCACCAGTAGGCCGAGAATGAAAGCTCAATATTTGAGCATTTCGTCCGGAATAAAATCAATTGACAGCTGATATACAAAGTCAAAGTGTGTTGTTAAGTTTGTGCATGTCAGTCTGGTAGGACCACAATCACATTGTCATTGTTTTGCTCCTATTTTTTTCTATTCGTCAAAATTATATTCTTACTTAAGAAGGAAATCTAGATCTACCTTCCATCATCCTTTGGGAATCGAAAGAAACTCAGATTTGGAATTTTGTTTCTGGGAATTGATGCAGTTTATAGCAGAACACGATTGACACTTCGTTCTAACTGGAGCCATGCTTGTCAATGATCAACGAAAATGCCTTGAACAATTTACGCAGATTGTTTTGTTTACTGCGCTTTACCCCACGATCAGCTGGTGACGCTGATACGTGTATTCGGGCCAAGTGATAGCTCTCTTGTATTACTGTAAAACTCTCTTATCACACGAAGCTATTTCATTTGACCTTACTTTAACTAAAATCAAGTAAAAAAAATTTCCTTGAAAATACATGTAATTAACTTGTTATTTTGAAAAGACCTCTAACCCATGTAAAAACATTTCCCTCTTCTTAGAATATGTTTAAAAAATATTTCAAAAGCTAAGATAAATGAATTTGGCTTGACACGAAAAATAAAGAGACAAACAAAACTTCTGTAAGTTGTAAGTGTTTATTCAGCACTACAAGTCCAAACTCTCAGTCACAAGGGTCAGACAATGAACTCATGTTCACTTCATAATTTCTGTCTGTCAAGTCAGTCCATTTCATATATCAACCCAATCCATACATAGTGTTTTACAATCGTATCTATACGATGTGGGGAACTCTGTGCCACCACTTTCCTAGAGGAAATTTACTTGTTAAACCGATCCGTACGCTTTGCATAGCAGTCTGTCAAAATGATTTTTTTAGAAATACTGACAGTTTCAAAAGAGATCTTTGTACCAGAAGTATTCTAAAATGTGTAGGAAACTTCACAATCCACTGTCCAAAAGCAAAACTCAGCATTACATCTAAAACAGTATTACAAGGACAAGAATAATGGGTTTTTTCCAAAATACATAAATAATTCTTACTCTCTCACTCTCAGTCCTTAATCATGCATTCATTTTACAAATACACAAGGAGGAGGAGGGTATAATGTTGTATGAAATGAAGAGTGAATCACTTGTGACAGTTATAATTGAGTTATAATAACTCAAAAGCAAATTTGATCATATTTAAAACAGCTACTATTTTCTTAAAAATTGACTGAGAGGTTTAACTTTAGTTAAAGAATAGTATCAAAATTCTCCTGAGATATAGGCCTTTTATATATATGGAACAGAGAAATTTGGCGTACAGCGACTTTGAAAATTTAGTTTCTGGTACATAATATAAGAATGTTTGAAAACGAATCCCCCCAATTAATCACCAACACACACACTAAACTCAATCCTGCCTAAAGCCTTGCTCTAAAAATTACCCACTCCCCAAAAAGAAAGGGCATAGCTCAGGTGAAATATCAAACCACATTTTAAAAAAGTAAAATCAAATTTTGTCTAGAAAAGTAACCACATATAATATATATGTTAAGGTAGCGGGGTGAAATCAGGTGCTCATCAAAATAATGAAATTGGAAAAAAAGAAAAAGGCATTTTTCAGCTGGTTTAACAATTTTCATCAAAATTTTGCTTTTTGGCTCAACAACTTTATATTAATTTAAAATCACATTTTGGTGTGGATTTTACCGAAAAAAGTTGATCAAAGTTACAAAAAAGTAAATTTTCAGTTTCCAAGTACTCTCAAGCCAAACCAAACTTTAGCCGCCATTTTCTCACCAATTTTATCTCTGAAACTGGGTGGCTCTCACCTCCTTCAATCGCGAATATCAACTTCTAAAAAGTGATGAGCGCCCGATTCCACCGTGTCGTGACACATATGGTTAAAATATCTAATAAACAGTAAAAACAAAGATTAAAGATTAAAGTCTTCAACCAAATGGCAGTCAATTGTTCTCTAGGCCTATCCTTGTTTTCAGATTTGTTAGGCTGGTCCACTGATCAGTTTTAGTTCAATCTTTGTACCCACTAGAGAGGATAAAAAATATGATAATCTATGAAGGTATCATTTTTGTCAGCTGCCTGTGTAAAGTCTATCAGTCACTTTACTAAGGCAGTCTTTAAAAACACTGAAGTGATGGTTCAGCCCAGGTTGGTAGTGGATGGCATAGCGAGATCCCAGAGCTCCCGCAGGCTGAGCAGAGCCATAAAAAACTCGTCCAATTCTTGAGTGAACAAGGGCCATACTGCACCTGCATAACATTTCAAAATATGAAGAGGTGAAATTTTGAAATTTTTACAGAGAGATTTGATCTAACACTATTGTTTCATAGGCATCCTAAAAGAAAGATTGAGTGGTTCAGTTTGGGGACAAATGTGTATGTTTTTACAAATGAATAATAACAGTAGTGAGAGCTGCTACAAAAACCACAAGATTAACCCAAAACAAAAAAAAAGTGACTACCAAAAAGATAACAACGAGCTACAACAAGTACAGTGGAACTCGGATTCAACGAGGTCGCCGGGCCTGACCTAAAATCTCGTTGAATCCGAGCTTGCTGAATCCGGGTTATTTTTATTGATTTCAAAGACGAAAAAAACCAGGGAATCTATCTCATCTCGTTGAATCCGAGCTCGTTGAATCCGAGTTCCACTGTACATGTAACCCCTTGAGTCCTGGCCTTTAGAGCCATATAGGACCCAATGTCATGACCTCAATTCCCATGAGTTCGCTGCTAGACTGGCAACACAGTGCACTGCTGAGGCATACGTTCAGTTCCCATAGCTCAGATACACTTGGGTCCGCAAAGTAAAAAAAAAAATAAATAAAAATTTCTGTCACTTAACCCTAGACTGCACTGTTGATGTATCTCATATGTCTTGATAGTCCACCGCCCAGTACTATTTAAATGTGTCCCGTACGGCGGATAAAACCCGTGTTTTAAGGATTGTTCTACACAGGTCTTGTCAATGGATGAATTCATCTCTTCATTTCTCTTTCTTTTCATATAAGTTCTACTTTTACCGACCTGTCTGTTATAATAAGCGGACAAATATCACAATCAACGTCTTACACTAAGCGGAATTTTCCTTAGCAAGTGGGGTGCATATATATATATATATATACATATATATATATATAGTTAGCAGTCAAAGGGTTAAATGAGATGATGAACTTACCTACCAAGTTACAAGGAGTATGGAATAGCGTAGGATACACAGACAACTGCTGAGGCAAAACAACAAGAATGGAGGAGACAAAAACTAATCCTTATAAGTAGATTTTACCTATAATGTAAGAAAGAGAGAGAGAGCAGCACAAGAGTGCTCCTTGCAAAACTTATAAATCATCAATTCTGTAATGCTCATAGCACCCCAAACTCTGATGTGGCATGGCCGTCCCCTCCATTTTTTCTTTCTGCTCAATTCCAAACAGCTACTTAATTACTGACCGGCTTTGCACCTTTCAATGAAGTACAAAATCGTTTGTACAACATTAGAACCTATTGCCTATTGTACAGAGGAGAAATCTACATCCACACTGTCTATAAACAGACATTATGGGGTATAGAAAAATTACCCCAAAAAATCTGCCACACCTCCTTTGTTTCAAAAGCAAAACCCACAGCACAATCTTAATTTTTTTAAAAGAAGACAATGTGTTTTTTCTAATCAAATAAAACTCACATCACACACGGTTCCTGAGTAACGTACAAGTCATAACCAGTGCACAGATAAGGTTCAGTTCTGTCCTTGGAACATTCCTCAGAAGGAAAGCCCTTTGCATACCATAGACCAGCATCACAGGACTGCACTACCCTCTCCTCTGAAATACATCAAAGTATAAATGTTGTATTACAGTTGCAGCACTCTCCTAAACATAAGAAATAATGCGACTGCTGAAGACACAAAAGACTATAAATGCCACTGCTATAGAAGCAATTTATCAAAGAAGGAAAAAAAAAAAATCAATAGAGGTGCATCTGTTTTTTTTACCACCTCCCCCCCCCCCCCCCCCCCCCCATCATCACAATTTAAGATCATTTAGGAGGCGGGCTTCCAACTCTGTGTGTCAGGGTATTGTGATACTGAGTGTGTACATTATGCCTTTGCTCTCTGTAAATATTATCATGTATTCACATGAGAATTCTTAGCAAGCAAACAACAACAAACAGCATAAAATTATATCTACAAAAAGTTTGCTTTTTTTCCCCACAAACTAATTTACGCAACATTCACACTGACCTACCAATGTCTTGAGCAGTTTTTAAAACATTCTAGCTCCACTACCTATAAACTGTTACACAAGTAGGCCTATTGGTCATCGGTAGGGACACACTCTCTTTTACTCTGCGGTTGACGCTGATCACCTGCACGTCTACCACTTATATCGTCATCGCTAACCCTCTATTCCTAACACCACTGTCACTTGTCTCAGAAACCTCTTCTGGTTTTCCTTCAGAATAACTGCCGTCATTATCTGACTCTAAAAAGTCAGAATCTGAGTCATTTCGGGTTCGGTCATGGTATAATCTGTTCCATCATCCATTCTGAAAACTTTTTCGACGTTGTGAAGATGTCAAAGAAATTCACTTACAAAGGTAAAAACTCATCTCAAACAGCTTTAATCGCGTGGAAATCATTCAGGAAAATTACTTTCGGTTACCCACAAGCACGAGATATTGTCAATTTTATACTATTACTGTGTTAAGGCACCGAGAACGAACTATGAAATAATGTCTCTATGTGGACAACTCAGGTCGTGTGTGGCAGGTTAAGGAGAAAATTTCAGGACGACTAAGGTTGTCCATGGCAGCGTAAGTGTTAACAAAGCAAAAACAAACCTGGCAACTTCCACATTCCACCTCCTTGAGAATACGCAACAAGATCAATAGCCACCATCACAGCATGTTGCAAAGGATAGCCAGATTGTCTCAAGTCATAAGCCTTTGCAACCACAGAATCTTTGCTTGGATCCACAATTACAGCACCTATAGATAACTAAAAAATAAAAATATGTTTTAAATAAACAAGGTGCACAAATGGCATTACTCACAAAAAACAAAATTAATAAGAAAAAAAAAATTCAAGCAATGAGACTGGAAAAGAGAAAATAAAAACCTCACCACCACAGCCATATAATTCAGTACACGGCCAGAGGGCAGGTTAACTTTTTAATGAGCTTTTACCGAAAGGATCCTGTCCACCACCCAGACTTCCCTCAAGTCCATTCCTTCAATTCAAACAAAGCCAACATAAATTTTAAAACAATTTTCCTAGAAATTTAAGGACATCACTTTTAGATCTAATGTTTTAGGACAATTATAAAACTGTTTATTTCTTTTAAAAAATGTTTTGAAAGAAATTAGAATCAACAAAATGTTGACAAGCAGAGCCCACACATAGATCTATACTGAAATCTCATTTCAACAAAATCAAGAAGGCATGCTAAAGACACCTCAAGCCATAAGAATTCCAAAGAACAGTAGTCACAAATTTTATTCATAGAATCAATCTGTTGATCACCTCCTACCTTTATGTGCCTTGATTGGACCCCTTGAGACAGAAGAGCATAAAGTATCCCATGCTTAAGATATTACTTCTTGCAATTCTCCAGGTTCACAGTTTAATTCCACCTCTAATATTTATACTCTAAAATAAAAAGTAAAGTACATGTACCAACTGCAGCAAGCCTACCTGATTTTTCACTCTTCCATGTTCAGCCAACCTTACAGCCATTTCCATATAAAGCTTTATCTTTTCCAGCTCTGCATCTTTAAAATATTTCCCTGACATCAAAGCTGCCACTCTGAAAAAATAACAACATGAGTAAGAAAAAGAACTGTAATTCATCAGTGAAGTATAAACAATCCACAAAAAAGGATACCACATATTAACCTCTTTACTCAATGCATACTCCCCACGTGATCAGAGCAGCTAAGTATTGTCTCCAGGTTCTTCTTCAAAGCAAAAGGAATCAGTTTTAAAACTTCCACTACAGCAAATACCATTCAACTTTTTTCTAAAGTATATAGTCTCAAGTATTCCATTGGGTAGGAACATCATCACAAGATCCAAGACTGAGAACAAAAACTCATGCTTCAGCATCTTCACAGAAACCACTCAAATGGCCATAAAAACAAAATTATTTCAACAGAAGTAGATTGTAAATTCTATCATAATTATAGACACCAGACAAATACTTTTCTAAAAAAAAACAGAAACAGAAGTACTAATAAAATACACATACTTGTAGGCCACAGCAATACTACAGAAAATCTCTTACCAATACAGAACTCTATCTGACAGATCACAGAGATCAGATACATCCATCATGTATTCAGAAACGCCATATCCCTATGTGTTACCTTTATTCATAGTTGTATCACTACAGGGTTGGCTGTCCAGCTTACTGTTTTTAAGTATTGGGAGCTGCAACATACTGACTGATGGGCCTTATTACAGAATATCATAGGCTGAGAGCTAAACTATGTCAAAATTCCTTATTTCAAGTAAAATTGACTGTTATCATATAAAGTTTTTATGGCTGGGTTTTCTCTAGGAAATACTTGGACAGAGACACTTTGGGAATAGGGATTGTGATAAAACTACCGATTGGATCTCTTTGATACTTGCAGTATATTTATGATAATAATATTTCAGTCGAAAGCATAAAACTTGCTAATTTTGGCATTTTGGCTGAAATGAACAGTCACATCAGGTTTTCAGCCGACAATATATAATTTCTGACATAATCTTTACCACAAGAGCATTCAGAATTGCAACTAACATAAATCCCAACTTACTCTTTATCTTCATGAAAATTGACTGGCCAATACTTGAGAGATTCTTCAAACTGCTTACGAGTCACTGGAGGCTTTGCTGGGACCTTTACTAAATACTCCTTCCCTAAACCTTCAATCTTGTTGATATCCAAATGCATCTTGCATTTATCACCGCCTGAAAGATCTGTTTCTGGCTGGCACAAAACAATTTGTAGTGGTCCATCTGAAAAATATGAGGCAGGACACAAGTACATGTATTAAGCTTCTTGAACGAATCAAGGAGCATGTTGATATAATGATGGTCACATTGTATTTTTGTGGGAGGGGAAAATAGCAAACTGACACCCAACATAGAATGTACAACAATTACTACGGAATAATTGGAATACTACAATTTTGAAATAAAATCGTCACCACATATCGTCAATCATGAGTAATGGGTCATGGGTGTGACCCAGCCAGGCCATCAAACTTGCTAGAGACAGGAAGCTCTTTCTCCCCTTGATCCCCTAGAGGTACAAGAGGACGGATAAAGTAAAGTATAAAGTAGTAAGGTCATGTATATCGCTGCTTTCAACCCAGTTTGGTCATTACGCCTTAACACCCATTTGCAGCAAGTAGGTGAGCAATAAATTACGTTGTAGAAATTTTATGAGATTTTAAAGAAATGAAAACAAACCATTGATTTACAAGCTAAATGTACTGCTTTTTGCCTACCCCTTACAAAAGGAAATGGTATTTCTATATTCCATAGCTTATTTTTACTGCATAGTTTTTATATTTGGGATCTTGGAACAACTATTAGAGCAGCTGAGGCTGCTGAGAAATACAAAAAATTAATATCCCACAATATTGAGTAATTCTTTCTAAAAATGTAACAAACCTTCATCACAGTCACAGAGGTACGAAATTTATCAGGCATATTCTTTATGCTGCAGTCCTGGTGACAAAGGATGCCAACTCAGTAAGACATCCAAACCAACAACCTTGTCTATGTATAGTTTTATCATGCCTTTAAACACTATCAACAATATATTTATATATATATCTTCATGCATTTTTAAATTTTAAGACACAAAAAATGTCAGATTTAAATAACAGTGGATAAAACTAGATACAGTGAAATCCTGTTATAACGAGAGGGAGGGGACCGGAGCAAAATGTCCGTTATATCAGGATTCTCGCTATAAGGGATTCAGTAATAAATTCAAAGGAAACTGTAAAGTAGGTCTACTCTATGAGTTTGGTGTTCTGTTTACTTCCTTTTGCTATCTCCCCATATGATGATTTTGTTTCAACATGACCTCTAGGTCTTACTTGATCGAAAATCGAATCACGTTTCTTTCTCTTGCGCTAGATTTAGCGATGTTGACTGACAGCTCGGCGTTGGCGATCAGAAAGAAAGGGCTCTGCGCTAATTCACCCGCGGTGTTTTCCCCCACCCCACCACACCCTGTGATGCATTCTGTCCGCTTGCGCACGTCACACATTCACCCCATCCATCACATTGCTGTGATCGCTCCATCCCCGCCCCGGAGAAGTGAGTAGGCCTTGATAATCTAAACTAGGCTTACGCTGGCCTATCACGCGATGCGTTCTGCTTGTCTGCGCACGCCACACCCTCCTTACTCAGTCGCTCCAGCCTTCATTGTTGACACACATGGGCTCTCCCATTCTTTGTTTCGCTAGATCACCAACAAGTTTTTCAACTGGCGAGGTTTTACATTACGTATAATTGGCCTATGCACTGCTCACAGCAGCAGCAATATTCCGCTATAACCGACTCGCGTACTTGTTTGATTGCACTATACCAGTATTTTATTTACAACTGTAAAGAAGGGGAAAAAACGGGGTTTTAGAATAGTGTCTTTATAACAGAATTCTCGTTTTTTCCGGACTCGTTGTAAGTGGACTCCACTGTATCTATATAAAAATATGAAATAAAAAGAGGCACACGCCAAAGATTCTCCACTACCAAGATGTTTCAATTTCCCTATCTCGTGTCCGCGCGAGACTTGGGCGCTACCTTGAGCTAGCGCATAACGGTCCGTGGTACTAGTATAAACAAACGTTCCAGCGCTCTTGATTGATTGAAAGCGTGCAATTCTGCCTGTGGGCAGTGAGAGAGAGAGAGAGAGAGAGAGAGAGAGAGAGAGAGAGAGAGAGAGAGAGAGAGGGAGAGGGAGCGAGAGAGAGAGAGAGAGAGAGAGAGAGAGAGAGAGAGGGGGGACGAGGGGGGGGGGAGAGAGAAAAGAGTGAAAGGGAGGGGGGGGGGGCAAAGAGAGAGAGAGAGAGAGTTGTTGTTTCATACTACTAAGAAGAGACAAGGACAGTTTGAATCTGCCAGATATTGTTATATAAAAGATCGTGACATCAAGTCATAAAAAGAAATTGTAAAGCAAGACTGCATTGTGTCGCCACAATAAGTTCACTTCTTAAGTTGGACAAAAAAATTTACTCTCATAGCACACTGTCAATATTTGTCTAGTAATTCTGTATGACAATGTGCTAGACTAACAATGACACTTTAAACATTACTGCGATATCAAATGACTAGACAGCAAACTACATAAGTTTGATCGGTGAACATCTGGCCAGCACTAAAGCAGTGCAAATAAATTTCTTGCATAATTCTAATTTTTTTTGGTACCAACCTCACTCCCCCTCCCCATTCCCGTCCATTTTCTCCTCCCTGCCTGCTCTTACACATCTGCTTCCCCAGGTCAATACGCACTGTCAGAAATACACACTATACAAGTAATATATATATTTTTATAACCCTGGTTGATCATAGTCAGATGATGTTTGTTTGCAAACAAGGCTGAGAATGTTTGCACTGACGCAACAGTGATCAAGTGTCATTTGTCGTCCACACCGAAATAGCTCGCAGAGATCAGCGTCGAATGAGCAGTGATCCTTGGCTCTTGCCCGATCAACCATTGCGATTCGTCATTCTACCACAGACCTATGGCGCCCAATAAAATTCCTCAAGTAATTATTGTGGATTTTGTCCAATAGTTGCACTTGTTGCACCCGGCACCAGAGTCGATTAAAGTCGACCAATTAAGTGAGCTCTATAAGTAATGACCAATTAGCTATTAAGCACAATAATAACGCGGCGAAAGTGATTAACTTAAGCCATTCAAAATCTTTAAATAATTTTTCTAATTTTTGTTTGTTGATTTTCAGTTTTCTTTCCTTCCTTTTCATTCACAGAACCCCCCCCCCCACTTTTTTTCCTTTTGGTAATTTGTGTTATCTTTAAACAATCTTAGCAATTCTCTTGGTCACACACAAACACACACAGATACACACACACACACAACACACACACACATACATTACACACAAACACACACCAAGTAGTTGGCGATGAAACCGACCTCGCGTCGCCTAGTGACGTAGCCCATCACGCGCTATGCGGCAAAGTGGGGCCCGCCATGATGCAGGCAAAAGCCCAAAGAGCAAGTGCTTTATCTTGGTAGTGGAAAATCTTTGCACATACTGCCCCTAGTTTACCTTTTGATCCTTTCACTCTTTTCAGGTGCTGAAGATTTTCCAAAGGGGCAATTTCAGCAAGGGTTCTGCAAAATATTACACAAAAGTGACAAAAACAAGAAAAGACATTTTTAAAAATAACACAAACGTATAAAAGTCATGACTTAAAATGAAGAAACTTACAGAGAATGACAACAACATAAAGAGCATTTGTGACATAGCTGAAATAACTTGTAGAGGTAAAAGTTGTGACACTTTTTTAGGCTCTCTTTCATTAAAAACAAAGCAGTTTGCACAACAGTCAGTACAAGTGCAGATGTCAGCTTTAAATCTATCTTTCATCAGGTATCTTGGAAACACAGTTTTGACATAATGCCAACTCACTCTAAAACCCAACTCAATGACTACTGGTAGATGGTGTCTTGGCATACATTTCTCTGAGGGAGAGGGGAGGTGCTGCTGCTTACAGAGTGGCTAGATAAAGGGTTGGTCTTGCCACAGAGAGATCAAAGATTCGCTCTCCACATCAGGAAGGATAATATCGTCCTGAAGAAAAGTACTGTGCATCCCTTTTTCCTCAGTTTACCCGGAAGCAAAAAGGTTCTTCACTATCCCCAGAAAATGAAAATTGGTAACAGCCACCAGTCCAAGGCAATCACCTGTTCCATGCATTGCGTTTAAAAAAACAGTTATTATGACACTGTCCAGGCTGTCCACCTAAGACAACCACATTTCTCCCTGACAATGGGTGGTTGTTTACGACAATTTCGACTGTATAATGGGAAGCTGTGTATGCTGACCTAACTATATTGAAGAACCAAAATGAAGAGGGAACAAAGAAAATAAAACAAAAACACACTGGCAACTACATTACTCAAGGGATTGTTGAAGTGAAGGCTCTGGGAATTCCTGTCAGGGCAGATGAGACTATCAAAGGCGAACCACAGATATCCTTCATGTATTCAAAAGTGGAAGCCTGCGCTGTCTCAGAAGGATATTGGGAACCACATGGCAGGACCACATCTAAAAGAAGACTTTCCTGGCAGAGGCCAGAATGATATGTTCTCCTGCTAACAAAGCTATGACTTTGCCGGCTTGGCCTTACTCCCAAAGACATACTGTATGGTGAGCTTACAACCAATTCTGGTCTAACTGCAAGGCTACACTTTTAAGACATGCTAATGCGATCGGGTTGGATGGCAGGAGACAATGACCCAACAAACTTGGAGGCCCTTGCTGCTGGAGGCAGGCTGTCAAGGCTGGAGTTTGGAGGAGTGTGAGGAGGGAGAAGCAGTTGGAGGAGAGGACAGGGTGCAGATGGCAGAGGGCAGCATCAGCACTCACAGAGCCTGCCTGATGTAAAATTCACCTGCTGCAACTGCAAAAGGACCTGCCACTCCATGATAGGACTGTACAGCCACAGCAATTGCTAACAACTTAAGAGGCCGACAAAGGCACACACTTCATTTAGTCCCAAGATGCCAACAAGAATGGAAGTGCAAGATCCCCACCACTTACAACTATAACCTATGTATTTAGTTTTAGTAGAGATTTTACGACGCTCGCAACTGCATAAGATCACATGAGCGCCAGAAGATTAAAGGTGTTACAAGAGAGAAACAAACATAAAAAAGAAGAAGGGGAGATAAGGACGACAGATGTTTGATAGGAAAGAAGGACGAGCAAACCACACCAGAGCACCAGCCAACCATCCACTTATGTAAAATATTACAAAATTGCAAGTCCATTAAGCATCCATTCTTTATAAATTAAAATTGCTCCGAAAAGGATCACAGGAGGCGTCTCTCTGAGTGCTCTTCATGTGTTGGCCCATTTTTAAGAGTTTCAGCAAATATTCTCTGGATCGCTAACAACAGCAACAGCAAATATTCTGTCTTATAAAGTTGAGGGCAGGAGGTGCCTTATTAGCAGGACCACATCCAGCCTGAATTTACTGCCACACAGGAAAAACTATTGCAATAATTTTTTGCTCAAAATGTTGGAAAACGTAACTGACAACTCTCACCCCTTTCACTTACTTACTTCACAATTGCAGAAGTCAATTTTTTGTTCGTTATGTTGGCAACAAAAACGTCAACAATGCTGACAGGCCTTGTGTACTCATCCGAAAGTACAACTGTTGGTTGTTCCATTGATCTGAAAAGGAAAACACACAACAGGTATACATATCAGACATTTATATTTTAAGCAAGTGGCTATTCTCCGGCGTCACGCCGGTCAATAGATCGGAAGCTATTCTCCGGCGTCACATTCCAGGTCTATTACCAATGAATTATTTGTCAGTGCAGATTTGCAAATATACCTCTCTTATCTGTTTGTCTTGGAAAATAATTCCCATAACTTCACCACTTCGTGCCACTTCCATTGATACAGACGTAAGGTTTTCAGACACAAACTGCCTCAATTCCTCCAATTCAGAGTTATGTTAGGTGCTAGAAGAAACATGTTCACCATTAGCTAGTGACGCGAGTTCATAACAAAGAGTGAGCATGAAGAATGGAGAACCCAAATATATGAAAATGAATAAAGTTACGTTCGACAATTATAGATAAAATATAATGAAAGGTAGACTTACTAGGCCCAGATTAGATCTAGAAATACATTGTAATTCATTAGTAATTTAGACCGGCAGTTTGCGGCGGTGTGACGCCGCGGAGAATAGCTTCTGATCTACTGACCGGCACGACGCCGGGGAATAGCCACAAGACTTGCTTACATTAAAGTAGGCCCTAAACTAGATCTATAAAAAATTCACATCTCCAAAACGCACAGATAGCACAGCACCTGAGTACCTGACTAAACATGCGATTCTAAATGTAGACCAAATCGAATCGGGGTATGGTATACATAATATTAATAATACACGTACGTATATATAATACACACTCTACTTTATAACTAGATCTATATCTATATCTATATCTAGATCTATATAATCTAGATCTAGATCTAGATCTAGAATAGTCTAGATTCTAGATATTAGATTAGACTAGAACTAGATCTAGATATAGATCTAGATTGACTAGATCTAGAATCTAGCTAGATCTATACCTCTGCTATTTTAGGTAAAAATGAAAAAGAAATACAAATATAGGGACAAAATACGTCATTATCATTATGGTAAGCTACTCACGGTACCAAGAAAGACTAGATCTAGATCTATATCTAGATCTACTAAACCAACGCTCTCTAAGATAGACGAAACTGAAAGTAGACTACTTTCTTTAGTAAAAATGAAAGTACATTTATTCAGAGTTGTCTCCCTCACACAACAAGGGCAATCATTCTCAACCTTTTTTCTTCATCTTGATTCTTGATTGATGTTTACTGAATTGTTTGTTTTCGTTGATGAACTGATGATAGATCTAGTGATAGTCTAAAGATTCGTAGTAAAAGTAGAAAGTTAGTAGTACAGAGCCAAGGCGCAGTAGGCAGTCTACAGTGTGCCTGCACAAGCGAAATTCTAGTCATAACTTGTTGCAGTCCCGTGTCTGTATTGTGTCTTTCCTTGCAGTCAAAAGGACGTCGAGAGGAACAGGGGCCGTGACGACATAACATAGATTATTAGATGAGGGCCTAGAGGATCTAGATTTCTAGATCTATGACATGAAGCTGGATCTCTACAAAAGACATTCAAATTCAAAAGAGTCAAAAAGCGTACAGCTTAGACTGAAAAACATTCTTTTACTAGAATCTAGATTCTAGCTTTACTCAACAACATGAATGAAATGGTAGTGTTCGTGGGCAACCACTGCTCGATCAATCCTGATATTTATGAGTTGTGGTTAAAGGGTTTCACAGGTAAGAATATGAAACATAGAAAAGTAGATCTAACATTAAATAAGTAGATCTAGATCTAGTTCTAGTCTCCGCCTAAGATACCACGGCATGATCCCGGTTCGCTTAAGATGCCGCATTTCAGATCTTAATTTACGGAACAAAAGCCTGGACGGGCACAGTCGATCAACCAAGAGTGAAAAGACAAAATGTTGAGATCACTGAAGTGCCTGTCTTGTGAAAGTGATGTCATGTTGTAAAACTTGATAAAACGGTACAAAGTTTGCCTCAGATGGGATCACACCGAGGTGTGAACTGACCGACACGTTTGTTTTCCCCAAACTTCAAACTCACTTCTGATTTTTTTAGTAGAGATTTTACGACGCTCACAACTGCATAAGGTCATATGAGCGCCAAACTCACATCTGAGCTCTCCACCTAAACTACTAAACTTACATCACTCGCTGGGTGGGCAGGGCCTACAAGTTCACTCCAGGCAGGATCACATTGAACTGTGAACTCTTCCATACTTTGCAGCAGTTGTCTCTGTTCTCAAATTTTTGTGAGACGGACTGAATTTTAATTGGTATAGTCACAACCTAATGGTGCGTAACGTAATGACAAAGACGGGAGAACTCTGTCAGAGATAGAAAGCTATAAATTTTGGACAGGTAAACCGGAGGGGCAACTACATTTATGCTTAGATCTTGAGACTCAACATATGAATGGCATACATGATGTCTCATGCCACTGTGATTCGTCATCAAAGTTAACTACTCTTTGCTAGCCATAACACGTCATAAACCCACCCATGGGACAAGTCAGTTCATTTTAGAGTGGAGGGAGACCATTTTACCGGTTGTAGGCCATAACATGGGTCACTGTAGATTTTTCCCTTGTTTCATCGGTTAAGATCCCGCTCGCCTAAGATCTCACTTTTTCATTGCACCAGAGCACCGGGATCTTAGACGGAGACTACTGTACTACAATGTATTTTCTTCTGTTGGGTAAATTTTTACTTTCTCTATAGTGAAGTTCTCTCCAGCACACACAGATGCAGATGGGGTCAGATGCACTGCTCTTTTTCGAGGGAAAGGGGGGAAAGAGGGTTAAACGGCTGTATTTTTGGCTGTAGATCACGCAGAGACATTAAAACTGTCGAACATCAAGAACATTTCTGAACTTTTTGTGGAACAACTAAAATATGGGGTAAAACATGGGGGTGGGATGTTGATCTCCCATCCACCTGCACACCCACCCCCTTAACTCTTTCATTGCCAGGGGGTGTACAACTATACGTTCCTACTGTCAGCACTGTAGCGCACTCGTGACTTATTTCGGACACCGGGTCTTCTATTATTATGTTACTTTTCTCACGCTCCATTTCGTCCCATCTTACTCATTTATTTGGAATAACCTGCAAATCTAAGCAAAAAAGTGAATTTATATATTTGCCTTTTTATAGTCATTTTTGAGTTTTACGCTTTACGATAGCACGCGGCCGTCCGCAAGCCTAGATATATGTTTATTGATGGCTTTCAAGCCCAGCACTACTAGCAGAGAAATACTATCAAATTTGCTTGGTACTGATATCATGCGCGTATACGAATCTACGCAGCACTTGTGGCTAAAACTCCTTACAAAAGAATTGAAGCCAGGTTATCAGCATGACGTACATGTAGCGTCATATTGGCAACCAGGAGCTGCAAATTTTGCCAACTTCCGTGAAATACATGGTACGGCACAGCACTAAAAATTACTCATTTTCATGACGTACTTGGCACGTCAAAAGTCAACGAAGGAGTTGAGATGTATGCACACACAAAAGTCCAATTTGTGGAAACTAAAATTGAAAAGGGACAAATAGCCAGCATCAGCTTTCCAGCATGCTGATACTTGATTGCAAGGGTGTTAATGTTACATACAGTAATGAGACTTTTACCCCCCAGCTGGGAGACTTCCTGTGCTGTACTCAGCGTAGTGTATTTTTGGCCAAAGTAAATATTATGAGCGGATAAGAGCAGGAAGAATACACATAATGAAATCATAGGCCATTGTCCTTGTTCACTTTGTTTTTTTTATCGTGAAAAGTAATTCATAATGTCAGGGACAATTTGTGAAGGTTACTGATAAAGGGGGCTCTCTTTATATATATATATACTCTCTCTCTCTATATATATAATATATCCAATAGAAAAATTGTTACATTCTGATTACTGTTATAAGTGGAGGTTTCTCTTTATCTGGGTGCTTTGAAATGGACACTACTATTATTGTGTATCATTTCTTGTGCACTTTATACAAACTGATTTGTAGCCTATAGTGTAAAACCTATAACTCTATAAAGGCTAGATGGCCCTTCCAAGTTATCATATTCTCAACAGAAGAGCTGAGCTGCTCTGAGAAGTGGGGGAGGTTGCTTTAACTTTGAATTTGTTTTTCTAGTTATTGCCATACTTTTATTTATATGTGAGGCAGCGTGGTGGAATCAGGCTCTTGTCAATTTTTGGGCATGTAGAGTTATTGGTATTATCTTAAAGCTTGTTCACTTGTCTTTATTTGGATGAAAACAAATATCCATTTATCTTGAATACAAGTCCAGATATTTATGAAAGAAGGAGGTGGGGGTCACCTGTTTTCAGAGGTAAAATTAGTGAGAAAATGACCGCCAAAGATTAGTTATTTCCTTAGCTTTAGAGTCCGTGGTAACTGAAAATTTACATTTTTTGTGCCTTTAATGAACGTTTTTCAGAAAAATCTACACAGAAATTAGTTCTTTAATGGGCTTGAGAGGTGTTGAGCCAAAAACCGCAAATTTGATAAAAATTCACAAACCTGCGTAAAAATGCAAGTTTCTTCACTTTGATTATTTTGACGAGAGCCTGATTCCACCAGGCTGCCTCACATATGCTCTTTACAAGAAATGTATAATTTACGAAATGTGCGAAAGGTAACCCCCCCAAAAAAATAGTATTTAAAAGTAGTTGATTGTGACTGTTGCATACTGCTTCTCCTAAAAGATGGTACTCTTAAGTATCACCTGCTCATTTTTGTCAACACCAAAAGCTGTGTATTCTCATCACAAGCATACTTTCTAACGGCATATATGGAAGTTTTGTTTTAAAAAAGTCCAGGCTTTTATTTGGCTTAGGCTAGAAGTGAATGATTGTGTTCTATATATATTCGTATGTGCCAAAATGCTAAAACTAACAGAAATATAACTCAATTTGTAGAGATGCCATTAATGTGTGCTTTAAAAGTCTTGTGCTGTGATTGCACCAACCCATTTTTTTCTCCAGTTTTCAGCAGTGTTAACAGACTGAAAAGTGTGTATGTCTCTTTTATTTTGTTTCTAAGAACTGACTTGAAAAATATCCATTGTTTTTTCACCACCTTTATAAAGTGCCATGTGACCACTTCTTCTGATCAATTTTTTTTCCAGTGAGTGAAGCTGCAAGAGTGGAGCAGAACAAAGTGAACCTGAAAACGCTTGGTGCAACATATGATGACTTGATGAGTGATGTGGTAGACAATTTCAGACTTTTTCATGGATTGGAAGAAATGCTTAAAACCCCACCTCGACTTAGTCACCAGCTGGTATACCAGTTCAGTTCTGACACCATCAACATGCTGATACAAAGGTATATGTGTACTTTTTTTTGCTTGACCTTAGTTCTATCTACTCTAAGTACTGTCAGAATGGTTCAAGACAGCCACCCATTGTGAAGGAGACTAATGGTTGCCTTAGACAGGTGGACTTCTTGGACAGTGTCATTATGATATTTTAAAAAATGCAAGGGGTGAAATTGGAAGTGGTCGTTTGTACGCTTGATTGTCTTGAACAGCAGGCCTTTAGTACAAGTTTAATGTATCATTTTTCATTGTGACTTTAAAGTTGTTTATTTTTTAAATCTATGCCTTAACACCTGTTTAAATTCTCTTCTTTTGTTTATTTCTAGTGTCATGAAAAGTAGATTGCAGTTATAAAACTCATATATCTGTTTGAAATTGTCATCTTAAATAGATGTGTCCTATGCCTGTGTATCATCTGATCTTCTATGAAATGAAGAGAATCAAATGAAGATTGAACAGAAAAATAGGGTTTTGCCTCTTGACCAGAAAATTATCTTCCTTAATACACATCTTTCATCCATTTCTTAGTGTAAGTGATATTCAATGTGTTTGCAAAATTTTCATGACAGTACAAAAAATGTATGTTACTTGTATGAAGTGAAATAACATTCTGACTGAGGCAAGAGTTTTAATAAATTGAACTCGTCCAGAGATTAAGATCTTTTCCTGGACTTTTTTTTTACATGTTCCCATAGTTTACATAATCTTATAAGAGTGGGAATCAATTTTAAAAATAAGTTTGAGTGACCCTGTATATGTTTTGCTGTGATCTCTGTTTGACATCTCCAATTCAATTTCAGATCAAGTGTGATGAATAAGGGAAGGCAGATAGATTTTAAAAAAAAGACATATATAACAACTAATGTTGTTACAACATAGATCAATTAATTTTTTTCAAATAGAATAACTGGTTTTGTTACTCTACATTTACCCACTATTAAACAGTCACAATCCCCCTCTTCATGTTTCAAATGTTTACCTAAGTGTTTTCCTTCTTTACACCACAGGTATTATAGCTTTGATGCCTCAGTGATACGTGAAATCTTTGGTCGCAAACTCACATCAAAGAATCGCAAAGATCTTGATGACATTAGCGAGGAAACAGGAGTTTCTGTCAAGAGTTGTAGACGCCAAGTAAGATGAGAACAAGACTTAAATTATGACTAAAAATGTTTTTAAAGAAAATATTTTGTCTATTACTGTGTTCTCTTTTTGGGTAAACACTTACATCTCACTGTCATTGCTGTTTTTGTTTTGTTATTGATATACGGTATGTGTAAGGTGGGTTTAATTTGATATATGTCCATTATGAACAAATTATTGTTTCTTTTTGGGTCTTATTTGTTTTTTATTTCGTTGTTCTGTACACGTATGCATTGCCGACAAAGCACTTCATATAATATTATGTAGATTTGTTTTTCTTATGAAAAGATCATTGCTCTGAAAACTTATGTTGAAGAACTTTGAAAAGATGTAGGCCTCAAAGATCATTGGCACAATTTTAATGTTGTTCACAAAATTTTTAGGGTATAGTCTAGGGCAAAAATAATGTGGTTCCATTTTGTTACGTTAATGTCACTTCACTTGCTTTTTGTTAAACTCGTCTGTTGAAATGAGAGTTCAGATGTCAAATATACAGCTTTCTGTTTTTACAGTTTGACAATGTTAAGCGGGTCTTCAAGACTGTGGATGAGCTGAGTGGCAGACTGGTCGATAACATCCAAAGTCACTATTGCTTAAGTCAAGATCTTGCAAAGTAAGCCCTAAATATTTAAAGTACAGTATGTGATATAAAAGTAAATGAGTTAATGAAATGCATTTTAAAAGATTTTATTCATAATTCATTATAGAACTAAATGAATGCATCACAATTAAGTACAATGAATGCCCCTCTGAGTCCTGTGTTAACTTACTTGGATAATTTGAGTAAACGTTTCTGAGTGCAGTGTTAGGAAAATGTAGAAGTGAATGAGTTGAGAATGTGTGTAAAATAACACGTTTTTCTTCTGTTAAGGATAAAGAAACATTACGATAGTTATACCATCAAGTGCTGGTTTGTGCTCAATGAAACAATAGTTAACTGGGTTCTAAATAGACATAACCTACTGAGAATCATATTTATCATTGTTAAAGGCTGCAGTAGTTACAAAGCACCCTCTGTGATTTCAATGTGTTACTTATTCTATTGCTTTGTCTCAATTCATCAGGGCGTATGCAGCTATTGTGTTCATCACCAATAACAGATTTGAGACGGGCAAGAAAAAACTGAACTACTTGACTTTTGATGACTTTGCCATTTGTGCAAATCACATGATTTCTAATTGGTCCTACAGCTCAGAAGGTAACTTTGTTTGTCAAGAAAATGTGTCCACCTCTTATGAATGAGTGTGTTTGTGTATGTCTGTTTTGTCTGTGTTTGTTTGTTTGTGTGTATGTTTGTGTGTTTTATTGTAATGCATGTTCATTCTTTTTTTAAAAAGTACTAATGCACAGCCTTAAAAGTTTTGTTTTTATGAGGAATAAGGGATTTGATACTATGTATTTATACGATGTAAGTACTTTGAATTGGCTGTCATAGGTCCTACTTCTTTCTAATCTGTCCAGAATTTCTTTCTGTTCTGTTCCATTGCTTTTCTTAGTCTCAAATGGTGATTTAAAACCCCCTGGCAGCGTTACTGATTGAGTTTCTTTAGGTCATTCCCAAAAGGGGGACATTAACATGTTCTTAAGATCAGTACAAGCTCCTGCTCTTATCCGCCAAACATCGCACTCGCATCTGAGCTCTCCCCTAAACTTACATCACTTCGCTCCAGGCAGGATCACATCGAACTGTGAACTCTTCCCTAACCATTGCAGCAATTGTCGCTACTCCCGAATTTGGGTGTGGTCACATGGTAACAGTGCGTAACGACAAAGGCGGGGGGAACTCGGTCAGATATGGAAAACTATAAATTTTCGACAGGTAAAGGGGAGGGGCAATTGGATAAGCGTAGATCTTGAGACTCAGGAAAATAAGTGAAAATGGCATGCCTCATGCCACTATGCACTGTGATAGGTCATCAAGATTAACTAGGCTTTGCTCACCATATGTCATAAACTCACCCAGGGGTCATGTGAGGGAGACTACTGTATTGCAAAACTCACTCTGCCAATTTGGAAGTGAAAGTTCATAAAATGAGTAAGGGTAAGCGTTTTGTTATACATTATATTCTGATAGTTATTATTTTCCTTATTGTTAAGATTGTCAGACTCATGAAGACATGGATGTGGACATGGACAGAGACTTTTTACTGGACCTGAGGGAGCTGAAAGTTCTCATGGAAAGAGAATATGCGGAGGAACATAGAGGGTGAGTTATGCCAGAGATTGCAAAGTACTGACCGTTACATTTTCTGCCCTTTAACTTTAATGTGGTGAGTTTGAAGGCCCTCTGGATTGTGGAGGCCTTGTTGAAGTCTTTTATTCCTTTTTGTTTGTCATTTTCTTGCTCTTCCAGTTATTAGCCCACCCCCAGTGGGTCGGGGGGATATAAATAGACCCACTGCTTCGTCTGCAGAAGGTGCAACCCCTTCAAAGGCGG